CTTCATTACTTGTACATCAAGAAAACGTTTTGTGTTGTGTATTAATGATAATCAGACATCGAAATTTGTAAATACAATGACAAAGACTCACGTTTATGGTGGTAAATTTTGCGAGGCGATGCCAATATGGCGGCTTAACTTTCTTTTCCGCGCGATGCATTGTGGGTGTCATATACATTTGTATATCTTTCTTTTTTTCTTTTTTCGAAAATTTACTTCCCGTTTAATACTGTTGAAAACTATTAGAAATAATGAAATATGTAGTTGAAAATAAAAATGAAACTAAAATAAGAATGATTTAGAGTAGCATAAAATTTTGACGGAAACAGCCGGGGTGCTCTGTGCTGGTGGACCCTGAAAAAAGACGGCGGCTGAAAGAAGACGGCGGGTAATTTATGTAGGCAAGTATCACTATATATATGTAAGCTGAATTTGAAGTCAACACTTCTACTGAACTAGCAATTGCATTTTTTGCAACAATTCATTTGAAATGAGCCATCGCATGTATTGAATTTAGGCTCGACGGCGACGCGCAAGCTGGGCACTGCCGCCATGGCACTTTTTAAAAAATATTTTCAAGACTTTTCCTTTGAAGCAGTATGCATTTGAAAAATGTTATGTAAGCATCTAGCACATTTTTGTTGCTTCCGTAAAGTATTTCAGTGTTTTGAAATGGATTTATTTTTGAATGATCGTTTCATAATGGTCTCATCGCAGTCACTTCTGTCAGTGGCTCAACAGATCGGAAATTAAACAGATAAAAACTTATCCGTAATATTGTACTGTACTACTTACACTACCGTGAATAGATCTAGGAATCTATCTGTGTAATATATCGATTTTACTTTAAAATATCGATCACTGTCCGTGCTATTGTAGATCTAGCTCGTTCAAATTTCTGATCGGAGATAATTTATAAGTACCTCAAGGCCAGGGTATGAAATCGTACAGGAACTCTACAGCTATGCCAATTGTAAGGTTTACAAGTGAAGTTATAGTTTTAGCTTAAATTTAGTTTTTGTCTTTCTGACATGATGTCTCGTTGATTCTGTTGAAGAGTGATGCATGTGAACGATTACAATATACAGATTGGGAATAATGAAGATGTCAATTAACATCTGAATCCCGGAAAGTGTTTTAATAAAGATTAGGATAAACCTAGCAAAGTGTAAGGTCCCAGTGTGAATGTGTAAAGTGTTAGGTCCCAGTGTGAATGTGTAAAGTGTAATTGGTACAATTCTTATTATGCCTGAACTTTTGATATATGTACTGTATTTGTTTATCTCAGAAATTGCAGTATTATGTCAACTGCTTCCACTTTCAGTTCAACACTTGATTCATCAATTTTACACAGCCCTAGACTCAATATTTGTCATTAATTGTCGACTGTTTTTAAGCGTTTTAGAGTTTTGTTTCCACAGTGAATGGAATGAAATGGGATAAATAGTCTAACCAATACCCCTAGAGAACTTATTAAGACATTGCAGTATTATCAAAGTACAACAATAAGATGTCAATAATCAATGAAATTGATTAATTGAGAGGACATTTTCTTAGTACAGTTAACCAGGCTTTGTAGTGGTTTGTTCAGAACTGTAGTTCTGGTTAAGTAACCATTAATTGTGTCCTTTCAGTTACAATGACATACATTTTTAGGTCATCTGGACCCGAAGTATCCGATGACCTATAGTCATCATGCTTCGCCCGTCGTCGTCCGCCGTGCGCCGTCCGTAAACTTTTCATTCAAACGACTTCTTCTCAAATACTAGAAGGTCTAGGGGGCTAATACTTGGCACAGAGGATACTGGCATGGAGCTCTACCAAGTTTGTTCAAATGAATGACCTTGACCCACTTTAAAGGTCACAGGGGTCAAATATGTTAAAATCTTTAAACAACTTCTTCTCATTAACCAAAAGGCTCAGAGTGTAGATATTGGGCCTGTGACATGCTGGGATGAAGGACTACCAAGTTTGTTCAAATGAATGACCTTGACCCACTTTCAAGGTCACAGGGGTCAAATATGTTAAAATATACAAAGGACTTCATCTCAATAAGCAAAAGTCTATGAGTGCCGATATTGGGTCTGTAGCATGCTGGGAGGAAAGGTTACCAAGTTTATTTAAATGAATGACCTTGAACAACTTTCAAGGTCGCAGGGGTCAAATATGTCAAAATCTTTAAATAACTTCTTCTCAAATACTAGAAGGCCTAGGGGGCTAATACTTGGCCCATAGCATGCTGGCATGGAGCCCTACAAAGTTTGTTCAAATGAATGACCTTGGCCCACTTTCAAGGTCACAGGGGTCAAATATGTTAAAATATACAAAGGACTTCATCTCAATAAGCAAAAGTCTATGAGTGCCGATATTGGGTCTGTAGCATGCTGGGAGGAAAGGCTACCAAGTTTATTCAAATGAATGACCTCAACCCACTTTCAAGGTCACAGGGGTCAAATATGTTAAAATATACAAACGACTTCTTCTCAACAAGCAAAAGTCCATGAGTGCTGATATTGGGCCTGTAAGATGCTTGGAGGAGAGGCTACCAAGTTTGTTCAAATGAATGACCTCAACCCACTTTCTAGGTTTGGCTTGCTTTTTGTCAGATGACCGTTAAGGCCCATGGGCCTCTTGTTGAAATACCTCTACTGTAGCTAAATGTGGCATTTGTAATAGACATAACCAAAGTTAATTTTGTGATAGACGTAGCCAAAGTTAATTTTAGGATCAGTTAGGACAGCTACTGTTTGTAACAGGCATGGGTTCAATTACATGATGATGTAATTAATTAAATTACAATTACATTATGAAAATGGCATTGCCATTACAGGTATTTTCAAAATAATTAAATAACCATTACATGACGGTCCAATGTAATTAATTAAATTACACATTACTTTTCAAGTCAAAATGATTTTTGAAATACAAACGTCAAAATAAATTATCATACTGCACAGATTTATCACACAAATTTAACTTTATGATTCAATCTCTGTATGACCATGGTCAAGATATTATTATTTTGCTAGCTGTCCATCGCTTAATAATTTGACAGTCCTGAACGTCAAAGTAATTAATTACAGTATATTTGATATAGACTCCTATTGGGAAGTTCAAGACTATAAGCTTATACAGAAGTGTATATTTCTTGCACATAATCATAGCAATAAAGAAATATAGTTATTTATTTCCCTTACTCTCTTTCAGCAGGTGGATGTCCCTGAAGAAATGAAATCTGGAATGGTAGAAAGTATCTCTATTGATTCTTCTAACTTGGAATTGGCCATTGTGACCAACAATGGATTTGAGGACCTTATGGTGGAGAAAAACGTCCATCTTTCCGGCCTCCAATTAGATGTTGAAGATGATTAATCACTTGAGGATATGCTAACAACCATGTTGCCTTTTAAGGTCACAGTACTCTCTAAAGGCGGCAATATATTTACCATCACAAAAGAAGAATCAACAAATCGCGGAAACTAAAAAAATGTGGAAAAGATCATTGTATGCTGCATTTGTAGTAAATTTCTTTACAATCTTCAATTTACTTGAGTAGAAAGATTCACTAGTTATACCAAGTTTGTGTAGAAAGGATCACTGTATACTGAGTTTGTTGTTTACAAATGTGTAGAAAAGATCGCTGTATACCGAGTTTATAGTTTACAATTGTCTAGAAAAATCACTGTATACTGAACATAATATGACTTCTGTTTAAAACCTTCATTTAAACTTAGGCATGTATTTTTTATGTATCTTAAAAGTCTACCTACAACAATTTTGTGTATGCAATCTTGTACTAGGATATTGACATGACAAGATTACATTGCTGATCAAAGCATATAAAGAATACTGAATAAAGAAAACAAGATATAAGCATCTTTATCATGTTTTTTTTTTTTCATTATTATTATTTCATGATGTCTGTCCATATGGAATTTGTAAGCACTCTTGTGCATTCTTATACCACCAAAAGGGTGGGTAAACTGGAATCAGGTTGTCTATCAGTCCATCCATCTGTTTGTCTGTCTGTAGACACATCTTGTCTGGACAATTCCAATGAAACTTTACAGTAATATTCGGGACAATGTGTAGATGTACATACACCATTTTCCCTCGAAATATTGATTGCCATGGCAACTGGTCAATATAGACGGGTTTTACATGTCGGTCAACTTCTAAACCTGTGGACCAATTTCAACAAAACTTTGCAGGAATGTTAGGGAACATGTGCACATGCCGCTGTGTTTCAGAGGATGTTTCTGTGCAAAAGGTCACCATGGGCAGATAGCTAAGGCTGTGGGTGTTGGGGGTATCATTTATCATTTGTATTACAGTTTCAGTTATCCCTGGGCAATGTGGAGAGGATATAGTAATGATTTTGAGGATTGAATGTAGAGGTCACAGTACTTGCATAAGTACTATATGATTACCTTGTAAACGCATTGAGACTAAGACAGTTAGTATACCTTAATCAAATTTGGAACATGTATCCTTTATAAGGAGAAGTCGGTTTCTTTAGAAATTCAGGGTCAGATGTCAAAGATCAAGGTCACAGTCAAAAAACGGATAAATGTATGGGGGTGTTCTCTGAAATGTCCGAGGCAAGGCTTGTATTAGCTGATTTACGGGAACAAACGAGGAGCACATGGTTTCATGTTTATTCCAAAATGGCGGGTAGTCATCAACAACAATAATGAGCATGCGCAATACACATACAAATTGGTAACACTAAACACTGTTGGATAGAAACAGCAACCGCCCCAGACTAGTATGATTCTACAAACATTACACTTTTCCCCCCTTTAGAATATAATTACTGGCTGTAATTAGTATTTAAAGGTAATTTCACTAGAACAAAACATGTTTTTCACACAGTTCATGAAAATCAGTCTTTCAAAATCTGAACACAATTTAACATAATTATACTTTCGGTATAATTTTAACTGTCATTAAATCACTACAGTTGCACAATATAACAGTTCCAGTTCAACTTTTAACTGTCACATGGTTTCAATTAACCTGTTTGGTTTTGAACGTTCACGACGCGGAAATCGCGACTCTGTTGCCATGGATCCAGATTTATCACATGAAGGAATAGATTCCACAGTCTTTGGCATGGTTTCGCGACTCTCATTTGTAATAGAGCGTTTGAGAGTTGGAGATGAAATCATAGATGGAGTGATCGACTCACTTGAAGGAACCATAGGTGCACGCGTTATCTCTTCGCGAGGAAAATATGATGGTAAGTCAATGATATCCTGCAAATGCGACTTGTTTTGATAATCATCCACAACACAATCTGGATGACATGCTCTCATCTGATCAATATGTCTTTTCCACTGTAATTCTCCAACCTGTACGGTGTAGGTAACTGGTCCTAGCTTCTGCAGAATAAGTCCACGAACCCATGATGGTTTCCGCTTTTGACCTCTGTAGTCATGTACCATAACCAAGTCTCCAACCTCCATTGTGCGATCTTTCTTGACATGTTGTTGATTTCGTAATTGAACTGACAGTTTCAAATTTGGTCTTATAATGTCCAAACGAGTTCTGAGCTTCCTGCCCATGAATAACTCAGCTGGTGTGACCTTGGTCAAAGTATGAGGAGTTGTCCTGTATGACAATAGGAATGATGCCAGCTTCTGGTTTAATGTTCCTTCCTCATCTTCCAAGTTTTTCATACCAGTCTTAAAGGTTCTAACTGCACATTCGGCTTCACCATTTGAACTTGGGTGGTAAGGCGCTGATTTGGTATGCTTAATACCGTTATTCTTTAGGAAAGATTCAAACTCAGCCGCGACAAACTGAGGTCCATTGTCTGATACTATCTCTTTCGGTAGTCCATATGAGGAAAACATGTATCGAAGCGCGTTGATGGTGCTCTCAGCGCTCGTTGACGACATTCTTACAACATCCAGCCATTTGGAATGGGCATCCACAACGACTAAGAACATGTTGTTTAAGAATGGTCCTGCGTAGTCAATATGTACACGTTCCCAAGGCTTGTTCGGCCATAACCATGGGTTTGAGCATGACTGTGGCATGTTTGGTAATTGTTTCCTACAACTTTAACACTTTGCCACCCTTGTTTCTATGTCCATATCTAAGTTTGGCCACCACACAAACAATCTAGCCAATGCCTTCATCCTAACCATTCCAGGATGGTTAACATGTAACTCATTCAAAATGTCATCCCGGTATCGATCAGGAACAATCACTCGGATTCCTCTTAATAAACACCCTTCCTCTACCGTCATTTCCTCCTGAACGCGGTAAAAGGGAAGTAACTCATTTTCTGGCTTTTCATGTGACCATCCATTAGTGACAAAATACATCACTCTTGACAAAACAGGATCATTTTTCGTTGCCATAGCAATCTGAGCTGCCGTGATAGGTAATTTGTTCAACTGAATTTTGTTCACCTTTGCGGCTCCCTGGTCCAATTCCGTACAATCCTCCGAATCGATATGGAAACGGGATAAGGTGTCAGCATTCCCGTTCTGAGTTGTTGATCTATACTTGATGTCAAACTGATATGAAGACAACTGGATAGACCACCGTTGTAATCGTGAAGTTGCTAGCACAGGAATACCCTTCTTTGGACCTAGTATCAATGTCAAAGGTTTATGGTCCGTCAACAATGTGAACTTTCGGCCGTAGAGATACTGATGAAACTTGCGGACCCCGTATATAATCGCTAATGCTTCCTTCTCAATTTGAGAATAGTTTTTCTCAGCAGAAGTGAGTGTGCGTGATGCGTATGCGATCGGTCGGTCATCGTTCCCAATTGTGTGAGAGATCACTGCTCCTAGGCCATACAAAGATGCATCAACTGCCAATGTTACAGGCTTTTCTGGGTCATAGTGAATCAATACCTCTGATGAGACTAACAGTTCTTTGATTTTCACACATGCTGAATGACAATCTACTGTCCAATTCCATTCAATTTTGTCAGCCAGTAGTTTTGTGAGTGGTTGTATGGTAGACATGTCAGGTATAAACTTCCGGTAATAGTTAACAATCCCTAACCATGCCTGAAGCTCCTTCTTGTTTTGAGGATCTTTTAACTGTAAATAACAATTTTTTGTGGTGATGGGTGGATTCCTTCTGTTCACTACAAAAGCAAAATATTCACCTCCTCTTTCATGAAGAAACACTTAGTTTTCTTTAGTTTGACTCCATAGTCATCTAAACGCTTGAGTGAAGCATCCAGATTTTGCTGATGGGTAACATCATCTTTCCCGGAACATCATCCAGGATACAACCGTCCAATCCCTGTAGTACAGTTTCCATGGTACGCTCAAATATAGCTGGCGCAGATGCTACACCAAATGGAAGTCTGGTGTACCTGTACAATCCAAGATGGGTGTTGATGGAACACGTTCTAACAGAGTAGTCCTTTTGTAAGCTTGAGTGACAAATCCAACCCTGAGACAATATAATCGGGAAGTAACTCCTTCTGTAATTTGAGCTCATCACTTGTTCATGAAAGATTCAAACTGACAAACTGACTGTGATACTGTATTTTATGAATCGTCACCAAACTTCTGAATTTTGGTTGTACAATGAATGACTCTGCGGGTAAATGTGTCCACCTACATTTCAGCCGTATTCTTAACAATCCTTCCGAATCGATATGGAAAATGTGACCATCCATTAGATAAGGTGTCAACATGCATTCCCGTTCTGAGTTGTTGATCTATACTTGAAAACTGATATGAAGACAACTGGATAGACCACCGTTGCGTGAAGTTGCTAGCACAGGAATACCCTTCTTTGGACCTTATCAATGTCAAAGGTTTATGGTCCGTCATGTGAACTTTCGGCCGTAGAGATACTGATGAAACTTGCGGACCCCGTATATAATCGCTAATGCTTCCTTCTCAATTTGAGAATAGTTTTTCTCAGCAGAAGTGAGTGTGCGTGATGCGTATGCGATCGGTCGGTCATCGTTCCCAATTGTGTGAGAGATCACTGCTCCTAGGCCATACAAAGATGCATCAACTGCCAATGTTACAGGCTTTTCTGGGTCATAGTGAATCAATACCTCTGATGAGACTAACAGTTCTTTGATTTTCACACATGCTGAATGACAATCTACTGTCCAATTCCATTCAATTTTGTCAGCCAGTAGTTTTGTGAGTGGTTGTACAATGGTAGACATGTCAGGTATAAACTTCCGGTAATAGTTAACAATCCCTAACCATGCCTGAAGCTCCTTCTTGTTTTGAGGATCTTTTAACTGTAGAATAGCCTCAATTTTTTGTGGTGATGGGTGGATCCCTTCTTTGTTCACTACAAAAGCAAAATATTCCACCTCCTCTTTCATGAAGAAACACTTAGTTTTCTTTAGTTTGACTCCATAGTCATCTAAACGCTTGAGTGAAGCATCCAGATTTTGCTGATGGGTAACATCATCTTTCCCGGTTACAAGAACATCATCCAGGATACAACCGACACCATCCAATCCCTGTAGTACAGTTTCCATGGTACGCTGAAATATAGCTGGCGCAGATGCTACACCAAATGGAAGTCTGGTGTACCTGTACAATCCAAGATGGGTGTTGATGGTCACATATTTTCTAGACTCTTCATCAAGTAGTACCTGGTTGTAAGCTTGAGTTAAATCCAACTTTGAGAATTTTTGTCCTCCGTTAAGCTTTGTGAATAGCTCTTCACTTGTTGGCAGGGGATATTCGGGTACTTCTAGCACCGGATTTATGGTAATCTAGAAATCACCACAAATTCTAACTGAACCGTCTGGTTTCATGACTGGCACAATGGGTGTTGCCCACTCTGAACTGTCCACCTCTTCCACTATGCCTGCATTCTCTAAACTGAGAAGTCCTGCACCTATCTGGTCTTTCAGCGCATAAGGTACAGTTCTGGCCTTGAAAAACTTAGGTTGGGCATTGTCCTTGAGCTTGATTGATGCTGTGATCCCCTTGACCGTGCCTAACTTGTCCTCAAACACTGAATATTTCTGTTCGTTGATAGACATCATGTTTATTGTTTTCCAGTTAAGTCGAAGTTGTCCTAACCAATTCCTTCCAAATAATGCTGGTCCATCACCTTCCACAACAAGCAATGGTAAAAGTTTGGTCTGTCCCTCATAAGACACTTTGATGTTAGCCTCACCCAACACTGGTAATACTTCACCAGTATATGTTTTCAACATTGTCGAGCTGTTTTGTAGGTTGAATTTTCCCTGGAATTTAGCTCTGAAATCCTTATCAGATATCAATGAAACTGGTGAACCGGTGTCAAGCTCCATCGTTTGAGCTATCTTTTCGATGTCAACAGAAATTCTTATTTCCTTTTGCCCTGTGGACTTTATAGAGAATATCGGCCATACTTCCGAAACATCCTCCTGGTCTGAATCCTCAATGAAATGAATCTTCGAACTCTTCTTATGTTTCTTTGAGTCCCCCTTTGTTGGCCTGGCTGAATCAGTATTACATCTAGTACCACCAGTACCTTGATTTTTGGAGTTACCAGGTTTATCTCTAGAGGTTTTGGATTTTGGGCATCTCTTGTGTAAATGTCCTACTTCCTTACATGTATGACACTTACTGTTCTTGTAGAAACATCTGTCTGCGCTATGATTAGACTTACCACTGCGGAAACATTCTTTTGACGCTTGAAATTTGTGAACATTTTCAGCTTTATCCACTCTGTCACCCTTTAACTTCCGGGCCTCATTTTCAGCCATTTCCATACTCACTGCTATCTCTCTTGCTTTAGTCATTGTCAGAGTAGCTTCGGTTAGGAGTTTCCGTTGTGTAGGGATGGAAGACAAACACGACACAAACCTGTCTCTCAATGCATCATCTAGAAATGCACCAAATTCACAATGTTCACTGAGCCGTCTCAATCCAGCCACATATTGACATACAGTTTCATTCGAATGTTGATTTCGTTGATAAAATTTAAAGCGTTCTGCTATAATGAGAGGTTTCGGCTTTAAATGCTGAGAAATGAGTGTCTTCAATTCATCATATGTTTTGGCGGAGGGCTTTGCGGGAGATGTGAGGTTTCGCACTAGTCCATACATTTTCTGACCCATAACCGTCAACAATATCGACCGTTGTTTGTCTGCGTCCTCCACTCCATTAGCTATAAAATACTGCTCTACTCTCTCTACATACTCATCCCAGTTCATTTCAAAATCGAATGATTCAATTTTACCATACACTGCCATGATCGAGTTTACGTGCCCCTGTGCGTGAAAACTTTCGCCACTTGGCTGTCGGTGAATAATGGCTTTCTAGTATAATTACAGAGTTTTTGGTTTACCGTACTGCCGTTATCTTCAGCTTCGATGCACCGGAAATCCTCGTCGCCACTGAAATGTCCGAGGCAAGGCTTGTATTAGCTGATTTACGGGAACAAACGAGGAGCACATGGTTTCATGTTTATTCCAAAATGGCGGGCAGTCATCAACAACAATAATGAGCATGCGCAATACACATACAAATTGGTAACACTAAACACTGTTGGATAGAAACAGCAACCGCCCCAGACTAGTATGATTCTACAAACATTACATTCTCCTTTGCATTACCCTCATTTTTCTATCAAATTTCACAACCTAAAAGATATTCACATCTTGCAAATTTCAAGGTTCAAGGTCACTGTAAGGATGTTAAAAAATCATAATACAAGAGGAATAAAATATCTTGCGACAAGTTTTAGAGAACAAAGAATATATAAACATGTCAACAGAATTGTAGAACCAGCAAAACAAGTGTAAAATTGAAACAAAGACAATATCTACTCGAAGATTCACTGAAAAAGTACAAGGAGAATAAGACCATGTGTTCTGGAAGAATAGGCATCTTCTATTTTAAGTTATGGTGACATATCATGTTTGTTTTAGAAAATTGGCACTCTTATGCAGTCATTTACAATCTGGAAAATGAAGCTGCCCAATATTTGTATGTAGCATGTTATTTGCATGATGGTCTAACTAATGGTCTTAAACCAATAAGATACGCAGTCTTTAAAGTGATAATATGGTGTTCAAGATCAACATTTCCTACAATGTATCCAAAGAAATGGACAACTTCCCTATCATTGCATCTTGGAGCCTACTTAGGACATGTATTACATAAGTAATACTACTATGCTTGTTATTTCTGATATCTGCTGGTCATTTTTTATGGGCTGCAATGATTTACTGCTTGCATATAGTTGTTTTTAGTATATAGCAAGCTAATAACAAAGAATTTATTTTTTTAGTGGTCTTAGCATATCAGTACTTTGATTTTGTTTTGTTTTGTTTTTATAATGTATGGTAGATGGAACTGAGATAATTTTGGATAAATTAGTTACAGATGGTGTAATTATTGACCAGGGAGTGCAAAGCACTATCATTGTGATGGTGGTATGTGTATTTTTGGGGTGAAATAGAGTTATATTGGAATTGATATTGTTTTTCAAGAGATGTTACTTTAGCGTAAGTCTGTTTGGGGCTGATCACAGTTCGCCTGCTGTGTATGACATCACTTGTAAATCAGTATCAGGGTCTCATAGGAGACAAGGTTCGAGGGTTATATATATGTCTCTGTTATTCCTTTAACAAGAATTGCACATGTAGATCTTGTATCTAAGTTGTTTTTTTTTTCATCTTGACTCATAATACGTCCCTGGTACAAGAGACACGGCATTTGCGAATTAGCCGGTGCTATGTCACTTGATATTTGTTTATTTTAATATGTTGGAAGCTATCCAAGTTGTTCATTTTGTTACGAGTTCTCTGATTGGATGATGATACAGCATTAATACGTTAGCGATAGATTCGTAAACCAACAATCAATTTTAAAACCAACGAAATGTTCTTATTGTATTCAAAAATAAAATTGAACTCAAGTGGTACAATATTTCTGTATTTAAGCGATCAATGATAACGTAATGCAACATTTCAAGATAAAATAATTTTGATTAGCCAATCATAGTGCGCGTTCTTCGGGGTTCGGCAAAAAACCGCGAAATAGCGGCCATCGGTTGTTATTGTCGGGAGGAAAGTGCATATAATTCGAAGTCAGCAATAATTAATCTAACTGTCCGAGAGGAAACATGGTCCAGACACTAGATTGTGGTTAAGTTTTATTCTAATGTCAAACTTTGAAGATGGAAGTTTTCCCGAGCCCGAGACCTACACCAAAGTTTTTTCCCGAACCTCAGACATTTTCTACAAAGAAGGTGATTATTGAAATATATATTTTTTCATATGACTTTTGAATTGTATTGCAAGCTACTATTCTATATTTAAGTGGTACGTGGAATGCTGCTCAATATTAATAACGGTGTATAACGACATCGAAAGTGTTATTGTTTCAGCTTGCACCGAGAAAGCTTCGGTACATGTACATGTGCAATACGGTTTTTTGTTGGTTGGTTGGTTGACAGGTTGTCAGTCTCTGCGACTCCTCCCTTGAACGGGTATCGTTTCGCCGACGAACGTCAGAGTTCTGGCGACGTGATGGGGCGATCTACATCCTCCTCAGAGGGGTGGAACCGTCTGTATCGGTAAACGTTTGATTAGGCTAGTTTTAGAAGACGGCTGCGGGGCCTAATAATGCCTCATACTAACTAGCAGTTTGAAACATAATGGGAGTGTAATAGGAGTGTGTCAGTTTCGCTTGTATATAGTGTTAAGTATGGTCTCTGTCAATCAGCTGGCGGTGCATGCTTCTGATGATTATCATGCCGGAAACAAGAGTCTGATTCCTGGCCGGGGTATGGGATAGAAATATGAATTTTCCTGCTTCTATTAAGGTTTACATAAAAATAATGACATTTCAATGTCGTGATTAATGAGCTACCCAATAAGCCCAGATGATCCTAATTCACTAAAGTATACAGGTATGTTAATTTGTTGATTTTACATGCTTTCGAGAGCTAGACTTTTTCTTTCATTTATAAAATGGGAAAGACTTTTGATTTAGGCTGAAAATTGCTGATGCCTTCCTTCACTGCTAATACCAATATTACAGGGATTCTTGTTCAATGCTTCTCCTTCCATGATGGATTGAACATAAGTTTGTCTATAGGGGTGACTACTGAGGCCAAAAATGCTTATCAGGATAGTATTGCGATGATGAAATAACTGTTGTGATATTATTGCAAGTGAACATATGTTTTTGACGCAAAAATAAAGTGAAGTCAGTTACCATTTAGATGTATCAGAATGCTAAAACTGAAAATTATTTACAATTTTTATACAGTAAAGTAGGTTGCACAGTGAAATTTGTTACACTTTCGTATAACTTCATATTATTAACTCTAAACATGAACATGCTTCACTGTGATATATATTGTGAAACTCTTACACAGCTAGACTGAAGACTATTACTTTCATATAAGCCTTAGTTTTAAGAATTTAATAGAACTCCTTTTTATTTCAAACTTGTTTTATGTTTTAAAAGATGATTAATTTATTCAACAATCATGATTGGTTGGTTTTTACAGTAAATTTGACACACATTATACAATGTTGGCAGTCATGCAGAAAAATATAGTACAACTCTTGTTACGAAAGTTAGGATAATACAGCTTAAGCTATTTACTAAATAAAGGTACCTGTAATTTCACAAGAGATTTAAATTGGATCAGTTTTGTGACACTTTGCCATTAATTTTTACGTAAAAAATTCTGTCATACCACGATATATGAAATACTGCTGCCTTCCGCCATGTTGTTTATCAAAATGGTTAATTTCAAGGATGGGCCTAAAACATAGACCCAGAGTTAAAGAAGTCATTACCTCCCCTACTATAGTTTGTAGATTTAATTTGATTGGAAACAATAGATATAACAGTTTTTTAAAATATATAAACTCTAGTTGATTTAACAACTTGTGCTGAAAATTCTGTTTCCATTCTAAGCTGGTGAATGTGCCGTTCATGAGCTACCCTGGTCAGGGTCTCAAAGGTGCTTTCATAAATATGAACTCTGTGAAAAATCTTGCAATCTTAACAATCAATAGCTGAACAAACTATGAACCTATTGCTATTGAGAGAAAAGTTATCGCAATACATTGATAAGTTGACCTAGCATTGTACCACTATTGGTTAATCATCATATGTGGCAGAGTCACCATTTTGAGGTTGAAGACTACCTCGCAGAATAACATAGGCCCATCACATGTTATCAAGAGCAATTAGGGTAAAGTGTCTTTCAAAAGGACAATCATGTTGGCACTGACTGGTCTTTCTCCAGACCTGAACATGAAACTTTGACTGTCCTGAAGTTTAATAGTCCACTGCTATATCAGATCAGTTCCACATGCTAGTCTGCTGTGATAGTGGACGTAAAACATGAGACCCAAAATAAATGACTCTCGTAATGTACAAATGGTAAGTCGAGAGGGAATACCTAGTCAAAGGGAAATAACTTGCTCTCTATTCATGTTTTGTGATGCTATAACAGAACATGGAACTTAATACTGAGTGTCAGATCATTATGTAGTGTGTAGCTGTCGTCTCTACATACTGAGTGTCAGATCATTATGTAGTGTTGAGCTGTCGTCTCTACATACTGAGTGTCAGATCGTTATGTAGTGTGAAGCTGTCTCTACATACTGAGTGTCAGATCGTTATGTAGTGTGGAGCTGTCGTCTCTACATACTGAGTGTCAGATCATTATGTAGTGTGAAGCTGTCTCTACATACTGATTGTCAGATCATTATGTAGTGTGAAGCTGTCTCTACATACTGAGTGTCAGATCATTATGTAGTGTGGAGCTGTCTCTACATACTGAGTGTCAGATCATTATGTAGTGTGGAGCTGTCGTCTCTGCATACTGAGTGTCAGATCATTATGTAGTGTGAAGCTGTCGTCTCTACATACTGAGTGTCAGATCATTATGTAGTGTGGAGCTGTCGTCTCTACATACTGAGTGTCAGATCATTATGTCGTGTGGAGCTGTCTCTACATACTGAGTGTCAGATCATTATGTAGTGTGTAACTGTCGTCTCCACATACTGAGTGTCAGATCATTATGTAGTGTGGAGCTGTCGTCTCTACATACTGAGTGTCAGATCGTTATGTAGTGTGAAGCTGTCTCTACATACTGAGTGTCAGATCATTATGTAGTGTTGAGCTGTCGTCTCTACATACCGAGTGTCAGATCATTATGTAGTGTGAAGCTGTCGTCTCTACATACTGAGTGTCAGATCATTATGTAGTGTGTAGCTGTCGTCTCTACATACTGAGTGTCAGATCATTATGTAGTGTGGAGCTGTCGTCTCTACATACTGAGTGTCAGATCATTATGTAGTGTGAAGCTGTCTCTACCTACTGAGTGTCAGATCGTTATGTAGTGTGAAGCTGTCTCTACATACTGAGTGTCAGATCGTTATGTAGTGTGTAGCTGTCGTCTCTACATACTGAGTGTCAGATCGTTATGTAGTGTGGAGCTGTCGTCTCTACATACTGAGTGTCAGATCATTATGTAGTGTGGAGCTGTCGTCTCTACATACTGAGTGTCAGATCATTATGTAGTGTGGAGCTGTCGTCTCTACATACTGAGTGTCAGATCATTATGTAGTGTGAAGCAGTCTCTACATACTGAGTGTCAGATCATTATGTAGTGTGGAGCTGTCGTCTCTACATACTGAGTGTCAGATCGTTATGTAGTGTGGAGCTGTCGTCTCTACATACCGAGTGTCAGATCGTTATGTAGTGTGGAGCTGTCGTCTCTACATACTGAGTGTCAGATCATTATGTAGTGTGGAGCTGTCGTCTCTACATACTGAGTGTCAGATCGTTATGTAGTGTGGAGCTGTCGTCTCTACATACTGAGTGTCAGATCGTTATATAGTGTGGAGCTGTCGTCTCTACATACTGAGTGTCAGATCATTATGTAGTGTGGAGCTGTCGTCTCTACATACTGAGTGTCAGATCATTATGTAGTGTGGAGCTGTCGTCTCTACATAATGAGCCATTCTTAACAAAGCACATATTGTCAGATTTGAGTGATTACTCATGAAATATGAAATAAGTATATGGATGTTGCATAATATCTATGTGACAATTTTTTATTTATGTTTTTTTCATGGTTGTCTGGAATAGGTAAAAAATTGCAGTTTTGGAAGAGATGTAACATGACCTCTGTGATGAGCCATGCGCATCCATGATATTCTATTGGTTACAATCATTTTTGCTCTCTACACCTCTGTAACATGTTGTGGCAAAATTGAAGGCACAAGCAAAGATATTTCATTGGTTCAAGCAGAAAAAACTGACCAATAAGAGGCTGATAGACTCCTTTTGTTGATCACAGAGGAGCGACACCTGAAAGCTATTACAGTATACTGTTAAGTGACCTCGAGATTCATTTAATGTACATCAGATGATCAAGCTAGTCTTTTCGTCTTGTCCACAAGATGTCACACATGGAACCTTCAATTTTGCTATGATATGTTCCAGGGCTGCAGAGAGCAAAAATGATTGTACCCCTGGAGTATCGAGGATTAGCCATGAGAGAATACACTCTTGCCATTGAGGTCCAGTTGGATCCTTAGTGAAGCTTTAAGGTAGTTCATTGGTATGTTTATCTTTGTGCTGTATTTGTGTTGCAGTCAAGAGGTACCCCACGGGATTCATTACCTCCTAAACCACCAGTGAAGAGTGCTCCTCCTATCAGCAGAATCTTTCCACACAGACCAATTCAGAGAGCTCAGATTGTGTCATTTCGAGAAAACCATGATGTCAATGGACGTATCCTTAATATGTCTTTGTTCTGTGTGCTTTTGTTGGGTTATAACTTTCATTTAGTAATCTGAAAATCAATATTTCCCTGGGCTTTTTTTTCATCTGCTCTTTTGGAACTTATCATTGGTCTTATTCAATATTGAAATCATATCTATGCATAGATATCTACAAAAATTTGCAGTTTACTTTAAAAGATAAATTATGTAAAAACTTCTTTCTAACTTTTTGATTTCCTTCCTAATAAGAGACAAGAAGCCATTTCCAAACCTGACCAAAAAACTGAAATATTGCAAAGGAAATGGAATCAGTTCAGGATTTGCGACATTTCTGAATGTTGAAGAATCTTTCTTTAATGATTGACAGTATTTCTAGGAACTAACTTCTCTGATTCCAACAGCAAACAACTGTACTTTGAGACCGGATTCCATGTCATATCGAAACTAGGAGCTGGGTCCTTTGGAGAGGTAGGTATAAGGATATTGTACTTATTTCTCCCCCACCTCCTTTTTGCCAGTTTCTAATTTTTGCTATTTTTCCACTGATTAGATTACTCAGTGAGTACTGAACTAACAATTTTCAGTTCCAGAGGATTTTTTAGCCCACCATCTATTCAAATAGATGGTGGATTATTCAAATCGCCTTGCGTCCGTGGTCCGTTGTCCGTCCGTACGTCTGTAAACAATTCTTGTTACCGCTATTTCTGGAAAAGTACTGGATGGATCTTTCTCAAATTTCATATGCATTTTCCCCTTAGTCCCTAGTTGTGCATTGTACCTTTTATGGACTGAATCGAATTCAAGATGGCCGACAGGTGGCCATCTTGGATTGTGGATGTAAAAGTTTGTTACTGCTATTTCTTGGAAAGTACTGGATGGATCTTTCTCAAATTTCATATGCAGTTTCCCCTTGGTCCCTAGTTGTGCATTGTACCTTTATTGGACAGATTCCAATTCAAGATGGCGGACAGGGGGCCATCTTGGATTTTGAATGTAAAAGTTTGTTACCGCTATTTCTTGGAAAGTACTGGATGGATCTTTCTCAGATTTCATATGCAGGTTCCCCTTGGTCCCTAGTTGTGCATTGTACCTTTTTTGGGCTGATTCGAATTCAAAATGGCCGACAGGCAGCCATCTTGGTTTTTGGAAGTAAAATCTTGTTACTGCTCTTTCTTGGAAAGTACTGGATGGATCTTTCTCAAATTTCATATGCAGTTTCCCCTTGGTCCCTAGTTGTGCATTGTACCTTTTTTGGACTGATTCGAATTCAAGATGGCAGACAGGGGGCCATCTTGGATTTTGAATGTAAAAGTTTGTTACTGCTATTTCTTGGAAAGTACTGGATGGATCTTTCTCAGATTTCATATGCAGGTTCCCCTTGGTCCCTAGTTGTGCATTGTACCTTTTTTGGACTGATTCGAATTCAAAATGGCCGACAGGCAGCCATCTTGGTTTTTGGAAGTAAAATCTTGTTACTGCTCTTTCTTGGAAAGTACTGGATGGATCTTTCTCAAATTTCATATGCAGTTTCCCCTTGGTCCCTAGTTGTGCATTGTACCTTTTTTGGACTGATTCCAATTCAAGATGGCAGACTGGTGGCCATCTTGGATTTTGAATGTAAAAGTTTGTTACTGCTATTTCTTGGAAAGTACTGGATGGATCTTTTTCAAATTTTATATGCAGGTTCCTTTTGGTTCCAAGTTGTGCATTATACCTTTATGGAATGATCCGAAATCAAGATGGCTGCCTGTCAGCCATCTTGGATTTTGAGAGTAACATCTTGTTACTGCTATATCTGAGGAAGTCCAGGATGGATCCTTCTGATATTTCATAGATATTGGTTTCCCTTGGTCCCTAGTTGTGCATTGTACCTTTTTTGGACTGATTTGAAATCAAGGTGGCCCACAGGCAGCCATCTTGGATGTCGACAGTAATACACCACAAGCATATTGTCCATTATCCACCTGTAACTGACTGCTATCTAATAATACTTTGGGATCTTTTTCAAATGATATTTGCTAATAGGTGCATAATAAAAATATCTTGTGCCATCATTGAGTACATTCAATGAAGACCAGTTCATGAACATTTACAACACCTGTAACAAACAAAAAAAAATCTTCAAGAACTGAAAACAGATCCTCAAATGGTGGGCGCCAAGATCCCTCTGGGATCTCTTGTTGTGATATTAATACATCTTCAACTCTTCAAAGGCATTGCTAAAATTAGACATTCTAGTTTTAACACAAGAAAGTGGAAAATTAAAGAGTAGGAAGCTGTTAAGGTTGCACTAAAAAGTTTATTGGGGCAAGCTTGTTGGTACGTGGTGTGTTTAAGTTATCATCTTTCAAGTGTTCTTCGTAATGTGATGCAAAATACAAGAGATTATTGTAGTTTCAAAGAAGTTGATCAAGTTTTGCTAAAATCGTTAACTTTTCATATTCATTTTCCTTAGGTGTTTAAAGTACGAAGTAAAGAAGATGGACAGTATTATGCTGTGAAGAAGTCTCAGGAGAAATTTCGTGGAGAGATGGACAGAAAGAGAAAGTTAGAGGAGGTTGCCAAGCATGAATCCTTACCACCTCATCCTAACTGTGTTACTTTCCATCGTGCATGGGAAGAGCGGCAACACCTTTATATACAGGAGGAGCTGTGTCAGACTAAGTACGAGATAAGACTTTCTCTGTGTCAGACTAAGTACGAGATAAGACTTTCACTGTGTCAGACTAAGTACCAGATAAGACTTTCACTGTGTCAGACTAAGTACCAGATAAGACTTTCACTGTATCAGACTAAGTACGAGATAAGACTTTCACTGTGTCAGACTAAGTACCAGATAAGACTTTCACTGTGTCAGACTAAGTACGAGATAAGACTTTCACTGTATCAGACTAAGTACCAGATAAGACTTTCACTGTGTCAGACTAAGTACCAGATAAGACTTTCACTGTGTCAGACTAAGTACCAGATAAGACTTTCACTGTGTCAGACTAAGTACGAGATAAGACTTTCACTGTATCAGACTAAGTACGAGATAAGACTTTCTCTGTGTCAGACTAAGTACGAGATAAGACTTTCACTGTGTCAGACTAAGTACGAGATAAGACTTTCACTGTGTCAGACTAAGTACGAGATAAGACTTTCACTGTGTCAGACTGAGTACGAGATAAGACTTTCACTGTCAGACTAAGAGATTAGACTTTCACTGTGTCAGACTAAGTACCAGATAAGACTTTCACTGTGTCAGACTAAGTACCAGATAAGACTTTCACTGTGTCAGACTAAGTACCAGATAAGACTTTCACTGTGTCAGACTAAGTACGAGATTAGACTTTCACTGTGTCAGACTAAGTACGAGATTAGACTTGCACTGTGTCAGACTAAGTACCAGATAAGACTTTCACTGTATCAGACTAAGTACCAGATAAGACTTTCACTGTGTCAGACTAAGTACGAGATTAGACTTGCACTGTGTCAGACTAAGTACGAGATAAGACTTTCTCTGTGTCAGACTAAGTACCAGATAAGACTTTCACTGTGTCAGACTAAGTACCAGATAAGACTTTCACTGTGTCAGACTAAGTACGAGATTAGACTTGCACTGTGTCAGACTAAGTACGAGATAAGACTTTCTCTGTGTCAGACTAAGTACCAGATAAGACTTTCACTGTGTCAGACTAAGTACCAGATAAGACTTTCACTGTGTCAGACTAAGTACGAGATTAGACTTGCACTGTGTCAGACTAAGTACGAGATAAGACTTTCACTGTGTCAGACTGAGTACGAGATAAGACTTTCACTGTCAGACTAAGAGATTAGACTTTCACTGTGTCAGACTAAGTACGAGATTAGACTTTCACAGTGTCAGACTAAGAACGAGATTAGACTTTCACAGTGTCAGACTAAGTACGAGATTAGACTTTCACTGTGTCAGACTAAGTATGAGATAAGACTTTCACAGTGTCAGACTAAGTACGAGATTAGACTATCACTGTGTCAGACTAAGTACGAGATTAGACTTGCACTGTGTCAGACTAAGTACGAGATTAGACTTGCACTGTGTCAGACTAAGTACGAGATTAGACTTTCACTGTGTCAGATTTTGACGGTCAGACTAAGGGCGAGGTTAGACTTTCACGGTCAGACTAAGGGCGAGGTTAGACTCTCATTGATGTCCCTTTAACAGCTTATCAAATATTGATATCTATATGTAACATTTTTTCAGCAAACCCTATTTACTGGATTAGTTAGCTATAAGTTTGTTTATTACTTCCTGTTTTGTGGCTTGTTATATGTTGTTCACCACTTCCTGTTTTGTAGGTTGTTATAAGTTGTTCACCCCTTCCTGTTTTGTTGGTTGTTATAAGCTGTTCACCACTTCCTGTTTTGTAGGTTGATGTAAGATGTTTACCACTTCCTGTTTTGTAGGTTGTTATAAGTTGTTCACCCCTTCCTGTTTTGTTGGTTGTTATAAGCTGTTCACCACTTCCTGTTTTGTAGGTTGGTGTAAGATGTTTACCACTTCCTGTTTTGTAGGTTGATGTAAGATGTTCACCACTTCCTGTTTTGTAGCTTATTATAAGTTGTTCACCCCTTCCTGTTTTGTAGGTTGATGTAAGATGTTCACCACTTCCTGTTTTGTAGGTTGCTATAAGATGTTCACCACTTCCTGTTTTGTAGGTTGATGTAAGATGTTCACCACTTCCTGTTTTGTAGCTTGTTGTAAGTTGTTCACCCCTTCCTGTTTTGTAGGTTGATGTAAGATGTTCACCACTTCCTGTTTTGTAGGTTGCTATAAGTTGTTCACCACTTCCTGTTTTGTAGGTTGCTATAAGTTGTTCACCACTTCCTGTTTTGTAGGTTGATGTAAGATGTTCACCACTTCCTGTTTTGTAGGTTGCTATAAGTTGTTTGCCACTTCCTGTTTTGTAGGTTGATGTAAGATATTCACCACTTCCTGTTTTGTAGGTTGCTATAAGTTGTTTACCACTTCCTGTTTTGTAGGTTGATGTAAGATGTTCACCACTTCCTGTTTGTAGGTTGATGTAAGATGTTCACCACTTCCTGTTTTGTTGGTTGCTATAAGTTGTTCACCACTTCCTGTTTTGTAGGTTGTTATAAGTTGTTCACCCCTTCCTGTTTTGTTGGTTGTTATAAGCTGTTCACCACTTCCTGTTTTGTAGTTTGTTGCAGTATGCGGAGGGTCATGAACTGTCTGAATCGATGATCTGGAAATATCTGGTGGATTTATTAATGGTAAGATGACCTATACACACATTGATTTAATGACAATTCTGTATCGGCCTCAGGTCTCCTGTTCATTTTACACAATTTATATTTCTTAGAATTTGGCTATAAATTATTTGTATGATTGCCAATATGACATTATTGTTTAAAATGAAATATTATTAGGGCTTTTCACCAACTGGTAAAAAGACCTATTGTTTTTGTTCTGTTTCTTATTATTCTTACGGTATTATTCTTCTTCCAAAGTTGTGGGTTTGTAATCTTTAAAATTGTAAAAGCTAGACATACAGTCTATTCAACGGTTTGTAGATACGTATATGAAGTTGTCGATGCCGATTTTTTAAGTAGGTCAAAAATCCAATATGGCCACCATGATGTCATAAGTTAAAAACTTAAAAACGGAAATATCTCGAAAACCACTGATTGTACAGAGTTTGTGCAATAATATTATTTGTAGAGAATTTCCATATCTAACTTTATCTCGTGCCATATTAACACAAAATCTGTCAAATAAAAAAGCTCCCTGAGGGGTAAAGTTTTCAAAATTTAACAAATTTTTTCTTTTTTTTTCAATTTTGAATTTTCTTGAAATTTTCTTCTTCAGATCAACGCAGAACGTCCTTCCGATGAATTAAGTGTTTTCAATTCTTCTGAAACGTTTACCATTTCCGTTGTACGCCATTTTGAAAATTTTCTTTGATCTTTTAAAAATGCCAACAAATAGGAAAAACTCATTCTAGATCAATATTGATGGGCTATATTTTATCAAATTGTTACTGAGAAGATTTCCCAAGATGTCTTCTACCATTTAGTGACATTTACAAATTCATTGGAAAAACAAAATGGCCGCCATGACGTCATTTCCGATTTTACCTAAAATGCCGTAACTCAAGAACTGTTTAAGCTAGTGACCTCAGTTTTAATCATATTATGTAAATTAAAAAGAAAATTCTTTTCACAAGAAAAAAACTGGGATCAAAGGTCAACTTCCTGTTTTCGGTAGGGGTCAAAGTTCAAAAGTGTTATTTTTCAGTTACAAACTTTGACAAACCTCTTCTCAAGTTCTGCAAAGCCTTGAGTCTTGATATTTCATGTGTAAGATGTCTGTTTAATTATCTATCAAGTTTGGTAATATAAATGACCTTGACCCAATTTCAAGGTCACAGTCTTCAACTTTGGACATAAATATTCTGTGGACATTTCCTGTCGATTGATGTAAGAGAAACGTACCTCAAAATTCAACTTCCGGTTTGCGGTAGGGGGTCAAAGTTGAAAAGTGGCATAAGGGTACCAATCTTCTCAAGTTCTGGAAGGCCTAGAGGCTTGCTATTTCATATATAAGAAGCATATGTAATTGGCAACAAAGTTTGATAATAATGACCTTGACCCACTTTTAGGGTCACAGATGTCAATTAACTAAAAATCATTAAATGACAGTTTCTCAATTTCTAGAAGGCATGCAATGATGAAAAATAATTATAAACCTTCCGGGAGACTTCCTAGTGATTGTCATCAGAAAAACATCCCTCAAAATGTCAACTTCCGGTTTCCGAAAGGGGTCAAAGTTCAAATATACAAAATAGGGTACCAGTGTTCAACAATCTTCTTGTCAAGTTTCACAAGGTCTAGAGAACTAATATTGGGGACATATTGATCATCAGATGTTACATTATAAGGCTTGCAAATATGAATAACCTTGACCTACATTCAAGGTCACAGGGGTCAAATATGTTTGAACCTTTAAAAAGTGTATTTCTTCGTTATTGTGTAGTTATATCTCCTTAACGTTTCAAGATTCAAAGTTCATCTTTGCATATGTTGTAGAGACTAACAAACAAGGAAACTTTCTCATATATTGTTATCAGGATAAATGTCAACTTCTGGTCAACTTGTCGCTAAAGAAGTGAAAAGCCCGCAAAATTGTTAACAACAATTTCTAGTTTACATTGCTGTAATTATACAGAACTCTTGTCACTGGTTTGAGCGAGAGAACTTTTATGTTTTGTCTGCCCGTCTATTCCATTTGCCAACTGTCTTTCCACTATCTTGACTAAGCTTCATCTTCACACTAGTTGTCACTGAAAATCCATACTTAGGGTATGGGTTCACCTTATTTAGTGTCATATATCAAAAGTAGGTCACTGTGATCTTCATTTTGATCTTTGAAAGATTGGGCTCTATCTCCAACAGTACCTGCAGTATCAGCTGTGATCAGTTAACTGTTACCATGTTCTCAAAAACAAGCGCAGAAATATTTCTGGTTTGTGGTGTATACATCAACCAGGTACACATAACAGTCAGGGTTGGATTGGGAAAAGGTGGCTATCAAATAGCAGAGAACATACTAAGTGTTAGTAAAACAGGATGGCAACGATTTCCATAATGCAGTCTTTTAAAATTAAATTTGTTAATGTTTCATCAAACATGATGAAATATTGAATAAATAAAGACAAAATATAGTAACTATGGTACCCCTAACGTTGCTGTTATCGCTGTGGGTTCATTGAAGAAAATGAAGGTCTGTTGCATGAAATTAGCTTCATAAAAGTTCATTTATCAACTTCTTGATTGCTCAACATGTGGTGACCTTTTAGAATTGTTTCTATTTGTTGGCAGGCAGCAAAACACTTACATGATCACAATCACATTCACATGGACATCAAGCCAGACAACATTTTTATCTCTCATGACAAGGTTTGCAAGCTAGGAGATTTTGGGCTTGTCATTGACCTGTCTAAGGTAAGGTCAACAATTTAAAATTTCATTTTCGTGTGACCCTGAAGGGACTTGCAAATTAATGGCCAGTAAAAAGTGTATGCTTTGAAAAAGAAAAGAAAAATTTAAGGACAGTCTTTTTAAGCTGCTCAAGATTGGTTCAGGTTCATTTGATAGAAATGCATACAATCTAAAAAACTTGTTCACCTTTTCAGGGTGGAGACTTTTCTGAGTCGCAAGAGGGTGATCCTAAATACCTTGCCCCAGAATTAATGGACGGCAAGTTTTCAAAGGCAGCAGACATATTCAGGTATTTACTGATCAACACTTCTTCCTCTCATCAAGTTTTTTAAATCTTATTAAGAATTCATAACACTGAATAACCATTTCAATTTTACAGTCTCGGAATGACAGTTCTAGAACTAGCGAGTGATCTTGACTTACCAAGAGGGGGAGATGGCTGGCACCTTTTACGAATGGGACACCTCCCTGAAGAATTTCTCCGTGGTAAGAATCTTGAAGTAGTGCTAGGGTCTGTTATTGATAGTTTATTTGTTGTTTTGATGAACATGTAAATTTTTCGCTATATCATGATAAAGAGAAACCTGCTGTGTTATGTAAGAGGTAAACAGTTCTGTTTGATACCAGACTAGCTTTGGTGATTTTACCAATAAATCAGAAATATTTGAGTGATAATTCAGTCTTGTCCCATATGGAGGTGTCTAATTATATTTTGTAATTATAAATCTATTTGAAATAAGACAATAGAATGGTGTTTTCATTACTGTTTAAGGAGATAAAAGCATATAAAAAAGGAAGTGTGTCCGTTAAGACTTCCTGAGAGAAATAAATATTCCTCTTCAAAATGAAAAAAAAATTAGCAGAAATTTGTGACACAATGAAGTTTGAAGGAAACAATTTAACAATCTGAAATGAAACCAATGTAATTATCTAAAGGCATATTATAGAGATTATTGGTAGTTTTATTTTCCGTTTGTTGAAATATGTTTAAATTTTCCTGGATCGTAAATTAATTAATGTTAAAGCAAGGTGTAGCATTCGTAACACGTGGCGTCCGTCTAAAATTGAACAACAATTTGTCATAATGGTCTGGAAGGAGTTATAGTAGAAGTGTGCGCAAATACATCGATAAATCATCGTGGGTTTCAAAGAAGTATTTTAGTGACACTACTGTAAACCTGTACTGCTCGTGTACATAGAAAATAAGTTTTTGAAAATTGGTTGTAAAATTGGTGTCTGCTCTGTTACAAACACACCTTTGACGAATAAACCCATTTAAAAAGTTGTTGTTCCTAAAATTACCGGTCTGTACGTCGCTGATGGGTGGAATTTTCCACTAGAATCACCATCACACATGGGCATGTTACCGGAAACCGAGATCCGGTCTGTATGTTTATAGCGTCTCCAACGTCTCAAAACAGAAAGGAGAAATCTAGAAAATAATAATTTCTTCTATTTGTTTTATTCATGTTTCCTTAATAAATTGGAATTTTTTGACCACAAATCATTGGCTTGTCCATATTCCTCTATAAGATTCACTGCACTTTATCCATGGTATGTCCGAGTTGTAACTTGGTGTCCGTGTTACTACCCAACAAATGAACCAATGTATGCTTTATAAGTTTTCCTAGGGTATGCATTTTCAAAACAGTTATTGTCTTATTGAAAATCACAACATTCTTCAAAGATAATATATCCACATGTTTCAAGCAATTTTCAATATGTGATCAAAAAAAATTTTTATTTGCATATGTTGCGGTCGTAACAGTGTCCAATAGTTTACTATAAAATTACTCTCAATGTGTTGAGGTCACTATTTTAAATGAGAGTAATATTTATATACAAGAACAAACACATCAAGTCATCTGAACATGTACACAAGTTCTTAAATGTTAAAAAAAAAAGCTTCAAAAGACACCATGTTATGAACGCAACAAATTCAGGGAAGTTATTTTTACTCCTGTTTACTTGAAAACCTCTTGTGAAACTATCTTCTGAATATCATGACACAAAATGACAGGTTATTTTTCTAAACATGTTAGCATGCATTTTGAAATATGTGTTTGAAAATTTTGTTTTTGTGTCACAATTTCATAACCAAGACTGAAATATCCCTCATATAAATCATCTCTTGCAAAAAAAAAAAACAAGAAAGAAAAAAAAACATGGAAGGGCGATGGAAATGGGCTCCACCTTTGTGTCCAATTAAACTTGCACAGTCCATATTTGGGTAGCTAAGTGTGATATTCGATTTACACTTACATGGTTGAAGCAGCAGGTACTGCTCTACAAAGTACTGATCACCAACTTACATTTCATGCTCTAGTGACTTAGTTCAAATCTGGTTTAAGGAGAATTGATTAGTCTCTTGAAGACCATAACATAAAATTGCAGGTATATTACAGAATGGAGGGTAGGGATTCTGGCGTTCCTTTTACGTTCCAGTGATTCTGTTCTCCTCCCGTTCAGAACACCCATGATGGTCTTCATTAGGAAGACTTAGTCCCACAGGGCGTATACTTCCACTGTGGATATAATTCAGGTTTATTTATGGAATCTTGACATTCAAAGCTGTGCTTCATTATAATGTGTTGTAGTTCCCTGAGCCATGGAAAATTTTAACTTCTGATGGGCTTCTATTTATTTACAATGTTTTCTGGTCATTACAGACAAATCCTTTGACCTGAAGTATGTTATACAACAAATGTTGGATCCAGACCCTGCAAGTCGTCCAACAGTTGACCAAGTTCTTGCCTTCCCGTACGTCAGAAAGGTAGGCATTGTCCTGTTGGGAAGATGTATATCACATTTTATCCAGAGAGATTTTCCAAAACCAAGCTATCAATAAACAATGGCAAAGAAACCTTCTCTGTATCGTCTTAACATTCCTTAGTTTGATTTTTAGGTCATCTGACCCGAAGGGTCCGATGACCTATAGTCATCATGCTTCGTCCGTCGTCGTCCGCCGTGCGCCGTGCGTCGTGCGCCGTGCGCCGTGCGCCGTCCGCCGTGCGCCGTCCGTAAACTTTTCATTCAAACGACTTCTTCTCAAATACTAGAAGGTCTAGGGGGCTAATACTTGGCACAGAGGATACTGGCATGGAGCTCTACCAAGTTTGTTCAAATGAATGACCTTGACCCACTTTAAAGGTCACAGGGGTCAAATATGTTAAAATCTTTAAACAACTTCTTCTCATTAACCAAAAGGCTCAGAGTGTAGATATTGGGCCTGTGACATGCTTGGATGAAGGACTACCAAGTTTGTTCAAATGAATGACCTTGACCCACTTTAAAGGTCACAGGGGTCAAATATGTTAAAATCTTTAAACAACTTCTTCTCAATAACCAAAAGGCTCAGATTGCTGATATTGTGCCTGTGGCATGCTGGGATGAAGGGCTATCAAGTTTGTTTAAATGAATGACCTTGAACAACTTTCAAGGTCACAGGGGTCAAATATGTCAAAATCTTTAAATAACTTATTCTCAAATACTAGAAGGCCTAGGGGGCTAATACTTGGCCCATAGCATGCTGGCATGGAGCCCTACAAAGTTTGTTCAAATGAATGACCTTGGCCCACTTTCAAGGTCACAGGGGTCAAATATGTTAAAATATACAAAGGACTTCATCTCAATAAGCAAAAGTCTATGAGTGCCGATATTGGGTCTGTAGCATGCTGGGAGAAAAGGCTACCAAGCTTATTTAAATGAATGACCTTGAACAACTTTCAAGGTCGCAGGGGTCAAATATGTCAAAATCTTTAAATAACTTCTTCTCAAATACTAGAAGGCCTAGGGGGCTAATACTTGGCCCATAGCATGCTGGCATGGAGCCCTACAAAGTTTGTTCAAATGAATGACCTTGGCCCACTTTCAAGGTCACAGGGGTCAAATATGTTAAAATATACAAAGGACTTCATCTCAATAAGCAAAAGTCTATGAGTGCCGATATTGGGTCTGTAGCATGCTGGGAGGAAAGGCTACCAAGTTTATTCAAATGAATGACCTCAACCCACTTTCAAGGTCACAGGGGTCAAATATGTTAAAATATACAAACGACTTCTTCTCAACAAGCAAAAGTCCATGAGTGCTGATATTGGGCCTGTAAGATGCTTGGAGGAGAGGCTACCAAGTTTGTTCAAATGAATGACCTCAACCCACTTTCTAGGTTTGGCTTGCTTTTTGTCAGATGACCGTTAAGGCCCATGGGCCTCTTGTTTTTTTTTTTTTTTTTTCTTAATTAATTTGAAATTTGGTGCTCTATTTCTTGTGGCAAAAATATTCAAAACAAGTAATATTTCTTTTTTAAAAAAAGAGACAGAGAAAGAGCAAATGTTTATATTTAGATTTACGAAAATTCCTTTTTAAAAGCTGTCATGGGGATGTATTTTGTTGGTTTGAAACTTTCTGAAGCAGACTATTATTTCTTTGTCAAAAACAGGATTTGATAGACAAATTACAGATTGCTAATATCTCTCGGGGGCAAAAAAGTGTTTCCATAGAGTAAGGGAAAGGGAATATTTTCCTTTGGGAGATAAGCATTTGATAATAAACAGATGGTGACTGTTACACCATACAAGAGTATACTGTAAAATCAGGATTTTTCATGGGAGATTTATTTTGGATTTATATGTCCTCTTAATATAAACAAATTCTTATATCCATAAACTAGTAAGTTAAGTAGGGTTATTGAGCTTGTCAAAATAAAGTGGCTGCAAAATAAATAATAATAAGTAGCCTGGCAGTGTGTTGTTTGTCAGCTTCACCAACATACTGTTCGTAGCCTGGCAGTGTGTTGTTTGTCAGCTTCACCAACATACTGTTCGTAGCCTGGCAGTGTGTTGTTTGTCAGCTTCACCAACATACTGTTCGTAGCCTGGCAGTGTGTTGTTTGTCAGCTTCACCAACATACTGTTCGTAGCCTGGCAGTGTGTTGTTTGTCAGCTTCACCAACATACTGTTCGTAGCCTGGCAGTGTGTTGTTTGTCAGCTTCACCAACATACTGTTCGTAGCCTGGCAGTGTGTTGTTTGTCAGCTTCACCAACATACTGTTCGTAGCCTGGCAGTGTGTTGTTTGTCAGCTTCACCAACATACTGTTCGTAGCCTGGCAGTGTGTTGTTTGTCAGCTTCACCAACATACTGTTCGTAGCCTGGCAGTGTGTTGTTTGTCAGCTTCACCAACATACTGTTCGTAGCCTGGCAGTGTGTTGTTTGTCAGCTTCACCAACATACTGTTCGTAGCCTGGCAGTGTGTTGTTTGTCAGCTTCACCAACATACTGTTCGTAGCCTGGCAGTGTGTTGTTTGTCAGCTTCACCAACATACTGTTCGTAGCCTGGCAGTGTGTTGTTTGTCAGCTTCACCAACATACTGTTCGTAGCCTGGCAGTGTGTTGTTTGTCAGCTTCACCAACATACTGTTCGTAGCCTGGCAGTGTGTTGTTTGTCAGCTTCACCAACATACTGTTCGTAGCCTGGCAGTGTGTTGTTTGTCAGCTTCACCAACATACTGTTCGTAGCCTGGCAGTGTGTTGTTTGTCAGCTTCACCAACATAATGTACGTAGCCAGTCAGTGTGTTGTTTGTCAGCTTCACCAACATACTGCCTTCACCAACATACTGGCAGTGTGTTGTTTGTCAGCTTCACCAACATACTGTTCGTAGCCTGGCAGTGTGTTGTTTGTCAGCTTCACCAACATACTGTTCGTAGCCTGGCAGTGTGTTGTTTGTCAGCTTCACCAACATACTGTTCGTAGCTTGGCAGTGTGTTGATTGTCAGTTAAGCTTTACCAATGTTTATTCCATTGATGTGTTTTTTTTAAGAAAGCTGTGTTTTATTTTATTGACAGATCTGGAAAAGACGACAACGTGAATACATGATGAACAGTGCTGTAAGTTTTCTGACTAAGGGACTTTTGGGGTTACAAGATAAATCTATCAATGGTTCAGTCTCCTGCATAAAATCTCTAAGCAAACCATTGATTAAATTCTGTGAGTGGTACCTCTTAACAGAACCTGGAGTCCTGGGGTGAGATAGATGTTTTACTGGAATAGACCTAAACAAAACCTGGAGTCCTGGGGTGAGATAGATGGTTTACTGGAATAGACCTAAACAAAACCTGGAGTACTGGGGTGGGATAGATGTTTTACTGGAATAGCCCTAAACAAAACCTGGAGTACTGGGGTGGGATAGATGTTTTACTGGAATAGCCCTAAACAAAACCTGGAGTACTGGGGTGGGATAGATGTTTTACTGGAATAGCCCTAAACAAAACCTGGAGTCCTGGGGTGGGATAGATGTTTTACTGGAATAGCCCTAAACAAAACCTGGAGTCCTGGGGTGGGATAGATGTTTTAATGGAATAGCCCTAAACACAACCTGGAGTCCTGAGGTGGGAAAGATGTTTTACTGGAATAGACCTAAACAAAACCTGGAGTACTGGGGTGAGATAGATGTTTTACTGGAATAGACCTAAACAAAACCTGGAGTCCTGGGGTGGGATAGATGTTTTACTGGAATAGCCCTAAACAAAACCTGGAGTCCTGGGGTGGGATAGATGTTTTATTGGAATAGTCCTACCTGGAGTCCTGGGGTGGGATAGATGTTTTACTGGAATAGCCCTGAACAAAACATGGAGTCCTGGGGTGGGATAGATGTTTTACTGGAATAGCCCTAAACAAAACCTGGAGTCCTGGGGTGGGAAAGATGTTTTACTGGAATAGCCCTAAACAAAACCTGGAGTCCTGAGGTGGGAAAGATGTTTTACTGGAATAGACCTAAACAAAACCTGGAGTACTGGGGTGAGATAGATGTTTTACTGGAATAGACCTAAACAAAACCTGGAGTCCTGGGGTGGGATAGATGTTTTACTGGAATAGCCCTAAACAAAACCTGGAGTACTGGGGTGAGATAGATGTTTTACTGGAATAGACCTAAACAAAACCTGGAGTCCTGGGGTGGGATAGATGTTTTACTGGAATAGCCCTAAACAAAACATGGAGTCCTGGGGTGAGATAGATGTTTTACTGGAATAGACCTAAACAAAACCTGGAGTCCTGGGGTGGGATAGATGTTTTACTGGAATAGTTCTGAAGAGATGGTTGCTTAATTGAAAAGAAATGTAAATGTGGAAGGTTTAATTGAAATCAGTATCATAAGTTCATACACTAACAAAAATGGGCCAATAATGACTATGAAATCATTTCAATTTATTGCAATGAAACAGATATTAAATAAAAATTTGTTGTACACATTGTGTGAATTTTTTTATTTAAAAACAATTCTGAAATATTCCTGAAGATTCAAGACATCTTATTTATCGGTACTTGTGAGTACAAGTGAACTATGATGAAATGAAAAAATATTCTGTATAGTTACCTCCCCTTGCTTTTACAGGTGAACACTGTACGATCCATGTTCCAGAGTTTGTTCCAGGCTTTACTCTTCCTCACTGCTCTATTTACCTTACCTTATCATTATTTCCGGCCAACCCTCCCTAGCGAGACATCCACACGTAGCAGCGTCCTCAGTAGTAATAGTACTGGCTTGGGACTAGACCATAGTCTTTCTGATGGTAAGTTCACATTGCCAGATCTGAGAATCAATGGAAACTTTAATTCTAACACAGGAATAGATTTTTACTGTTTTATAACTTTCTGATTACAGACTGAATGTTTTGCACTAATTTACAGCCAAAAGAAATCTTGTTTCCTTTAAATTTAGGGAGGGGGGAGGGGGGGCATATTTTGCAAGATAAGGTTGGTGTAAAATTGAGGGACAAGTTTCTTTACCTGTCTGTGTAAAGAAGAGCTGATTTAGATATATAGAACATTTTATCATTTTTCCAGATGATTGTTTTGAGGATGAGTTCAGTATACACAACAATTCTATGGGAATTCCATTAGACAGTTCTTCATCAAGTGAGAGTTTCCTTTCAGAGTTTGCAGTGCCAAGGTATGTTGTTTTTAATTATTGATCTGAGCTATAGTTATTAAAAACACTTTATAATTATATGTAGCTAAAAGTTAAGGGAGAAAGTGATCTTTTGAGGAAAAAATATACATCAGTGCTCCAGAATAATTCTTTAACCAATAGGTAAATAACACTTTTCCAACCTTAAGAGTAAAAAATCTCAACCATTTGGGAAAATTTAATGTTGTCATTCCAAAGGTTAGAGACCTGTTTATAAGCTGTCAATCATAACAGTTCAGATCTAACTTCATCAGAGGCTTATCATTTGCTAACGTTTAACATATATGAACAACAACAACAAACAAAAATAGATAATTTTATGGGTTTTTATATGCCCGTTGAAAGACGGATGTATTATGGTATGGCGCTGTCTGGTGTAAACTTTTATTTGTCCTGAGATCTCCTCCTACATTTTTCAGCCGATCTTTATGAAACTTGTTAGGCTTAATCACCATGATATGAAGTTGTGTTTTCCTGAACGGGGTTTTGATTTGGTGATTTGAACAAGAGTTATGGCCCTTTGTTTATTTCACTATAGAAATCTTGTCCGAAGATCTCCTCCAACATTTTTCAGCCGATCTTTATGAAACTTGGTAGGCTTAATCACCATGATATGAAATTGTGTTTTCCTGAACGGGGTTTTGATTAGACGATTTGAATAAGAGTTATACCCCTTTACTCTTTTGGATATTCACGGGTGTATTTTGTTCCGCTTTGCGGTACTCTTGTTTTATTTGGTGTGAAGTTATCTTTACTTGTTAATAGCAAGCTGCCCCTGCGGAAAGCTTATACTTCTCCTGTGATGCGACATCGACCAAAAGACTTTGTCTATCCACCAATGAGTTCTTCACCAGTGCTTCCTAGCCGTAACAGGTAAACAATATCTGAATTTCTTTTAGATGAATAAATACAATGGTTTGTACTACAGAAGTCCTGACCAGAGTTTTGAGACCACTTTTAAATAAATAACATGTTTTGTACTACAGAAGTCCTGATCTGAGTTTTGAGAGCAGTTTTGAGGAGGAGAGAGCTGTCACACCAACCACATTTACTACTAATCTACTTGATAGTGAAGACATTACCAAGCCTGGCATTGAACCCAAGAATCTCATGGATGTAAGTAACATAAACTGAAGCCAGTAACTGCCATCCTGTCGGCCCCATTATCAACCCTCACTGCTGCTGTCGACTAGGTACAAACTTTCAATGGCCCAGTCAGACTCGGCACCAACGGTAAACTGCCCTGTCAGACTCGGCACCAACGGTAAACTGCCCTGTCAGACTAGGCACCAGCAGTAAACTGCCCTGTCAGACTCGGCACCAATGGTAAACTGCCCTGTCAGACTTGGCACCAACGGTAAACTGCCCTGTCAGGCTCGGTTCAAACCTTTAACTGCCCTGTCAGACTTGGATCGAACCTTTTAATTGCCCTGTCAGATGCGGTTCAAGCATTTTAACTGCCCTGTCAGACTTGAATCAAACGTTTCAACTGCCCTGTCAGACGCGGTTCGAGCATTTTAACTGTCTTGTCAGGCTAGGTTCGAGCATTTTAACTGCTCTGTCAGACTTGGTACGAACATTTATGGACACAAGCATGCGGTTAAAAATACCAAATTCAGTGATAATAGAGCCTCTAATATTAGAGGTTCCTCCTTACAGTTATGGGGTTCTGAAAAGCACTGAGTAGTGTTAGCATGAAATGTGTTGTCACCATAAAGCATGATTTAAGTCGCCATGAAGGGTGTTGTTTGTCACCTGGAGTTATTGGATGTTGTGGAACATGCTGTTTGTTGTCATGAAGGGCGTTTGTCACCCTAAGATAATAAAGCATATTATTTGTACTTATGGCCTATATAAACTTAGAATTGACATGTTTGATAGGCAAGCAAATCTCTTCATTATTATTTATTTTGATATCTTTCCACAGATGTTTGAAGCGGCCAGCGATGAGGATTGATACTGCTGTTTATTGTACATCACTTATCACGATGTGAAGGTGCTCACTTCAGGATGTACCAGTGCTTGTGTTCAGAACTGGTTTCTGAGCTCCATCTATGACAAAGATGGACAGACATTAAAGTGCTTAGAACTCCAGAAATCTGTTGCCAAATTAACAAAGATTGTCTTGTTGAAAATGCTGAACTACTGCAGGCCATGTGACATGTTTAGTCCTGTGTTTGTTTTACACAGTAAAACATTGAAGGCTACATATACTACATGATTGTGACAAACCCATTTCTAAAGAGTTGTGCACCACACATAGGAGTCTTGCAAAATATCTTTTCAATTCAAAGGATTCTTGGTAATGGCATAGTTTGAAAAGTGCAAGAAATGGTGATTCACATAGATTTACTCTCGGTTTAAGGCAGTAAGGTAGCATTATTATATCCACAAGTGTGATGTAGAGAGTCCCATGTATTATTTTTGAGGATACTGAAGTGCTTGCAAAATTGACTTTTCTTACAGCAGGCAGTAACATTGAAGATGTTGGAAATTATGCAGTTGTGCATAAAAGCAGAAAACAAGCTTTGCCGTTATTTGCAAGAAGTTTATTTTTATATGCCTACAATAACCGATATGTGTTCAAATTTGTGTACTGTGTTCAAATTGTGTACTGTGTTCAAATTGTGTACTGTGTTCAAATTTGTGTTCTGTGTTCAAATTTGTGTTCTGTGTTCAGATATTTAAAGGTCGCAATGTAATCTGAACATTATCATCATTATCTGAATATCTGCTGCAATTTATAGTTCTCAATATCTTCTATATGTCATCTTTATATGTATATATTGTCTAAATATCATTGTACATTTAAATATCATCTGTACATTTAAATATCATCTGTACATTGTCTAAATATCATCTGTACATGGTCTAAATATCATCTGTACATTGTCTAAATATCATCTGTACATTGTCTAAATATCATCTGTACATCTAAATATCATCTGTACATGGTCTAAATATCATCTGTACATCTAAATATCATCTGTACATCGTCTAAATATCATCTGTACATTGTCTAAATATCATCTGTACATTGTCTAAATATCATCTGTACATCGTCTAAATATCATCTGTACATCTAAATATCATCTGTACATCGTCTAAATATCATCTGTACATTGTCTAAATATCATTGTACATCTAAATATCATCTGTACATCGTCTAAATATCATCTGTACATTTAAATATCATCTGTACATTGTCTAAATATCATTGTACATCTAAATATCATCTGTACATCGTCTAAATATCATCTGTACATTTAAATATCATCTGTACATCGTCTAAATATCATCTGTACATCGTCTAAATGTCATCTGTACATCTAAATATCATCTGTACATCGTCTAAATATCATCTATACATCGTCTAAATATCATCTGTACATCGTCTAAATGTCATCTGTACATCTAAATATCATCTGTACATCTAAATATCATCTACACATTTTCTAGATATCATTTGTGTAATGTCTAAATATCATCTGTACATCGTCTAAATGTCATCTGTACATTGTCTAAATATCATCTGTACATTGTCTAAATATCATCTGTACATTGTCTAAATATCATCTGTACATCGTCTAAATATCATCTGTACATCTAAATGTCATCTGTACATCTAAATATCATCTGTACATCTAAATATCATCTACACATTTTCTAGATATCATTTGTGTAATGTCTAAATATCATCTGTACATCGTCTAAATATCATCTGTACATCGTCTAAATATCATCTGTACATCGTCTAAATGTCATCTGTACATCGTCTAAATGTCATCTGTACATCTAAATATCATCTACACATTTTCTAGATATCATTTGTGTAATGTCTAAATATCATCTGTACATGGTCTAAATATCATCTGTACATCTAAATGTCATCTGTACATCTAAATATCATCTACACATTTTCTAGATATCATTTGTGTAATGTCTAAATATCATCTGTACATGGTCTAAATATCATCTGTACATCGTCTAAATATCATCTGTACATCTAAATATCATCTGTACATCGTCTAAATATCATCTGTACATCGTCTAAATATCATCTGTACATGGTCTAAATATCATCTGTACATCTAAATGTCATCTGTACATCTAAATATCATCTACACATTTTCTAGATATCATTTGTGTAATGTCTAAATATCATCTGTACATGGTCTAAATGTCATCTGTACATTTAAATATCATCTGTACATTGTCTAAATATCATCTGTACATCGTCTAAATATCATCTGTACATCGTCTAAATATCATCTGTACATCGTCTAAAGATCTAAAATTGTATTCTGGATTTTTTCATGTAGAGCCATGAATAGTAATTAATCCTGTACACACAAATAGTGTACAATTATAACAACAATTTATGTAATCTCAGGGTTGAGACCTTGATGATCATTCTCAGGCTGAATATACACATCCAATCTTGTTAAACATTTCTGTGGTCAGCACAAAGCTACCATGACAAATTTTAAGAGACCTATTTCATGGACAAGATGTTAAACACTTAATTGTCGTGTGATACTGTACACAAACTTAAATGAACATTTCATAAGAAATTATTTTCAGTGTATAGAACCATTCTATGGTATGTAAAATGAAGGCTAGATTCATGTGATGTCCACTTCCTCCTGCAGCAACTTTTGATAGAGTTGATGTTTAGCTCAATATTCATCAGGTAGAAATGGGATGATAACCATACTTTTATTGTACGAACGTTTTGTAAATGTGATTGGTTTTTCAGCAGCAGAAAACCAATACCTCTCATTCAAAGAAAAAAGTTTGTAATATGTGATTGTAATCTAGATATTTCACACACAACCGATGATTGTAATATGTGATTGTGATCTAGATATTTCAGACAGAACCTATGATTGTAATGTGTAATTGTAATCTAGATATTTCACACACAACCTATGATTGTAATGTGTAATTGTAATCTAGATATTTCACACACAACCTATGATTGTAATATATAATTGTAATCTAGATATTTCACACACAACCTATGATTGTAATGTGTAATTGTAATCTAGATATTTCAGACAGAACCTATGATTGTAATGTGTAATTGTGATCTAGATATTTCACACACAACCTATGATTGTAATGTGTAATTGTGATCTAGATATTTCACACACAACCTATGATTGTAATGTGTAATTGTAATCTAGATATTTCAAACAGAAGTAGACTGTGTAGTGAAAGTAGGAGGCTGGCCTGCCGTGTACATGTAGTCGTGTAAGGAACATTATTACAGAACTGGATTGGTGTAGGCGGCCAAATGATCAAAGTAGCTGGTCAAATTGGCCGGCGACTGGCTTTTATGGAAAACCCTGAAGTCTTAAGACTTAAATAGACATTTCATTTAGAACCAAGCTCCTCATTGTACTGGTGGTGAATCGCAGTATCTATGTTCTTCATAACAATTTAAATTTGTATTCAGTTGAGTTCAGCACAATAATGTTATTTTTGTCATCCTCATCCTTATGTTATTTGTGAAGGTGTAAACACCATTTAAATTTGTTATCACAGAATTATGTTTTCAAGTTGAAAGTGCTACATTTTTTGTTTTTTTGTTTTCTGGTTCATTGCAGTAAAACACTGCTGCGACCCTTGTATGGTGTCATGTGATTCTGTGTATTTTACATGTGTTCTGGGATAAGTTCTCTTGATACACTACACAGGACCACATATTTTTGTTTACACAGGACCACATATTTTTGTTTACACAGGACCACACATTTTTGTTTACACAGGAACATATGTTTTTGTTTACACAGGACCACATGTTTTTGTTTAAACTGGACCTTGTGTTTTTGTTTACACAGATATAACAATGAGGGGGTAGGACTGAAAATTTATAATGCTGACGGTGTTGTCTTTCGGGAGAGGGACTGTTTAGTTTTTCTTTGCTGAAACAATCTCTCAAGTAAAAAAGACAGGAGGCAGTTTTAGAATAACGATAGTGTAAGAGATGATACATAGAAATGGTATTACAGAAAATGTTTCTAGCAAGTTCAACTACAGGGACCAGATATAGAAAAACAACTGCAGTGACCAGATATAGAAAAACAACTGCAGTGACCAGATATAGAAAAGCAGACTTTTTCAGTAAGGATGTGATTTGTATTATCATTTCACTGAGAGGAAATGTCAAAACAAAACTTGTTTACATAAAAAGTGTGTTGGTTGTATTATGTACTGTATCTGTTAATCATAGTAAGGTTTTCATACTTATCAGTCACAGTCAGTATTGAACATTTTCCTACATCAGTTTTTGTGCGAGTGTTGATTCTCTACTTCTGATATATATGCCAGTAAAATATCAGAGTGAAATCTCTCTTTTACATGTCCACGAAATGACATTATGTGGAGTGTATTTTATATATACATACATGCTAACCTTGCGATATTTATCGTTATTGAATATTATAGTTATTTATATGCGTTCACTGCCATTGTGTTTATATCCCCACCATCATGTGTTCAAAACAAAATCGGGTACAAATTTCTGTAGTTATCTGGAAGTCCGTAAGAATATTGTTTTTGTTGTTAAATATACTTTTGTGACGGTAACTGTCTGTCTTACAGTTGTTACATTATTTTTTCTCTCTCCTTCAAACACAAAGCTACATGATTAAGATTAGAACAGCATGTAACAATTTAACCTAGAATTTTAGAACTTGTAACAATTGCCAGGGCAGAATGATGTTGCCTCCATCATTGTCTGACCCTTTATACAGGGCTTTAGCCAGAATTTATATATTTAACAGAAATGTCTAGAATCTAAGGAATTATTTGCTGTAAACAAACTGGTTGATAAGCCAGCTTAATGCCTGATGTAAATTTACAAAATGTTTGCTTTTTTTCATGGAGTTTCACATTAATTTCTAAACCTACACAAGCTATGCAAAGACTTTGGTAACAGGGAGAGATTTTTTTTATAAAATCTTTGAATATAAAAGCTGTGTTTGTTTTGTGTTTGAATGTTTTGTCGCATTAACTGCCGATTTCTCTGTAATCACTTTCTGACTACTCTATGCAAACCCCGTATACCAGTTGCTATGACAACTAACATGGTCAGGATGTTGTAATGCCTAATACCCTCTTTCTACATCACAACTTCTGCATAATAACTTGAGTTCCCTTGGACCAATCAAACTCGTCCTTATCAAACTCATCCTTATCATACTCCTTATCAGGGCAGTTTGCAGGGGATTGCTTTTTGTGATTTAAAAGGATAAGCCACTAACTCGAAACTTCTTTCACAAATTTGACCTCAATGACCTTACATCTGAGTCAAGGTCATTTATTTTCCTTGAACAAACTCTTAAAAATATCAGATTCAGAACCCATTTTGTGAATTTAACAAAGTTGGCCGCTGTCAACTTATGTAAATGTTGGTCAGGGACGATTTCTTGGCATAATGATGTTTGGCGTCATCACAGGAATCTATCAGTAAAATCTGGTAACCCTCCATCAACCTTTCCATCTGATGGAAAGACTCTTAATCCACCAGTCAATCAGATGGACAGACTCCCCATCACATGGACAGACCCTTCACCCACCAGTCCATCAGATGGACTGACCCTTCATCCACCAGTCCATCAGATGGACAGACCCTCCAACCACCAGTCCATCACATGGACAGACTCTCCAACACATGGACAGACCCTCCATCCACCAGTCCATCAGATGGACAGACCCTCCATCCACCAGTCCATCACATAGATAGACCCTTCATCGACCAGTCCATCACATGGACAGACCCTTCATCGACCAGTCCATCACATGGACAGACCCCCCATCACATGGACAGACCCTCCATCCACCAGTCCGTCACATGGACAGACCCTCCATCAACCAGTCCATCACATGGACAGACCCTCCATCACATGGACAGACCCTCCAACACATGGACAGATCCTCCATCCACCAGTCCATCAGATGGACAGACCCTCCATCCACCAGTTCATCACATGGACAGACCCTTCATCGACCAGTCCATCACATGGGCAGACCCTCCATCCACCAGTCCATCACATGGACAGACCCTCCAACACATGGACAGACCCTCCATCCACCAGTCCATCAGATAGGCAGACCCTCAATCACATGGACAGACCTTCCATCCGCCAGTCTATCACATGGACAGACCCTCCATCACATTAATATTTTAGCTTTGTGTTGGAGATAACTATTTGGGCAGTCTCGAATCTGTGTCTACGCATAAAAAAATAGATTTACAGGCAGTGAAATATTCATAGTGTTTACATGTGGTCATGTTATGAAGGATTTCTGAGTTGGAATTTGCTGAAATGTAAGTACTTTGTTACCATGACAGTGTTGTTGATTTTAAGATTGGTGTTTAGAATTAAATTTCTTCTAGAAAGTTGTAGTGTTAGGTTGGAATTAGCAGTATTTTTGCATTTTTAGCATTTTTTCAGTAGGTAACCATGACAATCAAATGTCAGAAATCAGAGGAAATTTTTGATTTACACAAATTTAATCTTCTATCAATGCGATTGTTATGTAGTTTAAAAATATATTCTAAAAGGATAAAGAAACGCAGGGTTAACTTTAAACCAGAATTTCATTTCAGTAATAATTACCTCAACTTTAGTATGCAAATATGGTACCTACACCCATCTTTGTATCCCAAAAACAAAAGATTAAAAAATCCCGCCCTCCCTAGGACCATGAGCCTTCACGTCATGAACATAGAGTTATCTCCCTTCCTCTTATCTTTAAGGCTACCGGAGCGGGCGGACGTGCTATATTCAGCTGAGTGCCTTCCTTTTCTTTCTAGCTTAAGTCTAGCTTATAGCCGAGTATTTATATATCGGCTTATTGCTTTAACCCATCGTTAACTGTAACAGTCTTTTGCAGACGTTTATTTTGTTAATATATCCTGCTTTTAGGCCTTTATTCGGCCTTTGTTCGGCCATTTGCTATACTCCACGCACCGAGCGTGTATCCACGTGTTTTGCGCTGTTTGGTTTTTCGTGAAGTTTTTTCACTTTTTATCGGTCTTATTATTTATTCGACCGTATATTTTGCTTAGCTTTTTTTACGTTTCGTTAGCTTTTGCTTTCGTTCGTATTTGTTTGTTGGAGTTGTGTTTTTTCACTCCATTTATTTTTGTTACGTTTATTTGTATTAATAACTGTTGTTATTTGATTATATATTTCGTAACAATTATGGATTCAGGGCTGCGTCGTGGTTCGGCACATGGGTGTTCTCACTTCTACGGAGAGCAGGACCCACATGATGCCTGTCCCTTATGCCGGCCTTGCAGCGAGGCCTCACCGTGCGAACTTTGTTTGCACGCCGGGTCCGCTGTAAAGGTTCCCCTACCCAGGTTTTCTACCCCCGGCCCTGAGCCAAGGGGTGAGGTTGTCACTGCTGGGGGTGTTCTCACACTGAGCTCCGCCCTCGAGCAGGGGGTGGCTCCCCCTGTCCAGGCGCGTCCTGGTATGGGGGGGGAGCAACCCGACCCTGACTCGGCGAAGTCTAGGGTCGAATCGGCCGGTAGCTCCCGACAGCCGGCGGTGCTACCGTCGGAAAGGGACTTCCGGTCACAGGTCTCTGAGTCTTTCAGGGACCTCGGCACGCCAGGTGGCGTCGTTGGTGGGGGCCGCCCTGACGCCGGACCGGTACCCTCGGGTATGGGGTCAGGGGTCACTGACTTTTTGTCAGGGTTGTCAGTGGCTACGGGGATTAGTGACACTGAGTTCACTAATCCTAGTGTCAGTGCGGGGCCTGGGTTCCTACCCTCACAGGTCTCTGGATCTGGGGCTTTTCGCTCTAGTCCAGATTTTCCGGTGCAGGGTTTCCCAGGGGGTTTCCCCCAGGGATTTGGGGCCCCAGGTCAGGCTTCCGGTTTCCGGTCGCCTTTTCCCCTGGGCTCGAGGTGTAGGGGTGCCTGCGGGCACTCAATCCCGGGCCGCCCAGGCCAACCTGCGGATGGTCATGGGTACCAACAGTTACCCAGCGGTTACGGGCTCGGCCCGTACATGGCTGGGTTTCCACCTGGTGGGAGTGGAGGTTCACCCTGGTCCTTTGGACAGGGTGTCCAGCCCCAGGCTCAGGCAGACCAATTTGGCCAGTTCTGGGGTTACTCCCAGCCCGCGGGACTGTTCCCATTCCCTCAGGGGTTTGGGTTCAACCCCATGGGTCTTCCTTCATGGAACCCTTGGGGTATGGTCTCTCCCTCTAGGAGACGTTTTAGCAGTGCTGAATCCCCCCAACGCTCTACTACTTCGGGGGCCGTTTCGGCCGGTCCTAAAAAGGTTCGCCGGACCTTTAGGACTTCCGCCTCCCGCGCGGACTCGACGGTCTCCTGTCCTCAGGGGTTGGCTTCTAAGCCTACAGCTTCGGCTGTTAGACGTTCTACATCTAAACGCCGTATAGAGGAGTCCCCCTCTCCAGAGAGGTCTCCTCTGGCGGCCCCTGTTCCTCCCAGGGCGACTTCTGTCGCTAGCGAGGAGGAGATGGACGCTGAGGGCGTGGGCTTGGCAGAGGATGACGATGTTATCCATCTGTCTCCTGGGTGCTCGGCGATTGATCCTTCTGAGTCATCGGCAGATGACCCTTCCGACCAGGAGGGTTCCCAGGAGGTAGGGGGCTCCGAGATTGCTGAAACCGAGGCTCAGCATGTTCTTTCGGGGATGCGGGCCCTACGGGCCGACATTTCTCGGATTCTCGGAGCGGAGGTATGCCCACCCCCTTCTGCATCGTCAGTGCCCGAGTCCACCACCCTTCTAGGTTCTTTGGTGGCTCCTCGGGCTTCCGTTCATACTGATCGGACTCTGCCAGAAGGCACCATTGTGTCTTCGGCTCTGGCCACCGCCCGGGCACGGGTTTTGGAGAAGAATTCTTCATCTACCCGCACCCCAGGGTTTGCCGGTCTGCAGCTCGGTGTTGGCGATTTGTCAGAGGCTTCTACCGCTGACTACGCTACACATGACGGGCAACTGGCCCCTCAACCAGCAAAGCTGGAGTCGAGGGAGGGAGTTGGCTGCCTGGCCCGGCAAATCGGTGGACCAGGTGGTGCTCGATGCTAGAGAGCACCACAGGATGGAGAGGATGTTGCGCCTTTCCATCCAAGTTCTGTCTTACATAGACTTCCTGACTGTGAGTCTATACAAGGTATCCGACTTGCCTGAGGGTCGGGTACCAGAGACGGAACAGGCCGACATTCAGGACAGGCTTACAGCTGCCCTGAACGCGGCGTTGAAGGCATCGGCGGCCTTACAGGTCTCCCTGCTCGCCAATGTCGTGTTGGCTAGGCGATTTTCAATCTTAAAAAATCGCTCAGTCGAGGAACCTTATCTTTCCCGTCTATTGACTTCCCCCTTCACTGGCTCTACCCTGTTCGGGGGAGCTCTCCCTTCTGTCCAGAAGGAGGACTCGATTGCCTCAGCACTCTTGGTGAAGAGGTTTCGTTCCGAGAAGGCCAGCGCCTCGCAGGGGTCAGCGCCTCCCAAGAAGAGGGCTAAGTTTTCGGCTGGGCAGGCGTCTACCCAACCCAAATCGCAGCCACACTTCAAGGGCAATAAGGGGAAAGGTAAGAAGGGTAAGAAACCTCCTGGGGGCAAGAAGAAGGGCTCCTGACTCTTTCTTCTTCTTGACCGAGACAGAACAGGGGTCTGGCGGGGTGGACGGCGGTCCTCCCGTTCAGGTCTCTTCTCCCGCAGGCTCAGGCTCCGGATGGGCGGACGAATCTCTGTTTTGGCAGGGACTCGATCTGCCCCAGCCGGAGCTTCCTGTGGGCGGGCGTCTCTCCGCTTTCCTGTCCCAGTGGCAGGAAATTACGGAGGACGCGTGGACGTTGTCGGTGGTCAAGGAGGGTCTAGGTATTCCCCTTCTTCGGGATCCGCCTCTTACCGCCCAGCCGATCTTCTTTCCTCCTCCGGGGGATTTGGAGAAGGCTCGGGCGATCCAGGAGGAAGTAAGGACCTTGCTTGCCAAGGGCATGGTAGAGGAGATTCCTATGTCGGAAATCACTCCCGGCTTCTACTCCCGAATGTTTCTCGTTCGGAAGAAGTCCGGAGAGTGGCGCCCGATCATAGATCTCAGTGCCTTCAACAGGCACGTAGATTCTCCTCACTTCAAGATGGAGACCCCACGGGGCATCATGGCCTCCGTGAGGGACGGGATGTGAGCAACTTCAGTAGATCTGAAGGATGCCTATTTCCATATCCCCATCAAGAAGTCGGCACGGAAGTTCCTCCGTTTCACGTGCAACGGCAAGGTCTTCCAATTCCGGGCCATGCCCTTCGGGCTGACGACAGCTCCCTTGGTGTTCACCAAACTGCTGCAGGTAGTCGTGGGATTCCTTCACTCTCGCGGAATAGACGTCCACATCTATTTCGACGACTCCCTCATACTTCACAGGGTGAGGGAATCGTTAGTGAAGGATACCCGGCTGGTCCTGAAAGTCTTGCTCAGAGTCGGCTTCATTCCTTCCAGAGAGAAGTCAGAGGTTTCCCCATCTCAGGACTTTGTCTTCCTGGGGAATCGTTTCGATACGGTTCTGGGCATAGCCCTACCACCGGTGGAGAAGTTTGAGAAGGCCAGGGCTCTAGCTCTGTCCTTCATCGAACGGTCGCAGGTCCAGGTGCGTTGGTTCCTCAGTTTTCTGGGGTATCTCAACGCCCTGGCAGATGTGGTCCCCCGAGGGAGACTTCACATCAGACCTCTCCAGATGTTCCTCCTGTCCAACTGGGTTCCGTCATCCAGGAAGTGGGAGGCCTGGATAACTCTCACTCAGTCGGTCAGGGAGTTCGCTCGCTGGTGGACCATTCGGGAGAATGTTCTCCGCGGGGTTCCTCTGACAAAGCCTGTCCCCTCTATGACCCTGTTCACGGATGCTTCCATGACAGGATGGGGAGCTTACCTCGACGGCCATTGTCGCTCGGGGGAGTGGTCTGGGGATCAGCTCTCGGAGCACATCAACGTGCTCGACATGAGGGCAGTTCTTTTGGCACTACAATCCTTTTGGGGATTCCTGCAGTCCAAGGCCATTTGTGTGGCTACCGACAACACTACAGTTGTCGCGTATCTGGAGAGACAAGGGGCACCAGGTCTCACGTCCTGTGTGCCCTCTCCATCCGCATCCTTCTTCTCTGTCAGGAAATGCAATTGTCCATTTCGGTCAAGCATCTTCCGGGCAGGTTGAATGTGTTGGCGGATACCCTCTCCAGGCGCCGCCAACCGGTGTTGACGGAATGGCAGCTGTGTCCCTCGGTCTTCCGGGGAATTTGTCAGGTGTGGGACAGGCCTTTGATAGATCTGTTTGCCACTTCTCTGAACAATCAGCTGCCAACCTTTGTCTCTCCGGTCCCAGATCCGAAGGCTTGGGCTGTGGACGGGATGCATGCTTATGCATTCCCTCCCTTCAACCTGGTGGGCAGGGTGCTTCAGAAAATCAGGGAGCATCACTGCTCCTTACTTCTGATAGTCCCCCTGTGGCCGAGGCAGCCTTGGTTTCCGGAGCTCTTGTCGTTTCTGGTGGAGGAGCCACTGGCTCTCCCCACCAGACCGAATCTCCTGCGTCAGCCTCGGTCCAGGACGACACACTATCGACCAGAGATCCTCCACTTTCACGCGTGGAGGCTATCTCTGGAAGCCTCGCCAAGGCAGGCTTTTCTCGAGAGGTGTCAGATCGCATCGCGCGATCTATCAGGGCTTCCTCTTCTGCCGTCTACCAGTCCAGATGGAAGATCTTCTGTGATTGGTGTGTCGGCAGGGAGGTTGATCCATTCGAAGCCTCTGTTCAGCTGATTGCGGATTTCCTACTCTCTCTGTTTAGGGACCGCAATCTGGCACCTGGCACTATTGCTGGCTATAGGACAGCAATTGCCAGTGTCTTGGCTTTTTACGGCAGGAAGGAGATAGGTTCTTCCTCATGTCTTTCTGCCCTAATCAGAGGCTTCGCTTTGGATAGACCCAGAGTTCGGCAGCTGGCCCCACAGTGGAATTTAGCCTTGGTGCTAGATTCCCTGACGAGGTCACCTTATGAGCCTATGGAGTCTGCCTCTTTAAGTTTCTAACTTTCAAGACAGTCTTCCTTTTGGCTCTGGCCTCTGGACGTAGGAGGAGTGAAGTGCACGCCCTGTCGTCACTTCCTTCCTGCCTTCGTTGGTCCAGAGGCTACGCTGCCGTTACTCTTCTAACTGATCCTTCGTTCCTTGCGAAGAATCAGGTCCCGGGGTTCTCGCCCGATCCCATCAAGATTCCGGCTTTGACTAGCTTGGAGGAGAGGGATAGATTGCTTTGTCCCTGTAGGGCTCTTAGCTTTTATCTTGATAAAACCAGGGGGGCGGGGCTCCAGATCCCGTCTGTTTTTGCCTATCAAACAGGGACAGCGAGACATCTCCTCCCAGTCGGTGTCTAGGTGGGTATGCCAGGTCATTAAGTATGCTTATGAGCACTCTGATGACCAGGCTCGGGCGAGGGTGAGTGCGGGCTCATGAGGTAAGGGCCCTCGCTGTGTCCTGGGCCCTTCTTAATGGGTCCTCCTTTCAGGAGGTCATGTCTGCTGCCTTCTGGCGGGGCAGGGATACGTTTACAGATTTTTATCTGAGATCCCTGGCTTCTCACTCAGAAGGTTTGTATTCTTTGGGACCTCTGGTGGTTGCACAGTCTGTGGCTGTGCCCCCCACCCCCCCCCGTTAGCCCTGGGGCTTGTCTGTTCCGTTCGGTGGCACGTGGGTTACCTGCTCGGTCACGGGGAGGTTGCCCCTCCTTCTTCTATGCACTCTGTCCCCCCTCCCTACCATGTTCAGTTGTGCTAGATGGGCTGCCTGGCTGCTAGTCACCACTACGGTAAGACGAATTGGCATACTAAAGTTATGGTAATTATTACTGAAATGAAATTGAGGTTTTTTAATGTAAAACCAATTTTCATGAGGTAATACTTACCATAACTTTATAGAGTCCCACCCTATCCTCCCCTCTTCCTATCTGCCTGACTGCCCCTCTGCGGGTGCCCCATAAAGGCTAAGAGGAAGGGAGATAACTCTATGTTCATGACGTGAAGGCTCATGGTCGTAGGGAGGGCGGGATTTTTTAATCTTTTGTTTTTGGGATACAAAGATGGGTGTAGGTACCATATTTGCATACTAAAGTTATGGTAAGTATTACCTCATGAAAATTGGTTTTACATTAAAAAACCTCAGATTAAGTATGATATCGGGCTTCCTTTAAAACGAAATATTGTATACTTACAGATAAATTAAATCTTAAAATTTTCCAAAGTCTGGATTTTGCATCTGACAATAGGTTTAGAGGTACTAACGATTAAATTGAATGGACCCATAGGATTTTAAAATTGAAATTGAATTGAGTCATCAATATCTTGTGTGTCCGCCGTTTGCTGTGGTCACGGCCCTTATTCTTCTGGTCATAGAGTTCATGAGAGCATTAATCCGTCTTATGGGGATGTTGTCCCACTCTTCAATCAGAGCTCTGGTCAACTGCTCTCAAGTAGCAGGGGTTGGCTGGCGCTTTCGAACCTGTCTATCCAACTGGTCCCAAAGATGCACGATCGGGGACAAATCAGGGCTATATGGCGGCCAATCTAGTGGTTGAATGTTGTTGTTGGCCAGAAAGACTTTGCAAATTCTTGCTACGTGTTGCCTAGCATTATCCTGCTGGAGGGTTAGATTATGCTGCTGTAAGAATGGGATAACATGGGGTCGGAGGATCTCATCTCTATACTTAGCTGCTGTTAAATTGCCATCAATAACAACCAATTGTGATTTTAACCCGTGTGAGATTCCTCCCCACACCATTACTGAACCGCCCCCAAACCTATCCCTCTCTACAACGCAAGCGTCCGTAACAGAATCGAGACTTGTCCGTGAAGAAAACTTGTCTCCACTGCCTCAGTGGAAACCGTCGTAGAGCATGTGCAGCGACCCAGGCCATACGACGCTGACGTCGAGCAGGGGTAAGGTGTGGACCTACGTAGGGGCGACATGCTCTTACACCAACTTCTCGTAATCGATTCCTTACAGTTTTTGAACTTATAGGACGCCCATGATTTCCACGAACATTAAGTGCACTCTCAACGGCAGTAAGGCGCCGATTACACACATGAGAGACGACGATATAGCGATCCTGACGTTGTGACGTTGCGCGTGGACATCCTGACCTAGGTCGATCGGCCAATCGCCCAGTTTCCCGAAGACGTCTTACAAGACGTTCTATGGTGGAAACATTAACACCAAAGTGCCTAGCAACCTGATTTTGCAGCTGTCCCTGCATCAGCATCTGAATGGCCTGACCCCTCTGAACTTCTGTGAGTCATGCCATTCTTAAAACGAATCAAATTCTCAATTAATTTTAGGGAAGCAGTTGGTCTGTATAAAGACTAACGAAGAGTGACTTGACCAACGCTGCATGAGACCAGAACAACACGGTGCACGAGATTCTTGTTTTTTCCTTCCTCCATTTACCAGAGCTGCGCACTGTACTGTGACTAAATTTTCGATACATGACAAGGTGTAATATGACCTAATTACTCAATCCACAAAGTTTTACTTTATTTGGAGAACGTGTTTTCAAAATATCGGAATAAATATTACCCTGCGTTTCTTTATCCTTTCAGTATATATACATGTAATGATGTATTTTTCATAACCAATCTGCTATACCTGTATATCTCAAACATGACAAATAATTTCAGGAAAAATGCAAATTAACGGTTTCCCGCTACCTTATAGCACATCAAAAAATTAATCTATTTAAAATGTGCTTTTACTATGATAAAGTTTAATCCTATTCATAATTGCTATAAATACATAAAAAACACAATGAAACTTGTCCATAATGATTTTGTTTTAATTTCATCTGGGGTGCATAAAGGGAGGTAACTTGGGTGCTCTTGTGGGTGAGCTGTTTTCAAAAGGCTTGGTATCAGTTGGAAAACTGTTCTACAGTAGGTAAAAGGTATAAAATAAGTCAGTAATGACCTTAGAATGTATTTAGACTGGATTTCTAGCAATTCCAATAGTTTAATGTGTGGTATCCATGGTAACTAAGAAAGAAAGTATGAGTTTTTAAATTTTGGATAAATTCTGTTTTGATGATTTTTACTCAATAATGTGTGTGTATTTCTCAAAGACTGGGCAAACAATCATGTTAATATTGTCATAAAATTACATTTCCATAGTTACAGCTGTGAAAAATACTATTTTTCTTACAATATTGTAATGTCATAGGGTTTCTGATAATCACACTTGAAGGGTGGGGGGCAGTAAGCATTGGTGTTTGTTATGTCATACACATGACATTTAAGAATATCTAATGTCATATCACTGTTAATTACTTTCGAGAAATGTGTCAGATGCTAATTTGAAGTTTTTGTGGGATTTCTAGCCTTCACTATGGCATCACAGTGCATTGGTGAAGCCATCATTAGCAATTGATGACGTCATAGTACTGATGACATCAGCCGTTACCATGACATCATAATATCAGACTTTATATATGTAGTATCAATCTGCTTTTCAGTTAGCTAAATTCACAGAAGCACAAATTACTCGATTCAGTTTCAACTGTAACTTTATTCAAGTAAACTTGACTTATTGAGGTTTTAATTTTTCAAATAACCTCTCTTTCTTCCTAATTTGAGTGCAGGATTGGTCAAAACACACACTGCGGGAAAATCATTACTACTTGATAGCTATTCGAGATACAAAGTAAATGATATATCGATTTGTTCGTCTGATTATTTTCTAGACACTCAGAGGGATTTTAATGAAGTGATGTTGTGGTGTAACATCACTACTCTTGGCCTTCAGATGAGTTTATAAAACAAACGAACAGTGTATGATGTTTTAACAAGTGACAGAACTGAACTATTTTCACACCACATGTCCGAGATATTACAAAAAAAGAAATTTTGATATCTACTACATTGGTTTCACTACTTTATGATATTTGAGATGTCATCTGAAGTTAGTCATCTGGGCAGGAGGTATTTTTGAGAGAATGATGGAAATACACTGGAAGTTGTATACTTGCAATTGTACAGAGAACAAAACAGGAAACTGGCTTAAAAGTTTAATTTAAGCAACATCATAGTACAATCAACGTTCTTTACATTATAAAACTGAAGATCAAGTAACAGTAATCTAATATCAAGTAAAATAAAGAATCCTTTTGTTACGTTGGGTTTGATGAGACTCCACGATACACAGTCACCAAACATATACAAGATTATACTCAAGGTCTTTTTCATGTCAAGGTTGATTTGTTGTAAAAATAGCTGTATTTAACTTGACAGGGAAAAATCTCAAAATTGCTACCACAAGAAATTAAGTCAAGAATACTGCCATCGCAAATTTTTCTCGATTCAAATTTAAAAAAAAAACACAAGTACACCTGAACATTAAGAGATTTCAGAATATAGAGGCAAAACCAGAAAGCCACAGATTGTACTGTCACTTGAGGGAAAAAACTTGTCAAGAAACATTTAACAATGAAAATGAAGGAAAGCTATCTCCATTTTCAAACTTCAATGACCCCATTGCTCCAAACTAAAGGAAAATGTTAGCACATTTGTATTCTCAAAATTTGTACAAAAGACGACTTTCTTCCTGGACAGCTTGACCTAACCATGCTGACCATCTTAAATAAAACTGACTGCCTGTACACACAGGACCTAACAATGCTGACCATCTTCAATAAAACTGACTGCCTGTACACACAGGACCTAACCATGCTGACCATCTTCAATAAAACTGACTGCCTGTACACACAGGACCTAACCATGCTGACCATCTTCAATAAAACTGACTGCCTGTAAACACAGGACCTAACCATGCTGACCATCTTCAATAAAACTGACTGCCTGTAAACACAGGACCTAACCATGCTGACCATCTTCAATAAAACTGACTGCCTGGATCATCCCTATGTGTAACTGATAATGCAGCTTCCTAATTACAAACTTTCCAGTAAATAATTGTTTTAAGATAAAAACATGATTGGCAATGTAAGTGTATCGTTTAGTCCTTAACCATGGGTTGTCTCACTCTAATCTGATTAAGACCTCCCTCCCCGTCCATGAATTACCTCCCCTCTCTCGTTCAGTAATACCATTTACCAAACAACATTGTGTTCCTAAAGACCAAGTTTTGTAAATTTATTTGTAACTGCATCTTTTCCAAGCCAATATGGTAATATCTGACATTGTCTCCTCATGAAAATAAATTTCAGTTGACACTCATTTCTGACCATCCATGCATGCACTTTGTGAAATGTTAGTCTTGCTTTAATTTTCATTGACAAACCACTTTAAAATTGTCTGTCAATGCTTGCGCTCGTTAAAACTTTTTTAGAGCCACTAAAGTCAATGTCGAGTGTTGAAGTGAGTGTTGTAATGAATGAATTGTCCTCTGTTTATGTCATTTTACATAAAAACCGTATAGGTAACATTTTGATCTCCCCGTGGTCCGTCTTTATCACACCCTCACCACCATCAATACTAAGCAGTGTTCCAGTCAGCTCTCGCTCCTCGCTCAGAATCACCTTCGCCTGGAAAAACACCATCATAGTAAACCTAGTCAGTTTAGGGGAATTTCAAACACGATTTTTTTTTTTTATAATAACAAAAATATTCTGTCTATTGATAGTTTGGGCACTTTCTTTCCTTGTTTCACTCATAACTTTAATTGTTTGAAAACATTGTGACATTGTAGGTGTGCAAAAATATTGATAGGGAAATTGGCATCGCAGCAATCACATCATGTGGTCACATCAACAGTAAATGTTATGAATAGCTGTAATGATCACGATCGTAAAAACCTGATACCACCAAATTATAAATATACATGTAAATAAGACTGATGCTGTCATTATGTCTAGCTGTGCTGTGTTCACCCCAGCTAACACAACTTGAGGCCCCAATTCTGTATTATAAGTGATCTATACTGACGGAGCATGGAATGTTATGGCATGTGTATTATCAATATTTCAAACAGACTTTTGTCTTTCCCGATCACTAAAGCTCTGTCTTATTAGGCTACATTTTACACACTTCGTCTTAATGTTGGCTCTTTTGGTAAAAACCCTTATTTATTCTTACCAGCCAAATTTTGTTAGATTTGAACAAATTTTTGTTTTCTGGTCAGATTTTACTGAAGATACACAATCACAGTGAGCCTTAGTAACACTTGAGAATACATGAAGCTAGATTTGTTCCCGGAGGAAGTTATGTCATTCAAATTATTGACAACAGCAATTAACAGAGACTAAACAGTAAATCTTCACTCAAGAGTTGATAACAAGACCAAGCTGAGCACAAACACTGTTTTGTAGCATAGTTACCTTGTCACCTTTCTCAGGTAGAACAGGTTCCAGGTGATCACAGGCGACATTAACTGTCTTGTCTTCCTCAGCAATGTACACAGAACACATTCCACCCTACAAACAACACACAGAACTATTCTGAAATCAACCTGTAACAGGCCAAATGTGTGATGTACACAGAATATATTCCACCCTACAAACAACACACAGAACTATTCTGAAATCAACCTGTAACAGGCCAAATGACAGAGAAAAAATCTGATATTATACATAATACACTTTGTTTAAGATTATACAACATAACTGAAAAACCCAGATAACAATTCTGTACAGTACAGAGTGATAACAAGAGGAGATTATATATATATGTATTATGCATTAAGACAGTTAAGAAATTTGAGATTAAGGGAGCTCTTGACAATAAGTCTACAGATCACAACAATGGTCATTGGACCTCACCGTGACACTTCTGATGGTACCAGTCTGGTAAATGAGGTTGGGGTCATCATGGGTTTCTCTGATTTTGACCTCAATCTCGGTGGTGTGCCAATCTGCCATACTGTGGTCCATTCCCATGCCAGGGGTTTGTGGAGTGTAGGGTGCCCCGGGGGTCATGGGGCTGTACCCCATGGGTGAAGGACTGCTAGAGAACCCGCCAGGGGAAGGAGATGGCTGGTAACCACCAGGACTCGGGGTGCTGCCGAACCCTGCTGGACTAGGTGCTGTGGCCAAATAAAAAATAATACAGTGAAAAGTATTATACAGGACAAAGAATTAGAACACTAAATCTCTATATATGATCTGATCTGTAGACAAAACATTTTCTTGTTCTTTTGCTTGGGAGGAGGTTGCTATCTGTTAAATAAACCTTATCGTCAGATTATCTTATGATATCTTGTCTAATGACTTTGCACTTTTCAAAAAGTCGATAAAAGATTTCCTGTATCACTAAGACTACTTTGTCGCTTGGAAAAATCTCTACTGTTTTCCATCTAGGTTGTTTAGAATTTCTTGAGAAGCATTTTCTGTACTATTTAAAGTTTGTCAAACTTCTTTCAATTTTAAGTGATAAGTTTTGAAAAACTTATCCCTATTCGGCCATCATTTCAGCTTTAAGTTTCTTAAGAGAACCAGAACTAAACATGGCTTTCCCATTATTCACTGAAAACGACTGATCTATTCATTAAAATTTCTATAGCTTAAATTCAAAATGGCTTATTGTTGGCCATTTTCCTTTTCAAATCAGTCAGAATTTTTGTCCTGCAAACCAGGGAGACAGAAGAATCTACACATGAAGCAAAAGAAAGAAACATTAAGCAATAATTTGATAAGATCAGACAAAAGTAGCTGGACCAGAAACAATAGAGGAAGGATAATCTAATCACCTTATCATTATTGGGTGGTTGGGTGACGCAGTGATAACACACTGGCTGTTCACCTAGGCGTCCAGGGTTTGATGCCTGGTATGAATGTGGAAAGGTATGAGGTCATCTACCCAACCACCTTGGCCAGTGATAACACACTGGCTGTTCACCTAGGTGTCCAGGGTTTGATGCCTGGTATGAATGTGGAAAGGTATGAGGTCATCTACCCAACCACCTTGGCCAGTGATAACACACTGGCTGTTCACCTTGGCGTCCAGGGTTTGATGCCTGGTATGAATGTGGAAAGGTATGAGGTCATCTACCCAACCACCTTGGCCAGTGATAACACACTGGCTGTTCACCTAGGCGTCCAGGGTTCGATTCCTGGTATGAATGTGGAAAGGTATGAGGTCATCTACCCAACCACCTTGGCCAGTGATAACACACTGGCTGTTCACCTAGGCGTCCAGGGTTCGATTCCTGGTATGAATGTGGAAAGGTATGAGGTCATCTACCCAACCACCTTGGTTTTCCCTGGATACTCAGGGTTTCCTTCCATAGTATGACCCCTCATGTGTTTCCATCCAGGTCAAAAAGTGATATAAGCGTAAAGGTTGTTGCACAATTGTTGTAAAATATGTAAATATATCTTAAAATTGCTTATATGCAGACCTCTACTATAAACATCAACACAATGTTCCTTCATAGCTGTAGAGGAGGAATAAGCAGGTTTACCTTGATAGCTAGCTGGAGAGGGTGAAGCCTGACCATATGGCGAGTAACTTGTCCCTGGGGTCTGCGGTGTGAATGGCCCCTGAGGGCTGGGTGTACTCTCAGGGTATCCTGGTGTGGCAGGGTTGGGAGTGTTATAGTTGGCAGGGGATGACTCATCAAAACTGAAATCTTCAAATTCTGAATTCCTGTTACAGAAAAAAATACTTCAAATTTTAATTCTTGAAATGCAAAAAAAACCTTCAAATTTTAATTCTTGAAATGAAAAAAATACATATATAAGAGATCCTAAAGGGATCGTGGTGCCCATCATTGTTCGATCTTTATTTGCTCTTTGAAAGTTGGATCTTTTCCCTTCTTTTCTCTTCTCTGTTTTTGCTCTTAATGATAAGATATTTGAACATTCCTGTGCAGAAATAGCCATGATAATCTTTAACTGCCAAATGCAAGATGGTCACCTGAAAGCCATGGTGTTTTTTCTGATCTGTCCCAAAATCAAACAGGCACAACGAGGTATCAGGGGAAATCTAAACATGAAATCTGAGAAAGATCTATGCTGTTGTTCTCAAAAAAAATAGTGATAACAATCTTGCAAAGTCAAAATCCAAGATGGCTGTCTGTGAGCCATTCTGTTTTTCTGATCAGTCCAAAAATCAAAAGGGCTCAACAAGGAATCAAGTGGAACATACACATATTTGAGAAAGACTTATACAGTAATTCTCAATAAATAGTGATAACAAACTTTCAGAGACAAAATGGAAAGATGGCCTTACAGCCATTGTTATTCTGATCAATACCAAAAATGGGCACAGCTTGAGATCAAGAGAAACCTACATAGGAAATTTGAGAGAGATCCATTTAGCGCTCCTCAAGAAAGAGTGATAACAAACTTCAGTAGGCAAAATTAAAGATGGCTGCCTGTCAGCCATTTTGTTTTTCTAATCAGTCTCTGGCTTATCTGATAGTGACATACCTGCTTGGTGTGTTTGGATTGGCTGGATCCCATGCACTAGCTCCAGGTGTCATGCTACCAGGCTCGTGTAGAGGGGTACGACTTCCTGGCGTGGCATAGTGTGGAGTACGACTTCCATCGTGGAGTGGTGTCTGGGAACCATACATCGGTGTGCGTGAACCATACATTGGCGTCTGTCCACCCATGTATGTTGGAGTCTTTCCATATGATGAGGACATTCCACTGGGCTTTCCTCCACTGTACATCAACATGTTGTTATCAGAACAAACCAGTACATCAATCAGTCAACTGTTGTTTTATTTTTACAATACTCATTTACTTAACAGCGAGCGCTTTATGGTATTATGTGTGTGTGTGATAATTCAACTCCAACAACCTGCCCATACGATCAACTTTAAACGGAAGTGTGGCAGGAACTTCATTACCCACAATACACTTGCCGCAGCACACAATGAGAACTGCCAACCCGTTGAATGGATTAAAAATTATTTTGACCAATAAAATATTGTTTTAAGCTCTCATGTAGAAATGAAATCATACTACAAGTCTTAAATAATTCAGATGAATTTAACAAACATATACTTTAATGGTTTGAAACGTATATAACAAATATCTCGTTGAAAAATTGCAATTTTAACCAATCAAGATTTGAGCTTGGTTGTGCTCCGATGTACCTGATTTCCGGTTTAATGTTTGGGACCTTTCGTCACTTTCCGTGAACGAGACGATGTGTTTCTTGTTCACGGAAAGTGACGTAAGGTCCCGATTTGACGAAAAACTCGCCCATCTCCTAACTATATTACATATCCTAATTGTACTATTAGTGGTTTGTTTTTGTGTGTGTGTGTGTGTGTGTGTGTGGGGGGGGGGGGGTTACCCAGAATAATGCAGTTTGTTTGTGTAATATATTGTGGCTTTCATAAGAATTTTATTTAAACATATATATTTATATTGATTTTCTTAATTACAATGTATAACAGATTAGTCTCAACAGGGTTTATAACTTTACCCTCTTTTTGCTACCAGGACAAAAAGAATATTGTGATTTTAATAATGAAAACTTGTTAAATATATAAGCGCCACCTTTACAAATCCGACTAAAACTATAATATATTTTCTTTCATCATATTTTGACAAAATCCTTTCTTTTTTCAAAGCAAAGATGATAGAAAGTCCTCTCTGCAATATCTGTAACTCTAAACGGGAAACTCTTATGCATTTATTTTGAAGATCTTTTTTATCAATTGTTATAGTCTAGATATGTTGTCAGTGACTTTTTTAATACATTTATTGTTACCATTGAAACCGATGACCCTCATCAAAATTTCAGTTTTTCTGGGCCAATACTCTGACAAGGCAATTGCTCAAAACTGTTTACACTTAATAATCTAGTAGTCTCTTTTGCTATGGGGAAAATTGCCATTTAAAAACTTTTTCTGTTACCATGGAAACATAGGCCAAACCACAAAACTTTTTTCAAACCAGTTATCTTAAACCATTCAAGGTAATTACCCGATACTCAAAACATTGTACAGGCATCAAACTAGTACTCTAGTAGAAGTTCTCCATTTCAATACTTTGTATGGAACAATTAGAAATAACAAATAGAAATTAACTTGTTGTAATATTAATATATATATGATTGTGTGTTTTTCATTTAAACAGCTTCGCGAAGGGAAAATGTCACATTTTGCGTTATCTTGTCGTCCTTTGTTTGTTTTGTTCTTCTTTGTCTGCCTTCATGGTGTATGATTGTATGTGCATGACTTACTTACATAGGGAAACTTTGTTATTTCAACTTATAACAAGAGATCCCAGAGGGATCTTGGTGCCCACCATTTGAGGATCTGTTTTCAGTTCTTGAAGATTCGTTTATTTTTGTTTGTTTGTTACAGGTGTTGTAAATGTTCATGAACTGGTCTTCATTGAATGTACTCAATGATGGCACAAGATATTTTTATTAAGCACCTATTAGCAAATATCATTTGAAAAAGATCCCAAAGTATTATTAGATAGCAGTCAGTTACAGGTGTAAAAATGACAATATGCTTGTGCTGTATTACTGTCGACATCCAAGATGGCTGCCTGTGGGCCACCTTGATTTCAAATAAGTCCAAAAAAGGTACAATGCACAACTAGAGACCAAGGGAAACCAATATCTATGAAATATCAGAAGGATCCATCCAGTACTTCCTCAGATATAGCAGTAACAAGATTTTACTCTCAAAAACCAAGATGGCTGCCTGTCAGCCATCTCGATTTCGGATCAGTCCAAAAAGGTATAATGCACAACTTGGAACCAAAGGGAACCTGCATATGAAATTTGAGAAAGGTCCATCCAGCACTTTCCAAGAAATAGCAGTAACAAACTTTTACATCCAAAATCCAAGATGGCTACCTGTCGGCCATCTTGAATTTGAATCAGTCCAAAAAAGGTACAATGCACAACTAGGGACCAAGAGGAAACTGCGTATGAAATTTGAGAAAGATCCATCCAGTACTTTCCAAGAAATAGCAGTAACAAACTTTTACATCCAAAATCCAAGATGGCCACCTGTCTGCCATCTTGAATTCGAATCAGTCCAAAAAAGGTACAATGCACAACTAGGGACCAAGGGGAAACTGCATATGGAATTTGAGAAAGATCCATCCAGTACTTTCCAAGAAATAGCAGTAACAAACTTTTACATCCAAAATCCAAGATGGCCACCTGTTGGCCATCTTAAATTCGAATCAGTCCAAAAAAAGTACAATGCACAACTAGGGACCAAGAGGAAACTGCATATGAAATTTGAGAAAGATCCATCCAGTACTTTCCAAGAAATAGCAGTAACAAACTTTTACATCCAAAATCCAAGATGACCACCTGTCGGCCATCTTGAATTCGAATCAGTCCAAAAAAGGTACAATGCACAACTATGGACAAGGGGAAACTGCATATGGAATTTGAGAAAAATCCATCCAGTACTTTCCAAGAAATAGCAGTAACAAACTTTTACATCCAAAATCCAAGATGGCCACCTGTCGGCCATCTTGAATTCGAATCAGTCCAAAAAAGGTACAAAGCACAACTAGGGACAAAGGGGAAACTACATATGAAATTTGAGAAAGACCCATCCAGTACTTTCTCAGAAATAGCAGTAACAAACTTTTACTTCCAAAATCCAAGATGGCCACCTGTCGGCCATATTGAATGCGAATCAGTTCAAAAAAGGTACAATGCACAACTAGGGACCAAGGGAAACCTGCGTATGAAATTTGAGAAAGATCCATCCAGTACTTTTCCAGAAATAGCGGTAACAAGAATTGTTTACGGACGGACGAGGGACGACGAACCACGGACGGCAGGGCAATTTGAATACCCCACCATCTGATGATGGTGGGCTGAAAATCACACTTGTTGTAAGCAAGAGGGGTCTAACTTTGGGAGGAAACCTGTATCCTTTCTATCCCTTCGGGGAATCGAACCCCGAATGGCTAGGTGATAGACAAGTGTTTTACAACTGTGCCACCAAACCACCGCCTGATCATGGTGATACAATGTTTTCTAGAAGAAGAAGATGTGTTGCTGCTGCTGCTGCTGATGATGATGATATATTGGTACATTTTTATGTGTCGATGTTTTGTTCAAATCTTGCGAAATATACAACAAATTAAAAAAAACACGCTTCCTGACAATGCCCCATAAACGAATTATATAGTCCTGTCTTAATAGGCCACATCACTAACTCTTCTAGTAAAAATCTCAATTGCAGACTCAAGGTTTTGGTAAGGGGATTCAATCACAGAATGTAATTGATAATTTGAACAAAAGTAATAGTCTAGAATCCAAACCAAGGACAGAAGTGGTTTTATTGGAGACTTGGGGTCAAGTAGATGTTTTACTGGAGATTTGGGGTCAAGTAGTTGTTTTACTGGAGACTTGGGGTAAAGTAGATAATTTACTGGAGACTTGGGGTCAAGTACATGTTTTACAGGAGACTTGGGGTCAAGTACATGTTTTACTGTAGACTTGGGGTCAAGTAGATGTTTTACTGTAGACTTGGGGTCAAGTAGTTGTTTTACTGGAGACTTGGGGTAAAGTAGATAATTTACTGGAGACTTGGGGTCAAGTACATGTTTTACAGGAGACTTGGGGTCAAGTACATGTTTTACTGTAGACTTGGGGTCAAGTAGATGTTTTACTGTAGACTTGGGGTCAAGTAGATGTTTTACTGTAGACTTTGGGTCAAGTACATGTTTTACTGGAGACTTGGGGTCAAGTAGATGTTTTACTGGAGACTTGGGGTCAAGTACATGTTTTACTGGAGACTTGGGATCAAGTACATGTTTGTTTTACTGGAGACTTGGGGTCAAGTACATGTTTGTTTTACTGGAGAATTGGGGTCAAGTACATGTTTGTTTTACTGGAGAATTGGGGTCAAGTACATGTTTGTTTTACTGTAGACTTGGGGTCAAGTACATGTTTTACTGGAGACTTGGGGTCAAGTAGATGATTTACTGGAGACTTGGGGTCAAGTACATGTTTTACTGGAGATTTGGGGTCAAGTACATGTTTGTTTTACTGGAGAATTGGGGTCAAGTACATGTTTGTTTTACTGGAGAATTGGGGTCAAGTACATGTTTGTTTTACTACATGGGAGAATTGGGGTCAAGTACATGTTTTACTGTTTGGGGTCAAGTAGATGTTTTACTGAGACTTGGGGTCAAGTACATGTTTTACTGGAGACTTGGGGTCAAGTAAGATGTTTTACTGGAGACTTGGGGTCAAGACTTTGGGGTCAAGTACATGGTAGACTTGGGGTCAAGTAGATGTTTTACTGGAGAAGTAGATTGGGGTCAAGTACATATTTTACTGGAGACTTGGGGTCAAGGAGATTTTACTGGAGACTTGGGGTCAAGTAGATGTTTTACTGGAGACTTGGGGTCAAGTACATGTTTTACTGGAGACTTGGGGTCAAGTACATATTTTACTGGAGACTTGGGGTCAAGTAGTTGTTTTACTGGAGACTTGGGGTCAAGTACATGTTTTACTGGAGACTTGGGGTCAAGTACATGTTTTACTAGAGACTTGGGGTAAAGTACAGACTTGGGGTCAAGTAGATGTTTTACTGGAGACTTGGGGTCAAGTAGTTGTTTTACTGGAGACTTGGGGTCAAGTAGAGATGTTTTACTGGAGACTTGGGGGGGTCAAGTAGATGTTTTACTGGAGACTTGGGGTCAAGTACATGTTTTACTGGAGACTTGGGGTCAAGTACATGTTTTACTGGAGACTTGGGGTCAAGTACATGTTTTACTGGAGACTTGGGGTCAAGTACATGTTTTACTGGAGACTTGGGGTCAAGTACATGTTTTACTGGAGACTTGGGGTCAAGTACATGTTTTACTGGAGACTTGGGGTCAAGTACATGTTTTACTGGAGACTTGGGGTCAAGTACATGTTTTACTGGAGACTTGGGGTCAAGTACATATTTTACTGGAGACTTGGGGTCAAGTAGATGTTTTACTGGAGACTTGGGGTCAAGTACATGTTTTACTGGAGACATGGGGTCAAGTAGATGTTTTACTGTAGACTTGGGGTCAAGTACATATTTTACTGGAGACTTGGGATCAAGTAGATGTTTTACTGGAGACTTGGGGTCAAGTAGATGTTTTACTGGAGACTTGGGGTCAAGTACATGTTTTACTGGAGATTTGGGGTCAAGTAGATGTTTTACTGGAGACTTGGGGTCAAGTACATATTTTACTGGAGACTTGGGGTCAAGTACATGTTTTACTGGAGACTTGGGGTCAAGTACATGTTTTACTGGAGACTTGGGGTCAAGTACATATTTTACTGGAGACTTGGGGTCAAGTACATGTTTTACTGGAGACTTGGGGTCAAGTACATGTTTTACTGGAGACTTGGGGTCAAGTACATGTTTTACTGGAGACTTGGGGTCAAGTACATATTTTACTGGAGACTTGGGGTCAAGTAGATGTTTTACTGGAGACTTGGGGTCAAGTACATGTTTTACTGGAGACTTGGGGTCAAGTACATGTTTTACTGGAGACTTGGGGTCAAGTAGATGTTTTACTGGAGACTTGGGGTCAAGTAGTTGTTTTACTGGAGACTTGGGGTAAAGTAGATAATTTACTGGAGACTTGGGGTCAAGTACATGTTTTACTGGAGACTTGGGGTCAAGTACATGTTTTACTAGAGACTTGGGGTCAAGTAGATGTTTTACTGTAGACTTGGGGTTAAGTAGATGTTTTACTGGAGACTTGGGGTCAAGTACATGTTTTACTGGAGACTTGGGGTCAAGTACATGTTTTACTGGAGACTTGGGGTCAAGTACATGTTTTACTGGAGATTTGGGGTCAAGTACATGTTTTACTGGAGACTTGGGGTCAAGTACATATTTTACTGGAGACTTGGGGTCAAGTACATGTTTTACTGGAGATTTGGGGTCAAGTACATGTTTTACTGGAGACTTGGGGTCAAGGAGATGTTTTACTGGAGATTTCAGGTCAAGTACATGTTTTACTGGAGACTTGGGGTTAAATCAATGTTTTACTGTAGACTTGGGGTTAAATCAATGTTTTACTGGAATTGCCTTGATTAATGATTAATATTTACTTTCATTAAACTACCACATTCTTACAGATACAATATTTACAATTTTCACTGGAAATTACATACGTCAGTGTGGAGAGCCTTGTTTTGTCCACCGAGATCGTTTTACAGCTGGAATGTAGCTCGACACGTGCGGTGGAGTCTGTTGCATCCTTTACAATACCAATATATCCTGTAACACAGTAATAAGTATAATGTATAAATCTGTCCTAAATACATTCACTGTGAGATCACCCATCACTGCCTTACAGACACGGCATCTCAACCAAAATGGCAAGATTATTAATTTGGCAAACAAGAGGTTTGCCAAGTGTTTACAACTAAATAATCTTTTCCTGAGGGTTCAGACCCCATGTTTACAACTTAATAATCTTTTCCTGAGGGTTCAGACCCCATGTTTACAACTTAATAATCTTTTCCTGAGGGTTCAGACCCCATGTTTACAACTTAATAATCTTTTCCTGAGGGTTCAGACCCCATGTTTACAACTTAATAATCTTTTCCTGAGGGTTCAGACCCCATGTTTACAACTTAATAATCTTTTCCTGAGAGATCCCCCATCTCACCCACAAGAGAATGTCTAATTATGTTTCTTGAGCCTGCTGTGCTTCCTATATATGTATTGTTTTCATCAAAATGCTTGGCATTATTGATATGATGTCATAGCTATGAAAGGGAACCTCTCCTGTCTCAACTCTGGAGTTTGATAAAGAATTATTCTAGCCTTGATGGGTAAATCCTCATTATTTACCACTATGATATTCCTGTCACGACGATATCACGACGTCATAATAACAATTCTTCACTGACGGCAGGTGAACAACAAACTAAATATTGTACCTAACAAGAGATTCCAGAAAGATCTTGGCTCCTACCATTGTTTGATCTTTAGTTGCTCTTTGAAAAATGGATTTTTTTCTCTCTTTTTTTTCTTTTATCTGTTTTTGCTAAGAAAACTTTAACATTCCTTTGTAGAAATAAAGCGATGATAATTTTTAACTGTCAAATGCAAGATGGTCACATGAAGCCATGGTGTTTTTCTGATCTGTCCCAAATCAAACAGGCACAACGAGGGATCAAGGGAAATCTAAACACGAAATCGGAGAAAGATCTATGCTGTAGTTCTCAAGAAATAGTGTTAACAATCTTGCAAAGTCAAAATCCAAGATGGCCAGCAAAATCCATCCGGTGCTTCATAAGAAATAGTGATGTCAAAAATTGTTTTCAGACAGACGTACCATGGAAGTAGGGTGATTTCAATAGCCTACTATCTGATGATGGTGGGCTAATCAAGCCAGCAGGGTAAGATAAACATAATCTTTCACCCCCGTGTTGGTGAGAGTGATCTCAACCCTTGCCAAAAGATGTTTAATTTGCAAACACTCAGCAACTGTTGTGTTTACTAACATCTTTCCTCCACCTATCTACCAAGGGATGAAAAATTCTCCCGCCACTTTAAGTATGGTTACACCAGGGTAAAAGATATAATTTAGGTTCATATACTTGGTGAAAAATTAATTCAGCAGTTCTCACTCTGAAAACATGTCATGGCAAAACTGAAGTCACAAGCAAAGTAATTTGATTGGTTCTTGGAGAAAAAAACTGACCAATCGCAGACCGATACGCTCCTTTTGAAGATTATAAGGAAATACACCAGACATCAAAGTCATTACAATATACCATTATGCGAACTCAAGATTTGTTTGATGTACATCAAAGGATCAAACCAGTCTTTTCGTCATGTCCACAAGGTGTTATACATGTAACCTTCAATTTTGCCATGAAATGTTCCAGGGGTGTAGAGAGCGAAAGTAATTGTAACTCCTGGAGTATCTAGGATAGGATTATTGAAGAAAAGTAAAGATCTGCTAATGCTACACTATTATTGATATTTTTCCGACATCAGGAACTGTAAAACCAACCTTTGAAAGGACCTTGAACGATCCGCACCGTTTGACCAATGAGTTCACGGTCTCTGCGACTGAAACCCCCACCCCCTCTCCCCCGTCCTGGGGTACCACTGCCTGGTGTTCCTCCCCCGCTGGCTGGGTGGGCGGGGCTTGACAATCGTGGAGACATAAAACCAGCCACACCAATGGATGTTGTTGATTGCTGTGATATAATTAAACACAAAATGAACCATTTATTGAGTATTCAGAGCTTTTTTCTATTTCATTTTTGGTCATTAGCCTTAAAAGTTAGAGGAAAATGTTGTATTTAATGATGAAAAACCTTACACAGCATCTACTAGAATTCTTAGGAGACTAAAACTGAAAGCCAATGGCTATTTCAAATTTGTCTAACTCTTCAACAGAAATGAGAAACTGAAAGTTAACTTTTGGAAAAAAAAGTGGCATGTACATCTATACAAGGTGTCTAACATTCCTATATAGTGTCGTTGAAATAAGAAGTTATCTGGACAACTATTTATCAGAAAACCAGTTTAAAGTGATCAGTTACCATAGTCAAGTTGCCACGGCAACAAAAATTTTGGGATAAAAAATCTACAGCATTCTCGAGTAGTTTCATTGAAGTTTTTCTATGGATGGATGTTCCACCCATAACTTCGTTACAAGGGTATGATTAAGATTTTCTTTCTTTTTGAATTTTTCTCTGCGTAACTTTACCTTGGCTCCTCCTGCTAAAACTAAATGTCTGGTTCGACAAACAAAATAGCCACCATTATCTGTCATCATACGTGACATCAGGAAGGCGTAGCTACGATACAAATGCATGATCTCTCCTTGACGACCCTGTGAAGACAATCAAAGCATATTAAGACAAAAATAATCTTGATATTGGCACAATCTTGGACATCTTTTAGATTCTGCATATCTGTAAACCCACACAAATATAAATTTATAGCACTACACACAGGAGACCCACACAAATATAAATTTATAGCACTACACACAAATATAAAGGGCCGGTTTCCAAAACGGCCCCTTCTCTGATTCAAATTTCCTGTTGGTGGTGCATTGCCCATGCCGTTGTGGTCACAAATCTATAAAGTATAAAGATTTAGGTCACTTGGTTTGTTTTTTATGGCTCCTCAAAGTTGTACCTTTCAGAAGCTGTCTAAGTGTTGATAAAATGTGCATGTTATGTAAAATATTAATGAAAATCTAATCAAATGATAGTCACCGTAAAGAATACATTCATGGCATGATTGTGACAAAAAATCATGTTTCCATCGCGCCATTTGGCTGTTTTATGGAAGAAACAATCTCAAAAATGCCATTTTCGATGATAACATTTTTGACACAAAAACTGTGTTTTTTAGAGAATACACCCTTTTATGGGCGTTGGATGCAAACCAATTTTTATCCTATTAAATAGTACGTAATATGCTATTGATGAGAGGAAAAATCATCAAAATGTAAGTGGTGGAACATTTTCAAATGTTGGGTTGAATTAGCCTATGGTTGAATTGCCGATTTTCGACTTTAGATAATTAACAAAAAAACGAGAGTATTTGCTCGGTATGTTGAGAATATGTACACAGATATGAAAAAAAGTTAGAGAAACACTTTTTCATAAAAAAATCCAAGATGGCTACTTCACAAGTCCCCGTGGTTGAAGACATTGGCTGACAAATAGACAGAACAACAAACTAAACGTGTTCCTTATGATTTTGGTTGGTTTTCGCATTTACGGGAGTGTTCATAGCTACGGGTGATTGTATAATACCTATATTTATAAGTTTGGTTAGTCACATGGTAACGGGGATCTTTCATGTCAAGCCCCAAACATACTTTCGACATATGCACTCCATTGCCGCATGGAAAACTATTTCAAGTTTTGTCAGAATTTCTTTACCTGTGGTTGTAATGGTCGAGGGTTTTCCAGCGTCCTGTAATACACAAAGTAGTACAAGATACTGGAGATGTGCGCACACATTCCCATCGTTCTCTCTCCAACTGGGCACTGGCAGTAGTAGTCCTTTATTGGGGCCTCAACATCGGGTGAAACGGTGAACCGTATCCAAACGTTATATTTCGTTTGGCTTTTGTGTCGAGAATGTATTTGACATCGGAGAAGGTCTGGGGAGTGCTGGTAAAGCCACACCTCATAGTCTCCGTCATCACTTAAATGTTCGGCGATGTAACCAGCAGCCAGAGATATCTGATACGTTCCACACATACTGGTTCTCAAGTAATCAAGATCGAGACTGGTAGGACATCTCTAAAACCTCTGTCAACGACAACGTTGTTGTCTGGTTGTAGCCAAGTAACTAGCTTCTCCATGACTTTTTTGGTAATTGTAGCATCATTTTCGCTGCCAGTGAATGGTCCTACAGTGTCCAGAATGTAGCCATCTGGTAAGGCGATGCTCATGAATTTGACATAGTTTCTCTTCTTCTGGCCACAGTAGGACATTCTCTGGAGCTTGTGGTCGGAGCTTTTCTGGATATAAATATAGGTGCCATCTAATATGGCAGTGGCTTTATCTCCAAAAAATGCTTCTGAAAAGACAGTATTGTGCCCGAGCAATTGTTCTCTTGTCAAGTGATCCGGACCTAGAAATTGTGGGACTATCGATGTGTCTAATGCCTGTACTATGGAGTGAAAAGTTTTGGACACACTTGACTTGGAAATTCCAAAAAGAGAAGAACACGGACTCCAGGAAATGTCGGTTTTCAGTTTTACCCAGAACAGTAATAGAGCATCGTGTGTAGTCTTGGTATATATACCAGATAAAAGATATGGGGAACAGTGCGAGTGGATTTCGAGGAACTGATCTTTGGACCAACCTGTCCAGGCCATGCATGCCGAGTCATCAAGAGAAGAAAAGCTTATTGTAAACGCAGACTGGTTCTATGAAAGGACGTGCGACACCTCTAGGAGGTCATTAATGATTTCGGACGATTTTGATGGTAACTGAGATTCCAAGGAACCTCTACCATCAAGGACAACCTCTGTAGACGGATCTAAGTCGTTACCAATAAGGTGAATGGAGCAGACGCGGGATGAGGTGGGACACCACAGTTTGTGTGAATAGATCAGGTGATGTCTTGCACGTTTTGGTAAGACTGATGATTTTGTTCCATTTTTTGGAAAGGTAACAAGACAGAGACAGCATTTTTTGTGTGAAGATGATCCATTCAAAAGATCATGAAGGGTCAGCAATGGCAGGATATGGGACGGGGAGTCGTCTTCTTCCTCTATTTCCTGGTTCTGCTCGGGTTCAGGTTCAGGCTGATTTTTGTTCCGAAGATACTTCATGTAGCACTTCTGGCAAATAAATGCTTGTTCCTTTGCTGACATCAATCCTTGTTGCACCAGCGTATCTAGGAGCCATTTATATTGTGGACTATTTACATTGTGTGCACTTCTGTTCTTATTGCCACTACGTTTCTTGAAGTATACTTGACACTCTTCTCCAACACATTTACCCTCCATCTTGAAACAATAACGATTGATTTATGAAGCGTCGATAAAGTAACAAAATAGCAAGCCACCGATGATTGCTGTAAACAGCTAATACTTAGTAGTTTGGTACAATTATGCGAAAATGTGTGATAAATAACGAACAACTAATTACACAAAATAACAAGACAATATAATAAATCACATTTAATACCTCCAAGAAGCGCAGAATTGATTGATTACTTAGAACAAAATAAAGCATTTCATATGGATAATCTATCTATTCGATGTGGCGTGGTCGGCAGGCACAAAGAAAGTGAGACAAGTCAGGGTCCCAACCCTGACAGAGCCACAACGCTTTGGAGATGGGACAATAAAACAAGGAAATTGAGACAGGAATAGCTAGCATCGAGTGAATGATTTCGTAAACGTATAGACAAAGACAAGAAGATACGGATAAATGTACAAGGCCATACGATCAGAAAATTCAGAAGAGGACAGCTTGAGATAGAACAGTATTCATGTATCAGGGTGTCCTCAGTGTAAATCTTTATATCGATACTATTTATTTAGTCGTTACACATCATAAAACTGTCATGAAAATATCCGCTCTGATATTCAATATAAAAGTTTGTATATAATAAGCTATATAATAGGGTTTCAGACAAGGTTGTTACTCATTTCCCCTTTTTCTTTCAATTTACAACCACATTCAGGCGGCGATGTGAGAACGTTCCACCACATGGAATTAGCTGATTTTTGGTACACATATGAAACAAGTAAAGCTCTATCCGATTTTCTGATGGAAATTTGCATCCAAAACTATAAAACGGGAGAAAATTGCAAATTTATGGCATTTTCTTCAGAATTGTGTCTCTGCAAGTGTATTTTCATCCGAGAATATATTTTTTTTATGTTTTATGAATAAACACGATGTTTTGGAAATATTTATCAAAAGAAATTTATACTATGTTGCGAATTACAATTTCGAGATAACCTTCTTTTATTTACGAACTTATGTCTTTGATGCTGAAATTGACAACTTTATAAAAATACATTTTCACTGTAATTATGAAATCGGGGTGTCGGAAAGGTGTAAAATTATTTTTCGGAAAAGAAAAAAACAGTAGTTGAGCTAGGTAAGAAATTATATGGGGACAGGCTCCTATGGAGAATTAACATTACTGGAAACTGGCCCTTTATGGCATTTTTCTTCATAATTGTGTCTCTGCAAGTGCATTTTCATCCGAGAATATTTTTTTTTATGTTTTATGAATAAACACGATGTTTTGGAAATATTTATCAAAAGAAATTTATACTATGTTGCGAATTACAATTTCGAGATAACTTTCTTTTATTTACGAACTTGTCTTTGATGCTGAAATTGACAACTTTATAAAAATACATTTTCACTGAAATTATGAAATCTGGGTGTCGGAAAGGTGTAAAATTATTTTTCGGAAAAGATAAAAACAGTAGTTGAGCTAGAATTATACGGGGGCAGGCTCCTATGGAGAATTAACATAACTGGAAACAGGCCCTTTATAGTACTTACACACAGGAGACCCACACAAATATGAATATATAGTACTTACACACACGAGACCCACACAAATACAAGAGGCCCAGAAGGCCTGTATTGCTCACCTGGATCTTTCTGACCAACTGTACAATATCTGTGCATATGTTCCACAGTAGATGCTTAAAGCAATATGACAAATTACTCCATATGGGTTCTGTCCCTTAGTAGTCCAAAATAAGTCATTTGTATATAAGCCTTTAATGGCCAAATACGATGGGGTTTTGGTTAATAATAAGAAGTTGATTAACTATTTTACCAAATCTAACCCCAATGATCTTAAATATCATTATGGGTCAAGCTATTTTTCCACACACTATGTGGGCACCATTAAGGGAACCTTTTGGACAAATATTATGATCCTGAGCCTTTAGCTTAATCATAAGTTGTTCAAATGTTTAACACATTTGACTGTTGTGGCCTTGAATATAGGTCAAGGTCATTTCTGTTCTCAAATATTACTGGGCATCATTGAAAACCTATTTTGGAATAATATCACTATCCTATATGTTTTGGATCATCAGAAAATGTAATTTAAAGGTTTAACACATTTGACCCCTGTGACCTTGAAGATTGGTCAAAGTAATTTCTTTTAGCAAACTTTGTAGAACACCATAAGAGGAACATAGTAGCCTAATGTAATGGTTCCATGCCTTCCGGTATTTGGGGAGAAGTCGTTTAAAGGTTTTAACACATTTGACCTGTGACCTTGAATATGGGTCGAGGCCATTTCTTTTTGCAAACTTTGTTGGGCATTAGCAAAGGAACCACCAAGCACAATATAATGATTCTAGGCCTTCCGGTATTTTGGATTAAGTCGTTTAAAGGTTTTAACACATTTGACCTCTGTGACCTTGAATATGGGTCAAGGTCATTTATTTTTGCTAACTTAGGCTTCATCGAGGAACCTTCCAGCCAAATATGATAACTCCACGCCATTCGGTATTTCAGAAGAAGTTGTTTATATGAAAAGTTGACGGACGCTGAACGGACGGACGAAGGACGGACAGAGGGATGATAGACGACGCGCTATGGCATAAGCTCACTTGGCCCTTTGGGCCAGGTGAGCTAATAAATTTATAGTATTTACACACAGGAGACCCACACAAATATAAATTTATAGAACTTACACATAGGAGACCCACAAAAACATAAATTTATAGAACTTACACACAGGAGACCTACACAAATATAAATTCATAGTACTTACACACAGGAGACCCGCACAAATATAAATTTATAGTACTTACACACAGGAGACCCGCACAAATATAAATTTATAGAACTTACACACAGGCGACCCAACAGAAAAGTTTATTATTAATACTTAAACAAAGCAGACCCACCCATAATTATATTTAATAATAATATTGATACAAAGCAGACCTACACAAAAATAAATTTATAGTACTTACACACAGGAGACCTGCACAAATATACATTTATAGTACTACACACAGGAGACCCACAAAAATATAAATTTATAGAACTTACACATAGGAGACCCACAAAAATATAAATTTATAGAACTTACACACAGGAAACCCACACAAATATTAATTTATAGAACTTACACACAGGAGACCCACACAAATATAAATTCATAGTACTTACACACAGGAGACCCGCACAAATATACATTTATAGTACTTACACACAGGAGACCCACAAAAATATAAATTTATAGAACTTACACATAGGAGACCCACAAAAATATAAATTTATAGAACTTACACACAGGAAACCCACACAAATATAAATTTATAGAACTTACACACAGGAGACCCACACAAATATGAATTCATGAAACTTACACACAAGAGACCAACAAAAATATGCATTTATAGAACTAACACACAGGAGACCCACACAAATATTAATTGATAGAACTTACACACAGGAGACCCACACAAATATAAAGTTATAGTACTACACACAGGAGACCCACAAAAATATTAATTGATAGAACTTACACACAGGAGACCCACACAAATATAAATTTATAGAACTAACACACAGGAGACCCACAAAAATATAAATTTATAGAACTTACACACAAGAGACCAACAAAAATATGCATTTATAGAACTTACACACAGGAGACCCACAAAAATATAAAGTTATAGTACTACACCCAGGAGACCCACACAAATATAAATTTACAGTACTACACACAGGAGACCTACACAAATATAAATTCATAGTACTTACACACAGGAGACCCACACAAATATAAATTCATAGTACTTACACACAGGAGACCCACACAAATATGAATTTATAGTACTACACACAGGAGACCCACACAAATATGAATTTATAGTACTTACACACAGGAGACCCACACAAATATGAATTTATAGTACTTACACACAGGAGACCCACACAAATATGAATTTATAGTACTTACACACAGGAGACCCACACAAATATGAATTTATAGTACTTACACACAGGAGACCCACAAAAATATAAATCTATAGAACTTACACATAGGAGACCCACACAAAAGTTAATTATTAATACTTTATCTGACCCACCCATAATTCTATTTAATAATATTGATACAAAGCAGACCTACACAAAAATAGATAAAGTTTTATTAGAATCAGCTCTGTGAACTCGTTAATAACAGATCACATGCTCATATGTAGACCTGAACGAGAAATTCTACAAGGCTCCATCCACAAAAGTAACCTGTATTACACCAATCACGGACATCTATGTCTAATATGTCAAATGGACAGCCCAAAACAAATTTGTCTCTCTACACTTACGAGGAGGAGACAAAAATATTTTAATTAATGCATTTTTCATGAGCTCAAATATATTGGATCCTCAAAACAAAAGTACTTTGTAGGCACCTAATTTCATTGATAAGTAATACTCGTGAATTTTAAGAGTATTAAGCATTCATTCTAATTTAAACAATCAATTCATGGACATATGTGGATTAAGAGTACCTAAAAAATAACTTTAAAATCTCTGAATAGATCAAAATGATGGACCACATTTATTTCAGTCTTCAGTTGAATAATTCTTCTTCACTTGCCTTATGATGTGGACTATTTATATGGCCTGTTCATGACTTTGACTTATTACTTGTGGTTCATCTATGACTTTGAATTTTTACTTAGTAGGCGCCCCATCTATGACCTTGACCGATTTCTTACCAAAGTGTGGACTGTTTATGACCTTGTCCTATTGCTGAATGTGTCTGACCTTGACCTATTGCTGAGTGCCTCTCAACTATGACCTTGACCATTTACTTACTGTATATCCCCATCCATGACTTTAACCTGTTTCTTTCCAAGAGTGGCCTGTTTATGACCTTGACCTGTTATTGCTGGGTGTCTCATCTGTGACATTGACCTTTAGATTACTGAGTGTGACTTGTCTATGACTTTTTACTTACAGAGTGTGGTCCATCTATGACTTTGACAATATCCTTGGTTTGTATGTTATTACTCTCGGAATCCAGGGCCACTGCATTTTTTGTGTCTTTTTTACGTGTAACAGCTTGTGGTTTCACATTCTGTACCTGAAGAAGGAAAAAAAAAAATTAACCTAACAACTTAACAACATATTGCATTATCAACCTGTCTGTTTCTGTTCCACTTAATTTTAATTAAGCAAATAAAAAATAATACCATAAGCTTGAAATTGATCAAACTAAACATGTTAGCATAGCATAGTGCGAGGTGTGGCGCGACATGTAGTGTAGTTTAGTGTAGTGTAGTGTAGTTTAGTCAAATGCCTACCTTGTTGTGCATGCTGAGGACCTGAAAATTCTCCTTCTCCAGCCGAACAATTGCCCCAACTGTCTGAGGACTGTAAACACAAACATCAGAGAGTATCTATAATAATTCAGATCAGGTTATACTATAGTGAAATAAAGTCTGCTGGAAGTAGAATAAAAGCTCTTATAACACAACCAGTAGGAGAATTGATTTTGAGGGCCTGCATTGCCAACTTAGTAATCAATGCTCATGTCAAATATACAAACATCTCACACTACTGTGTTGATCCACATTCAAACAAGCTCCATCTTATGAACATATCTGCCAAATAATAGGCATCTGAGCCTTTTGGCATATCAAATATAGTCATTTAAACGTTTTAACAAAATAGACCTCTGTGAACTTGTATACTGGACAAAAAATTGTCAGCCTTTATCTCAAAAACCTTTCAGAGAAATAGGATGCTTCTGGGTACTTTTGTTAATCAGAAGAAGTAATTTGAAGGTTTTAATGAATGTGACCGCTTTAACCTTGAATATTGGTCAAGATTTCTTCTCGCAAACTTGATAATGCTTTATATTAGGAATCTATCGGCTCAATACCATTCTTCTGGGATTTAGGTTAGCTAGAAGTTGTTAGAAGGTTTTAACAAATATGACCCCTATGACATTGAATAAGGGTCAAGGTCATTTCCCATTGCAAACTTTGTTACGCTTTATCCTTGGAAATAATCAACTAAATACCATGCTACTGGGCATATAGGTTAGTAAAAAGAATTTGTTCATAGGTTTTAACAAATATATGACCACTGAATATGGGGCAAGGTCATTTCTATTCATAATCATTCTTTGGCTCCCTCCTCGCATCCTATCATCTCAATACCATGGTCTTTCGGTTATTGAAGTCGATTAGTTATTGAAAAAGGTGTTTAAATAGAAAAGTTGAGGCCTAAGGGATTGATGTCATTAAAGCTGTTTGTAGATTAGATTTACAAAAGTTGGTATTGGCTACAAACTCACATTACAGGTACCAAGCACCACATAATGAACATCATAGGTACCAAGCACCACATTATAAACATCACAGGTACCAAGCACCACATACTCACACCAAAGGTACCAAGCACCACATACTCACATCAAAGGTACCAAGCACCACATAATGAACAACACAGGTACCAAGCACCACATACTCACATCACAGGTACCAAGCACCACATAATGAACATCACAGGTACTAAGCACCACATACATCACAGGTACCAAGCACCACATAATAAACATCACAGGTACCAAGCATCACATAATGAAGATCATAGGTACCAAGCACCACATTATAAACATCACAGGTACCAAGAACCACATACTCACATCACAGATACCAAGCACCACATACTCACATCACAGGTACCAAGCACTACATAATGAACATCACAGGTATCAAGCACCACATGATGAACATCACAGGTACCAAGCACCACATAATGAACATCACAGGTAACAAGCACCACATAATGAACATCACAGGTATCAAGCACCACATAATGAACATCACGGGTACAAAGCACCACATAATGAACATCACAGGTACCAAGCACCACATAATGAACATCACGGGTACCAAGCACCACATAATGAACATCACGGGTACCAAGCACCACATAATGAACATCACGGGTACCAAGCACCACATAATGAACATCACGGGTACCAAGCACCACATAATGAACATCACGGGTACCAAGCACCACATAATGAACATCACAGGTACCAAGCACCACATACTCACATCACAGGTACCAAACACCACATAATGAACATCACAGGTACCAAGCACCACATAATGAACATCACAGGTACCAAGCACCACATAAAGAACATCACAGGTACCAAGCACCACATACATCACAGGCACCAAGCACCACATAATGAACATCACAGGTATCAAGCACCACATACTCACATCACAGGTACCAAGCACCACATAATGAACATCACAGGTACCAAGCACCACATAATGAACATCACAGGTACCAAGCACCACATAATGAAAGCACCACATAATGAACATCACAGGTACCAAGCACCACATAATGAACATCACAGGTATCAAGCACCACATAATGAACATCACAGGTACCAAGCACCACATAATGAACATCACAGGTACCAAGCACCACATAATGAACATCACAGGTACCAAGCACCACATAATGAACATCACAGGTACCAAGCACCACATAATGAACATCACAGGTACCAAGCTCCACATAATGAACATCACAGGTACCAAGCACCACATAATGAACATCACAGGTACCAAGCACCACATAATGAACATCACAGGTACCAAGCACCACATAATGAACATCACAGGTACCAAGCACCACATAATGAACATCACAGGTATCAAGCACCACATAATGAACATCACAGGTATCAAGCACCACATAATGAACATCACAGGTATCAAGCACCACATACTCACATCACAGGTACCAAGCACCACATACTCACATCAAAGGTACCAAGCACCACATAATGAACATCACAGGTATCAAGCACCACATAATGAACATCACAGGTACCAAGCACCACATAATGAACATCACGGGTATCAAACACCACATAATGAACATCACAGGTACCAAGCACCACATAATGAACATCACAGGTACCAAGCACCACATACTCACATCACAGGTACCGAACACCACATACTCACATCAAAGGTACCAAGCACCACATAATGAACATCACAGGTACCAAGCACCACATACATCACAGGTACCAAGCACCACATAATGAACATCACAGGTATCAAGCACCACATGATGAACATCACAGGTACCAAGCACCACATAATGAACATCACAGGTATCAAGCACCACATAATGAACATCACAGGTATCAAGCACCACATAATGAACATCACAGGTATCAAGCACCACATAATGAACATCACAGGTACCAAGCACCACATAATGAACATCACAGGTACCAAGCACCACATAATGAACATCACAGGTATCAAGCACCACATAATGAACATCACAGGTATCAAGCACCACATAATGAACATCACAGGTATCAAGCACCACATAATGAACATCACAGGTACCAAGCACCACATAATGAACATCACAGGTACCAAGCTCCACATAATGAACATCACAGGTACCAAGCACCACATAATGAACATCATGGGTATCAAGCACCACATAATGAACATCACAGGTACCAAGCACCACATAACTGACCACATAATGAACATCACAGGTATCAAGCACCACATAACTCACAGGTACCAAGCAACATCACCACATAATGAACAGGTATCAAGCACCACATAATGAACATCAAGGTACCAAGCACACCACATACATGAACATCACAGGTACCAAGCACCACATAATGAACATCACAGGTATCAAGCACCACATAATGAACATCACAGGTATCAACATCACAGGTACATCTTTACCAGAGGTGAAGAAGGCCAACACCACTGACTGACATCACAGGTACCAAGCATCTCACATCAGGTACCAAGCACCACATAATGAACATCACAGGATCTTTACCAGAAGTGAAGAAGGCCAACATTCTGACTGACTGAGACATTACTGGGATCTTTACCAGAGGAGAGGAAGGCCAACACTCTGACTAAAACATTACTGGGATCTTTACCAGAGGTGAAGAAGGCCAACACTCTGACTGACTGAGACATTACTGGAATCTTTACCAGAGGTGAAGAAGGCCAACACTCTGACTGACTGAGACATTACTGGGATCTTTACCAGAGGTGAAGAAGGCCAACACTCTGACTGAGACATTACTGGGATCTTTACCAGAAGTGAAGAAGGCCAACACTCTGACTGACTGAGACATTACTGGGATCTTTACCAGAGGTGAAGAAGGCCAACACTCTGACTGACTGAGACATTACTGGGATCTTTACCAGAGGTGAAGAAGGCCAACACTCTGACTGACTGAGACATTACTGGGATCTTTACCAGAGGTGAAGAAGGCCAACACTCTGACTGACTGAGACATTACTGGGATCTTTACCAGAGGTGAAGAAGGCCAACACTCTGACTGACTGAGACATTACTGGGATCTTTACCAGAGGTGAAGAAGGCCAACACTCTGACTGACTGAGACATTACTGGGATCTTTACCAGAGGTGAAGAAGGCCAACACTCTGACTGACTGAGACATTACTGGGATCTTTACCAGAGGTGAAGAAGGCCAACACTCTGACTGACTGAGACATTACTGGGATCTTTACCAGAGGTGAAGAAGGCCAACACTCTGACTGACTGAGACATTACTGGGATCTTTACCAGAGGTGAAGAAGGCCAACACTCTGACTGAGACATTACTGGGATCTTTACCAGAGGTGAAGAAGGCCAACACTCTGACTGAGACATTACTGGGATCTTTACCAGAGGTGAAGAAGGCCAACACTCTGACTGACTGAGACATTACTGGGATCTTTACCAGAGGTGAAGAAGGCCAACACTCTGACTGACTGAGACATTACTGGGATCTTTACCAGAGGTGAAGAAGGCCAACACTCTGACTGACTGACATTACTGGGATCTTTACCAGAGGTGAAGAAGGCCAACACTCTGACTGACTGAGACATTACTGGGATCTTTACCAGAGGTGAAGAAGGCCAACACTCTGACTGACTGAGACATTACTGGGATCTTTACCAGAGGTGAAGAAGGCCAACACTCTGACTGACTGAGACATTACTGGGATCTTTACCAGAGGTGAAGAAGGCCAACACTCTGACTGACTGAGACATTACTGGGATCTTTACCAGAGGTGAAGAAGGCCAACACTCTGACTGACTGAGACATTACTGGGATCTTTACCAGAGGTGAAGAAGCCCAACACTCTGACTGAGACATTACTGGGATCTTTACCAGAGGTGAAGAAGGCCAACACTCTGACTGACTGAGACATTACTGGGATCTTTACCAGAGGTGAAGAAGGCCAACACTCTGACTGACTGAGACATTACTGGGATCTTTACCAGAGGTGAAGAAGGCCAACACTCTGACTGACTGAGACATTACTGGGATCTTTACCAGAGGTGAAGAAGGCCAACACTCTGACTGACATTACTGACATTACTGGGATCTTTACCAGAGGTGAAGAAGGCCAACACTCTGACTGACTGAGACATTACTGGGATCTTTACCAGAGGTGAAGAAGGCCAACACTCTGACTGAGACATTACTGGGATCTTTACCAGAGGTGAAGAAGGCCAACACTCTGACTGAGACATTACTGGGATCTTTACCAGAGGTGAAGAAGGCCAACACTCTGACTGACTGAGACATTACTGGGATCTTTACCAGAGGTGAAGAAGGCCAACACTCTGACTGAGACATTACTGGGATCTTTACCAGAGGTGAAGAAGGCCAACACTCTGACTGACTGAGACATTACTGGGATCTTTACCAGAGGTGAAGAAGGCCAACACTCTGACTGACTGAGACATTACTGGGATCTTTACCAGAGGTGAAGAAGGCCAACACTCTGACTGAGACATTACTGGGATCTTTACCAGAGGTGAAGAAGGCCAACACTCTGACTGACTGAGACATTACTGGGATCTTTACCAGAGGTGAAGAAGGCCAACACTCTGACTGACTGAGACATTACTGGGATCTTTACCAGAGGTGAAGAAGGCCAACACTCTGACTGACTGAGACATTACTGGGATCTTTACCAGAGGTGAAGAAGGCCAACACTCTGACTGACTGAGACATTACTGGGATCTTTACCAGAGGTGAAGAAGGCCAACACTCTGACTGACTGAGACATTACTGGGATCTTTACCAGAGGTGAAGAAGGCCAACACTCTGACTGACTGAGACATTACTGGGATCTTTACCAGAGGTGAAGAAGGCCAACACTCTGACTGACTGAGACATTACTGGGATCTTTACCAGAGGTGAAGAAGGCCAACACTCTGACTGACTGAGACATTACTGGGATCTTTACCAGAGGTGAAGAAGGCCAACACTCTGACTGACTGACACATTACTGGGATCTTTACCAGAGGTGAAGAAGGCCAACACTCTGACTGACTGAGACATTACTGGGATCTTTACCAGAGGTGAAGAAGGCCAACACTCTGACTGACTGAGACATTACTGGGATCTTTACCAGAGGTGAAGAAAGCCAACACTCTGAGACATTACTAGGATCTTTACCAGAGGTGAAGAAGGCCAACACTCTGACTGACTAAAACATTACTGGGATCTTTACCAGAGGTGAAGAAGGCCAACACTCTGACTGAGACATTACTGGGATCTTTACCACCATTACTTACTGGGATCTTTACCAGAGGTGAAGAAGGCCAACACTCTGACTGACTGAGACATTACTGGGATCTTTACCAGAGGTGAAGAAGGCCAACACTCTGACTGACTGAGACATAACTGGAAACAAAACCAGAGGTGAAGAAGGCCAACTCTGACTGACTGAGACATTACTGGGATCTTTACCAGAGGTGAAGAAGGCCAACACTCTGACTGAGACATTACTGGGATCTTTACCAGAGGTGAAGAAGGCCAACACTCTGACTGAGGGATCTTTACCAGAGGTTACTGAGACATTACTGGGATCTTTACCAGAGGTGAAGAAGGCCAACACTCTGACTGACTGAGACATTACTGGGATCTTTACCAGAGGTGAAGAAGGCCAACACTCTGACTGACTGAGACATTACTGGGATCTTTACCAGAGGTGAAGAAGGCCAACACTCTGACTGACATTACTGGGATCTTTACCAGAGACATTACTGGGATCTTTACCAGAGGTGAAGAAGGCCAACACTCTGACTGACTGAGACATTACTGGGATCTTTACCAGAGGTGAAGAAGGCCAACACTCTGACTGACTGAGACATTACTGGGATCTTTACCAGAGGTGAAGAAGGCCAACACTCTGACTGACTGAGACATTACTGGGATCTTTACTGACTGAGACATTACTGGGATCTTTACCAGAGGTGAAGAAGGCCAACACTCTGACTGACTGACATTACTGGGATCTTTACCAGAGGTGAAGAAGGCCAACACTCTGACTGACTGACATTACTGGGATCTTTACCAGAGGTGAAGAAGGCCAACACTCTGACTGACTGAGACATTACTGGGATCTTTACCAGAGGTGAAGAAGGCCAACACTCTGACTGACTGAGACATTACTGGGATCTTTACCAGAGGTGAAGAAGGCCAACACTCTGACTGACTGAGACATTACTGGGATCTTTACCAGAGGTGAAGAAGGCCAACACTCTGACTGACTGACATTACTGGGATCTTTACCAGAGGTGAAGAAGGCCAACACTCTGACTGAGACATTACTGACTTTACCAGAGGTGACATTACTGAGGATCTTTACCAGAGGTGAAGAAGGCCAACACTCTGACTGACTGAGACATTACTGGGATCTTTACCAGAGGTGAAGAAGGCCAACACTCTGACTGACTGAGACATTACTGGGATCTTTACCAGAGGTGAAGAAGGCCAACACTCTGACTGACTGAGACATTACTGGGATCTTTACCAGAGGTGAAGAAGGCCAACACTCTGACTGAGACATTACTAGGATCTTTACCAGAAGTGAAGAAGGCCAACACTCTGACTGACTGAGACATTACTGGATCTTTACCAGAGGTGAAGAAGGCCAACACTCTGACTGAGACATTACTGGGATCTTTACCAGAGGTGAAGAAGGCCAACACTCTGACTGACTGACATTACTGGGATCTTTACCAGAGGTGAAGAAGGCCAACACTCTGACTGACTGAGACATTACTGGGATCTTTACCAGAGGTGAAGAAGGCCAACACTCTGACTGAGACATTACTGGGATCTTTACCAGAGGTGAAGAAGGCCAACACTCTGACTGACTGAGACATTACTGGGATCTTTACCAGAGGTGAAGAAGGCCAACACTCTGACTGACTGAGACATTACTGGGATCTTTACCAGAGGTGAAGAAGGCCAACACTCTGACTGACTGAGACATTACTGGGATCTTTACCAGAGGTGAAGAAGGCCAACACTCTGACTGACTGAGACATTACTGGGATCTTTACCAGAGGTGAAGAAGGCCAACACTCTGACTGACATTACTGAGACATTACTGGGATCTTTACCAGAGGTGAAGAAGGCCAACACTCTGACTGACTGAGACATTACTGGGATCTTTACCAGAGGTGAAGAAGGCCAACACTCTGACTGACTGAGACATTACTGGGATCTTTACCAGAGGTGAAGAAGGCCAACACTCTGACTGACTGAGACATTACTGGGATCTTTACCAGAGGTGAAGAAGGCCAACACTCTGACTGACTGAGACATTACTGGGATCTTTACCAGAGGTGAAGAAGGCCAACACTCTGACTGACTGAGACATTACTGGGATCTTTACCAGAGGTGAAGAAGGCCAACACTCTGACTGACTGAGACATTACTGGGATCTTTACCAGAGGTGAAGAAGGCCAACACTCTGACTGAGACATTACTGGGATCTTTACCAGAGGTGAAGAAGGCCAACAGTCTGACTGAGACATTACTGGGATCTTTACCAGAGGTGAAGAAGGCCAACACTCTGACTGAGACATTACTGGGATCTTTACCAGAGGTGAAGAAGGCCAACACTCTGACTGACTGAGACATTACTGGGATCTTTACCAGAGGTGAAGAAGGCCAACACTCTGACTGACTGAGACATTACTGGGATCTTTACCAGAGGTGAAGAAGGCCAACACTCTGACTGAGACATTACTGGGATCTTTACCAGAGGTGAAGAAAGCCAACACTCTGAGACATTACTAGGATCTTTACCAGAGGTGAAGAAGGCCAACACTCTGACTGACTGAGACATTACTGGGATCTTTACCAGAGGTGAAGAAGGCCAACACTCTGACTGACTGAGACATTACTGGGATCTTTACCAGAGGTGAAGAAGGCCAACACTCTGACTGACTGAGACATTACTGGGATCTTTACCAGAGGTGAAGAAGGCCAACACTCTGACTGACTGACATTACTTGGATCTTTACCAGAGGTGAAGTAGGCCAACACTGTCTGACTGAGACATTACTGGGATCTTTACCAGAGGTGAAGAAGGCCAACACTCTGACTGACTGAGACATTACTGGGATCTTTACCAGAGGTGAAGAAGGCCAACACTCTGACTGACTGAGACATTACTGGAATCTTTACCAGAGGTGAAGAAGGCCAACACTCTGACTGACTGACACATTACTGGGATCTTTACCAGAGGTGAAGAAGGCCAACACTCTGACTGACTGAGACATTACTGGGATCTTTACCAGAGGTGAAGAAGGCCAACACTCTGACTGAGACATTACTCGGATCTTTACCAGAGGTGAAGAAGGCCAACACTCTGACTGACTGAGACATTACTGGGATCTTTACCAGAGGTGAAGAAGGCCAACACTCTGACTGACTGAGACATTACTGGGATCTTTACCAGAGGTGAAGAAGGCCAACACTCTGACTGAGACATTACTGGGATCTTTACCAGAGGTGAAGAAGGCCATCATGTAACCGTCTGAGCTGTCATAGTCTCTATGATACTTCAACTGTGTGTAATATATATATACTATCAAAATAAACATGATGAAAATTTAACAAACTTGAAATAAAGCCAAATACTTACCTCATGCATGGTGAGATCCGAGAAAAGTACAACCATGTTTTCCTCTACACGAACGATGAGCCCAGTATCTCCTTCATATCGACCTGCAATCACCTTCACGTGATCTCCCATTTTGAAGTGTTTCTTGAGCTCGTGACATGGAAACTCGAGAGGGTCCTTCAAGTCCTCATGTTTTGGCATCATAGTGATCTTGTTACCGTCAACACTAATGACCTTGCCCTGGAGATGTACTAACTCGCCTTCACACACCTCCACCACATCCCCTGGGATCAGGGTGTGACTCACCTCACCTGCGGACTTCTCTGGAATCACTGTCCAGTTGTTAAGGTTGATCAAGCTTATTGCTGGTCTGTATTTAATCTCCCCGAGTGATTTTAAGTTCCCTTCCTACCTAGAAATGATCAGTGGGAAGCTTACTAGCACTGAAGTACGTAGTGTACAAGATCCACACGGTCACCTTCATCAGACAAATGACCAGTGTGGAGCGTACTAGCACTGACGTACGTAGTGTACAAGATCCACACGGTCACCTTCATCAGACAAATGACCAGTGTGGAGCGTACTAGCACTGACGTACGTAGTGTACAAGATCCACACGGTCACCTTCATCAGACAAATGACCAGTGTGGAGCGTACTAGCACTGACGTATGTAGTGTACGAGATCTACACGGTCACCTTCATCAGACATATGACCAGTGTGGAGTGTACCAGCACTGACATCGGTAGTGTACAAAATGGTAAGAAATCAAGCAATTTTTTCAGCTGTACTATATTTCTAAGTACACTGAGGTCAAAATAGTGTGAACAGATGGTTAACAGATTATAGACCATAAAATACAGAACATTGTGACATGGGTCTTTAGTAAATTTGGCATCTTGTACACTATATACATCAGTTCTAGAATGCTCCACACTTGTCACTTGTCTGATGAAGGTGACCGTGTAGTCATCGTCACACTCTAATCTTCTATTGGTTGTGTTATAAGATGAAGGTGACCTTGTAGTCATCATCACACTCTAATCTTCTACTGGTTGTGTTATAAGATGAAGGTGACCGTGTAGTCATCGTCACACTCTAATCTTCTACTTGTTGTGTTATAAGATGAAGGTGACCTTGTAGTCATCATCACACTCTAATCTTCTACTGGTTGTGTAATAAGATGAAGGTGACTGTGTAGTCATCGTCACACTCTAATCTTCTACTGGTTGTGTTATAAGTACTTCTATTCTATTGACATTACCAACTTGATGAAAATGTTCCAAAATATTCCTTTCCTACCTATTTCATGCTTCATTTGTACCTCAACCTATTTCATGTCTAGAATTAGTCACTACCTATATTAGATCTATATTTTCTCACCAATATTTCAAAATCATAATTTCCTACCAAACAATTTCAGGGTTACTATAACAAGAGGCCCAAGGGCCTTAACGGTCATCTGACATAAAATACAAGATTTCAAATTTTGAACTCATTTCACCTGGATTTAAGAGTCAAGGGAACTCAGCCACCACCTTGAAAGTGGTTTAAGGTTATTAATTTCAACAAACTTCGTAAACCTTCATACCAGCATGCTACAGGCCAAATATCATCACCCTGGGTGTTCTGGTTATTCAAAGTAACAAACTTTGGTCAGTGCCATGTCACCATCATTTCATACAAGTTTTGGCTCAATCGCACTGGTGGAACTTGAGAAGAAGTCGAAAATGTGTTTTCAAGATGACAGCCATGGCGGCCATCTTTGATTTCGGACCAACCCGAAATTAACAAACTTTGGTCAGGATCATGTCACGATCATTTCAGGTAAGTTTCAGCTCAATGAGACATGTAGAATTTAAGAAGAAGTTGAAAATGTTTACGCCGCCGGACAAAAGGCGATCGCAAAAAGTCATCAGACCCTTTGCATCAGAAGTCTTTGGCCCTGTTCGTAACATTCCAAAACACAAAACTTTCATGAGATTTTCAATTTACAATTGTCTGAAACTTGATATCAATTGAGAGGTACAGGCATCAAAGAGAATGTTGTGAAATCAGATGTAACAACAGTGATGCTTTATTTTCTGCAGTTACTGGAATTCATTTCGACTTCCAACTTGGAGAAAACCAGAAGGACATGAAAACAGAAGAAGGAAAGAAATTCACAACATCAGAACAGAAATAAGCAGAGTCCTAGATAAATCCACATTCACATACCATGCCACACAGCAAAATCATATCACTGACTGAAATGATTTCAAAGTGTTGGTTGTAGCGTGATTGATCTCTTTCAACTAAAAGTCAAAGATTTCATCTCATACTGTATACACCACATATCCTAGATTTCATCTGATATACAGCACATATCCTAGATTTCATCTGATATACAGCACATATCCTAGATTTCATCTGATATACAGCACATATCCTAGATTTCATCTGATATACAGCACATATCCTAGATTTCATCTGATATACAGCACATATCCTAGATTTCATCTGATATACAGCACAGATCCTAGATTTCATCTGATATACAGCACATATCCTAGATTTCATCTGATATACAGCACATATCCTAGATTTCATCTGATATACAGCACATATCCTAGATTTCATCTGATATACAGCACATATCCTAGATTTCATCTGATATACAGCACATATCCTAGATTTCATCTGATATACAGCACATATCCTAGATTTCATCTGATATACAGCACATATCCTAGATTTCATCTGATATACAGCACATATCCTAGATTTCATCTGATATACATCACATATCCTAGATTTCATCTGATATACAGCACATATCCTAGATTTCATCTGATATACAGCACATATCCTAGATTTCATCTGATATACAGCACATATCCTAGATTTCATCTGATATACAGCACATATCCTAGATTTCATCTGATATACACCACATATCCTAGATTTCATCTGATATACAGCACATATCCTAGATTTCATCTGATATACAGCACATATCCTAGATTTCATCTGATATACATCACATATCCTAGATTTCATCTGATATACAGCACATATCCTAGATTTCATCTGATATACAGCACATATCCTAGATTTCATCTGATATACAGCACATATCCTAGATTTCATCTGATATACAGCACATATCCTAGATTTCATCTGATATACACCACAGATCCTAGATTTCATCTGATATACAGCACAGATCCTAGATTTCATCTGATATAAAGCACATATCCTAGATTTCATCTGATATACAGCACATATCCTAGATTTCATCTGATATACACCACAGATCCTAGATTTCATCTGATATACAGCACATATCCTAGATTTCATCTGATATACACCACATATCCTAGATTTCATCTGATATACAGCACATATCCTAGATTTCATCTGATATACAGCACATATCCTAGATTTCATCTGATATACAGCACATATCCTAGATTTCATCTGATATACAGCACATATCCTAGATTTCATCTGATATACAGCACATATCCTAGATTTCATCTGATATACAGCACATATCCTAGATTTCATCTGATATACAGCACATATCCTAGATTTCATCTGATATACAGCACATATCCTAGATTTCATCTGATATACAGCACATATCCTAGATTTCATCTGATATACAGCACATATCCTAGATTTCATCTGATATACATCACATATCCTAGATTTCATCTGATATACAGCACATATCCTAGATTTCATCTGATATACACCACATATCCTAGATTTCATCACTGATTACCAAGGATACAATCTACTTCTGCTCCTTCAGGCTGATCCTCAAATTTCTCCAGCTCAGCTAGTGTTGGTTTAATGCCTTCTGCAATAATGGCGGACATGGCAAAACTCTTGAAGAGGAAGCCTTTCCGACTATATCTGTTGTTCTCAAACATGAGGAAGTCACCATCAGTCGTAACTTCACCTCCAATTTGTCTGAAACAATTTAAGGAAATAATGACAATGTTCATGGTCATCAGTTTTTCTTAAGAAAATATTGTTTATGTTTATGATAGTCAGTAAATTCTTCAGGAAATATTGTCCATTGATAGAGTGTAAACATGTCTGTAATTATCTAATTTCTATGTTAAGTCATATTGCTCAACATTTACCTCAAAAGTATTTACATATTAAAAAAAATATTTTAATGGACTCCTGCCATCTTGACAACAGAACAGAATGAATGCTCAACTCTTCCTTAATGCCCAACTACAACATCCCATTGATGAAAACTTTTATCTGATCTAGATCAAACGATGCCCAACTACAACATCCCATTGATGAAAACTTTTATCTGATCTAGATCAAACGATGCCCAACTACAACATCCCATTGATGAAAACTTTTATCTGATCTAGATCAAACAATGCCCAACTACAACATCCCATTGATGAAAACTTTTATCTGATTTAGATCAACTTTTCCCACTACAATATCCAATTCATGAGAAACTTTTACCTTATCTGATCCAGATCAAACAATTTCTGTCCTGGTCTTCTTTTCTTTTTCCGTTTCTCTGTGTCCTACAATATCAGGGGTTTATCATTTGGTTCATGACTTCATAAAAACGTTACATTTCATTTATCTGATGTCAGCATGTAACTCTTGTCAAAACAACACATATCCCTGTGAGATTGTTACTTTCTTAAAGATTAAAACGTTCCACTCACTGTTACAAATCTAATCCCAGCTCTCACCTGTGCATTCCGCAATACTCCTCGCTGCCTTGTGTAATCTATTCTTGGTATCAGTTTCAAGTGCACAATGTTCTGAGCTGGCTCCACAAAATCAACCTGTTTAAGTCAAAGACAAATTGTTAGTAGTTGTTCAGGTTTTACCAGTTTACATTTTTTTGCAATGTCTAACTCTCCATAATGTTTGGCAATCCAAACCTCAGATGACAAGAGGAATGACATACCAGCAGACACAAAAAGGCAGACAAGGTATGTTCTTATTTTCTGAACCTCAAAACAACAAAGCGATCTGAGGAGTAAAATGCAGTACAAATTTTCATTCTTTTAAACTAAATTGGTAATGTATGACATTCAATGTAATGTATGACCTTCAATGTAATGTATGACCTTCAATGTAATGTATGACCATCAATGTAATGTATGATACTCGACATAATGTATGACACTCAATGTATGACACTCAATGTAATGTATATATTGACACTCAATATAATGTATGACACTCAATGTAATGTATGACACTCAATGTATGACACTCAATGTAATGTTTGACACTCAATGTATGACACTCAATGTATCAAACTCAATGTAATGTATGACACTCAATGAAATGTATGACCTTCAATGTAATGTATGACCATCAATGTAATGTATGACACTCGACATAATGTATGACACTCAATGTATGACACTCAATGTAATGTATGACACTCAATGTATCAAACTCAATGTAATGTATGACACTCAATGTAATGTATGACCTTCAATGTAATGTATGACCATCAATGTAATGTATGTCACTCCACGTAATGTATGACACTCTATGTATGACACTCAATGTAATGTATGATACTCAATGTATGACACTCAATGTAATGTATGACACTCAATGCATGACACTCAATGTAATGTATGACACTCAATGTAATGAATGACACTCAATGTATGACACTCAATGTAATGTTTGACCTTCAATGTAATGTATGACCTCCAATGTAATGTATGACACTCAATGTAATGTTATATTGACACTCAATGTAATGTATGACACTCAACATAATGTATGACACTCAATGTAATGTATGACACTCAATGTAATGTATGACCTTCAATGTAATGTATGACACTCAACATAATGTATGACATTCAATGTAATATATGACATTCAACATAATGTATGACACTGAATGTAATGTAAGACACTTGACGTAATGAATGACACTCAATGTCATGTATGACACTCAATGAAATGTATGACACTCAACGTAATGTATGACACTCAATGTATGACCATCAATGTAATGTATGACACTCGACGTAATGTATGACACTCAATGTAATGTATGACACTCAATGTAATGAATGACACTCAATGTATGACCTTCAATGTAATGTATGACCTTCAATGTAATGTATGACACTCAACATAATGTATGACATTCAATGCAATATATCACCTTCAATGTAATGTACGACCATCAATGTAATGTATGACACTCAATGTATGACACTCAATGTAATGTATGACACTCAATGTAATGAATGACACTCAATGTATGACACTCAATGTAATGTTTGACCTTCAATGTAATGTATGACCTCCAATGTAATGTATGACACTCAACATAATGTATGACACTCAATGTTATGTATGACACTCAATGTAATGTATGACCTTCGATGTAATGTATGACACTCAACATAATGTATGACATTCAATGTAATATATGACATTCAACATAATGTATGACACTGAATGTAATGTAAGACACTTGACGTAATGAATGACACTCAATGTCATGTATGACACTCAATGAAATGTATGACACTCAACGTAATGTATGACACTCAATGTATGACCATCAATGTAATGTATGACACTCGACGTAATGTATGACACTCAATGTAATGTATGACACTCAATGTAATGAATGACACTCAATGTATGACCTTCAATGTAATGTATGACCTTCAATGTAATGTATGACACTCAACATAATGTATGACATTCAATGCAATATATCACCTTCAATGTAATGTACGACCATCAATGTAATGTATGACACTCAATGTATGACACTCAATGTAATGTATGACACTCAATGTAATGAATGACACTCAATGTATGACACTCAATGTAATGTTTGACCTTCAATGTAATGTATGACCTCCAATGTAATGTATGACACTCAACATAATGTATGACACTCAATGTTATGTATGACACTCAATGTAATGTATGACCTTCGATGTAATGTATGACACTCAACATAATGTATGACATTCCATGTAATATATGACATTCAACATAATGTATGACACTGAATGTAATGTAAGACACTTGACGTAATGAATGACACTCAATGTCATGTATGACACTCAATGAAATGTATGACACTCAACGTAATGTATGACACTCAATGTATGACCATCAATGTAATGTATGACACTCGACGTAATGTATGACACTCAATGTAATGTATGACACTCAATGTAATGAATGACACTCAATGTATGACCTTCAATGTAATGTATGACCTTCAATGTAATGTATGACACTCAACATAATGTATGACATTCAATGCAATATATCACCTTCAATGTAATGTACGACCATCAATGTAATGTATGACACTCAATGTATGACACTCAATGTAATGTATGACACTCAATGTAATGAATGACACTCAATGTATGACACTCAATGTAATGTTTGACCTTCAATGTAATGTATGACCTCCAATGTAATGTATGACACTCAACATAATGTATGACACTCAATGTTATGTATGACACTCAATGTAATGTATGACCTTCGATGTAATGTATGACACTCAACATAATGTATGACATTCCATGTAATATATGACATTCAACATAATGTATGACACTCAATGTAATGTATGACACTCAATGTAATGTATGACACTCAATGTAATGTATGACACTCAATGTAATGTATGACACTCAATGTATGACACTCAATGTAATGTATGACACTCACTGTAATGAATGACACTCAATGTAATGTATGACACTCAACATAATGTATGACACTCAATGTAATGTATGACACTCAATGTAATGTATGACCTTCAATGTAATGTATGACACTCAACATAATGTATGACATTCAATGTAATATATGACATTCAACATAATGTATGACACTCAATGTAATGTATGACACTCAATGTATGACACTCAATGTAATGTATGACCTTCAATGTAATGTATGACCTTCAATGTAATGTATGACACTCAACGTAATGTATGATACTCAATGTAATGACACTCGACATAATGTATGACATTGAATGTAATGTAAGACACTCAATGAAATGTATGACACTCAACGTAAGGAATGACACTCGACGTAATGTATGACACTCAACATAATGTATAACACTCAACGTAATGTATGACCATCAATGTAATGTTTGACACTTGACGTAATGTATGACACTCAATGTAATGTATGACACTCAATGTAATGTATGACCATCAATGTAATGTATGACTGACAATCGATGTAATGTATGACACTCAATGTAATGAATGACACTCTATGTATGACCTTCAATGTAATGTATGACCTTCAATGTAATGTATGACACTCAACGTAATGTATGACATTCAATGCAATATATCACCTTCAATGTAATGTATGACCATCAATGTAATGTATGACACTCAATGTAATGTATGACACTCAATGTAATGTATGACACTCAATGTAATGAATGACACTCAATGTATGACACTCAATGTAATGTTTGACCTTCAATGTAATGTATGACCTTCAATGTAATGTATGACACTCAACATAATGTATGACACTCAATGTAATGTATGACACTCAATGTAAGGTATGACATTCAACATAATGTATGACACTCAATGTAATGTATGGCACTCAATGTATGACCATCAATGTAATGTAAGACACTCAATGTAATGTATGACCATCAGTGTAATGTATGACTGACAATCGATGTAATGTATGACACTCAATGTAATGTATATATTGACACTCAATGTATGACACTCAATGTAATGTATGACACTCAATGTAATGTATGACACCCAATGTATGACACTCAATGTAATGTATGACACTCAATGTAATGTATGACCTTCAATGTAATGTATGACCTTCATTGTAATGTATGACCTTCATTGTAATGTATGACACTCAAGGTAATGTATGACATTCAATGTAATATATGACATTCAACATAATGTATAACACTCAACGTAATGTATGACATTCAACGTAATGTATGACATTCAACATAACGTATGACACTCAATGTAATGTTTGACCTTCAATGTAATGTATGACCTTCAATGTAATGTATGACACTCAACATAATGTATGACACTCAATGTAATGTATGACACTCAATGTAAGGTATGACATTCAACATAATGTATGACACTCAATGTAATGTATGGCACTCAATGTAATGTATGACACTCAATGTATGACACTCAATGTAATGTATGACACTCACTGTAATGAATGACACTCAATGTATGACACTCAATGTAATGTATTACCTTCAATGTAATGTATGACCTTCAATGTAATGTATGACACTCAACGTAATGTATGATACTCAATGTAATGACACTCGACATAATGTATGACACTGAATGTAATGTAAGACACTTGACGTAATGAATGACACTCAATGAAATGTATGACACTCAATGTAATGTATGACACTCAATGTAATGTATGACACTCAATGTAATGTATGACACTCAATGTAATGTATGACCTTCAATATAATGTATGACCTTCATTGTAATGTATGACCTTCATTGTAATGTATGACACTCAATGTAATGTATGACACTCAATGTAATGAATGACACTCAATGTATGACACTCAATGTAATGTTTGACCTTCAATGTAATGTATGACCTCCAATGTAATGTATGACACTCAACATAATGTATGACACTCAATGTAATGTATGACACTCAATGTAATGTATGACCTTCAATGTAATATATGACATTCAACATAATGTATGACACTCAATGTAATGTATGGCACTCACTGTAATGAATGACACTCAATGTATGACACTCAATGTAATGTATTACCTTCAATGTAATGTATGACCTTCAATGTAATGTATGACACTCAACGTAATGTATGACACTCAATGTAATGACACTCGACATAATGTATGACACTGAATGTAATGTAAGACACTTGACGTAATGAATGACACTCAATGAAATGTATGACACTCAACATAACGAATGACACTCGACGTAATGTATGACACTCAACATAATGTATGACACTCAACGTAATGTATGACACTCAATGTATGACCATCAATGTAATGTAAGACACTCAATGTAATGTATGACCATCAGTGTAATGTATGACTGACAATCGATGTAATGTATGACACTCAATGTAATGTATATATTGACACTCAATGTATGACACTCAATGTAATGTATGACACTCAATGTAATGTATGACACCCAATGTATGACACTCAATGTAATGTATGACACTCAATGTAATGTATGACACTCAATGTAATGTATGACCTTCAATGTAATGTATGACCTTCATTGTCACTCAATGTAATGTATGACCTTCAATGTAATGTATGACCTTCATTGTAATGTATGACCTTCATTGTAATGTATGACACTCAAGGTAATGTATGACATTCAATGTAATATATGACATTCAACATAATGTATAACACTCAATGTAATGTATGACATTCAACGTAATGTATGACATTCAACATAATGTATGACACTCAATGTCATGTATGACACTCCATGTAATGTATGACACTCAATGTAATGTATGACACCCAATGTATGACACTCAATGTAATGTATGACACTCAATGTAATGTATGACACTCAATGCAATGTATGACCTTCAATGTAATGTATGACCTTCATTGTAATGTATGACCTTCATTGTAATGTATGACACTCAAGGTAATGTATGACATTCAATGTAATATATGACATTCAACATAATGTATAACACTCAACGTAATGTATGACATTCAACGTAATGTATGATATTCAACATAATGTATGACACTCAATGTCATGTATGACACTCCATGTAATGTATGACACTCAATGTAATGTATGACATTCAATTTTATATATGACATTCAACATAATGTATGACACTCAACGTAATGTATGACATTCAACATAATGTATGACACTCAATGTCATGTATGACACTCCATGTAATGTATGACACTCCATGTATGACACTCAATGTAATGTATGACACTCAACGTAATGTATGACACTCAATGTAATGTATGACACTCAACGTAATGTATGACACTCAACGTAATGTATGATACTCAATGTAATGTATGACACTCAACGTATCACTCAATGTAATATATGACACTCAATGTAATGTACGACACTCAATGTAATGTATGACACTCAACATAATGTATGACACTCAATGTAATGTATGACACTCAACGTAATGTATGACACTCAACGTAATGTATGACACTCAACGTAATGTATGATACTCAATGTAATGTATGACACTCAACGTATCACTCAATGTAATATATGACACTCAATGTAATGTATGACACTCAACATAATGTATGACACTCAACGTAATGTATGACACTAAACGTAATGTATGACACTCAACGTAATGTATGACACTCAACGTAATGTATGACACTCAATGTAATGTATGACACTCAACGTATGACACTCAATATACTCAATAATGTGTTATCAAATTTCTATAGTCTCTTTAATTATCTATATTGATTAACCTGGACCTGATCGTAAATTCATTCTCCTGTTCTGAGGAAAATAATTCCTATTTCTAAACTTGGTCATATTAAATGCTGCCTACCTGAGCCAAGTCTTCCTTATAGAGGCCACGTTTAAGCCTCACCCACGCCTTCGCTTTTAGGATTGTCGACTCGCGTACAATCTTCATCACATCCGTCATTTCCTTGATCGGAACCATCTGATGAGGGAAAGTTTGTTCACAATCTCAAAACCACAAATTTTCCATACAGAAAATTTTACACATAGTGCTAATCTGATTTACCTTAAGACTGTATCTTACATTTCAAATATCTACTTTGAAAATGTATCTAACTCATCACATTTACCTTAAAGTTGTAACTTACATTTGACATTTTCCCTTAAGGTTGTATCTTGCATTTGACATTTTCCCTTAAGGTTGTATCTTAAATTTCACATATTTACCTTAAGGTTGTATCTTACATTTCATATTTTACCTTAAGGTTGTATCTTACATTTCATATTTTACCTTAAGGTTGTATCTTTCATTTCATATTTTACCTTAAGGTTGTATCTTCCATTTCATATTTTACCTTAAGGTTGTATCTTACATTTCATATTTTACCTTAAGGTTGTATCTTACATTTCATATTTTAACTTATGGTTGTATCTTACATATCACATGCATTAACAATAAAAGGACGGTAGTGTACCTTAATATAAACATTTGTTAAATCTGTTGGCTTTACTGGCAAAGAATGTGATTTTGATCTTTTTATGATCAGACTAATATCAGTAATGAAAAGCAATCTACTGTATATGAACCACAGTTCTGATTCTGAGATGTATGTTACCTGTTGTGACCAAAGTCCCATCCGGAGGTTTCCAATGCCCTCCATTGCCTGTTTCACATGAGTCTGTTTAAATGCTTCAATGTAAATGTAACCCTTCAGACTCTCCTTGGATATTACTGACTTAATTTGAAGAGGCTGGAAAGATCAAACATATTTATAGATTGATTATTTTTTTGTAACTAAGTTATACTTATAAATCTTTTAATTACACTGAATAGATCACAGATCTCTGTTAAGCCATGACTACTATAAATATACATCATAGTCTGACAATAACTATTGGATCCATTGTTAAATCAGTTTACAGGGCATCTGGGTAACTCAGATATACAACTTAGTACTAAACTTTTGCATTTATTCCCATTTAATCAGAAGCTTACAACCAATATGGCAATATTTTGTCTACTGTGACAGATACCAAAACTGAATATTCAATTTTCCTGCCAAAGTCACACACAAATATACACTGTTAATACACCTGGATTTAAAACTTTTGCTGCAAATCAACTTTACAAAACAACATCTAATGATCCCTTTCACCTATAGCCAGGAATGTAGGAGGAAACAGTCTCAAAGTAGAAAAATACACTTTTATTAACATTGGGCAAAACTGTTCTGTTTCATACAAGAGCAACAATTACCCTGGGCGGATGTTACCTCATATAGTATATATTGAAATTTTGTTGCTTTTTTTCACAAAATCTTCTGTTGACAGAGCACACTGTTATCATAATTTGTTTTCCATGCACAACTAACACTCAGCAAAATCTGATGGCGTGATCATTATTGGATGAACCAAGTTACCTCCCTTTGACCATTTGTCAAAGTCGGGCAACCGATGGGTACTTACTTCATCTGTAAATTGGTAGGCAATAAATTTGCGCATGAGCTGAATGGCAGTCTCCCGCTCAAATCCAATACGACATTTGACCAGCCAAAGATTGGGATCCCTATGTGGAAATAAAGGTTACATAGCTGTTGAATGTGTGTTAGGGTAACTTTCTGCAGAGACCATCTCTGTTTAGGACAGATTATTGGTGTACAGTTCCCATAGCATTAAACTTCTAATCCCTCACTATTTGTAGAAGTCAAAACAATTATTTCTGTTCTGTAGCAGACGTTACCAAAAATAAATTATCTTTAACGAAAGTATCACATGTTAACGAAATAATAATTTGACAAAATAGTCATTTAACGCAATCACACTTTAAGGAGATAGTAATTAATGAAAATATAGATCAATTAAGTGATAATTTAACGAAATCTTAAGTTCACAAAATAACAATTCAAGGAAATTGTAATTCAATGAAACTTATTAATGAAATAGTTATTTAGAAAAAATGGCAATTTAGCACAATTGTAATTTAATGAAATCATAATTTAAAGAAATATCAATTTAATGGATTTATATTAAACTCTTAATCAATTGAACTATGGTGAAAAAGACAAAATTACACCTGGATCCATGAATATCTTTGTCTTTGGTAAGGGTGAACATCATCTGTCAGCAAGTGAGATGTGATGACCAGGTGTGAATGTAGTTGACCACTAATTAATTCGTGTGAATCTAGAATGAGCAACATCTGTAACTTACTTCACTCCTGGGAGTAATCCTTGCTGTGTGATTTCATCCGACATTTCTGCACCCTCTCCAAACCTCTCTGTGAGGGAGGAATCCTCATATTTCTGTCTATAATAGGCTTCTATTTCATCTTCTTTCTGCGACCTGTCAAAATCCAAATATAAATAAATGTAACATCCTCCAATCAGACATTGATTCCATTTCCCTGAAATGTTTCTTGTAGATAGGATCTTAACATCTGGTCATTTTCAAGCAATTAATGATTTTCTAAAATTCGTTCTAAAAATGTCCCATGTTCTCAATTCTTGTACTTAATGAACTGCAATCAGTTTTGATATGGTTTTCTTAAATGAACGTAATGAAAAATTCTCTGATCCATAAGTAATAGAAATAGATCTCACTTGAACAAGTGCTCAAGTCGCCGGTTGCCCTCAATTTCTCTAGCAGTTGGCCCCTCATAGTTCGACTTCGCTTCAATCAGATCTTCAGCTCCCGACTCCCAGTCATCTTCATCATCCTCACCCTCATCATCAACATCTGAACAGTAAGTGAAAAGTTACTGCATATAATACACTACTTGTCTTATATGGTATAGACATCTGTCACATGGTATAGGAGTATATCACATGGTATAGGAGTATGTAACATGGTATAGGAGTATGTAACATGGTATAGGAGTATATCACATGGTATAGGAGTATGTCACATGGTATAGGAGTATGTAACATGGTATAGGAGTACATTACATGGTATAGGAGTATATCACATTGTATAGGAGTATATCAAATGGTATAGGAGTACATCACATGGTATAGGAGTACATCACATGGTATAGGAGTACATCACATGGTACAGGAGTACGTCACATGGTACAGGAGTACATCACATGGTATAGGAGTATATCACATGGTATAAGAGTATGTCACATCGTATAGGAGTATATCACATGGTATAGGAGTATGTAACATGGTATAGGAGTATGTAACATGGTATAGGAGTACATCACATGGTATAGGAGTATATCACATGGTATAGGAGTTTATCACATGGTATAGGAGTATGTCACATGCTATAGGAGTACATCACATGGTATAGGAGTATATCACATGGTATAGGAGTTTATCACATGGTATAGGAGTATGTCACATGGTATAGGAGTATATCACATGGTATAGGAGTATATCACATGGTATAGGAGTATGTCACATGGTATAGGAGTATGTAACAAGGTATAGGAGTATGTTACATGGTATAGGAGTATGTAACATGGTATAGGAGTACATCACATGGTATAGGAGTATGTCACATGGTATAGGAGTACATCACATGGTATAGGAGTATGTCACATGGTATAGACGTTTGTTGCATGTTATGGAAATCTGTCACTTGAATGTCATATATTGTGCAACTAAACATTTTAAGTTCAATAGTTAATCAAAATGAGTGGTTTAAATTTAACCTAGGAACCATCATTTCAATAACCTAGGTTTATTACCAACACAATCTCTGGATCATCCCTCCAATAACCTTGGAACCATCACTACAATAACCTAGGGACCATCACTACAATAACCTAGAGATCATCACTCCAATAATCTAGGAACCATCACTCCAATAACCTAGGGACATTCACTTCAATAACCTAGGGACATACACTCCAATAACCTAGGGACATTCACTACAATAACCTAGGAACCATCACTCCAATAACCTAGGGACATTCACTACAATAACCTAGGAACCATTACTTCAATAACCAAGGGACATTCACTCCAATAACCAAGGGACATTCACTACAATAACCTAGGGACATTCACTACAATAACCTAAGGACCATCACTCCAATAACCTAGGAACCATCACTCCCATAACCTAGGAACCATCACTACAATAACCAAGGAACCATCACTCCAATAACCTAAGGAACATTTACTCCAATAACCTAGAGATCATCACTACAATAACCTAGGAACCATCACTCCAATAAACCTATGAACCATCAATTCCATAACCAAGGGACCATCACTACAATAACCTAGGAACCATCACTACAATAACCTAGGGACCATCACTCCAATAACCTAGGAACCATCACTCCAATAACCTATGAACCATCAATTCCATAACCAAGGGACCATCACTACAATAACCTAGGAACCATCACTACAATAATCTAGGAACCATCACTCCAATAACCTAGGGACATTCACTTCAATAACCTAGGGACATTCACTCCAATAACCTAGGGACATTCACTTCAATAACCTAGGAACCATCACTCCAATAACCTAGGGACATTCACTACAATAACCTAGGAACCATCACTCCAATAAACTAGGGACATTCACTACAATAACCTAGGAACCATTACTTCAATAACCAAGGGACATTCACTCCAATAACCAAGGGACATTCACTACAATAACCTAGGGACATTCACTACAATAACCTAAGGACCATCACTCCAATAACCTAGGAACCATCACTCCAATAACCTAAGGAACATTTACTCCAATAACCTAGAGATCATCACTCCAATAACCTAGGAACCATCACTCCAATAACCTTGGAACCATCACTCCAATAACCAAGGAACTATCACTCCAATAACCTAGGGATCATCACTACAATAACCTAGGGACCATCACTACAATAACCTAGGAACCATCACTCCAATAACCAAGGGGCCATCACTACAATAACCTAGGAACCATCACTCCAATAACCTAGGAACCATCAATTCCATAACTAAGGGACCATCACTTCAATAACCTAGGGACATTCACTCCAATAACCTAGGAACCATCACTCCAATAACCTAAGGACCATCACACCAATAACCTAGGAACCATCACTACAATAACCTAGGGACCATCACTTCAATAACCTAGGGACCATCACTCCAATAACCTAGGGACATTCACTACAATAACCTAGGAACCATCACTCCAATAACCTAGGGACCATCACTCCAATAACCTAGGAACCATCACTACAATAACCGAGGGACATTCACTACAATAACCGAGGGACATTCACTCCAATAACCTAGGGACCATCACTCCAATAACCTAGGAACCATCACTACAATAACCTAGGAACCATCACTACAATAACCTAGGGACCATCACTTCAATAACCTAGTGACCATCACTCCAATAACCTAGGGACATTCACTCCAATAACCGAGGGACCATCACTCCAATAACCTAGGAACCATCACTACAATAACCTAGGAACCATCACTACAATAACCGAGGGACATTCACTACAATAACCTAGGGACATTCACTCCAATAACCTAGGGACCATCACTCCAATAACCTAGGAACCATCACTACAATAACACAGGAACCATCACTACAATAACCTAGGAACCATCACTACAATAACCTAGGAACCATCACTACAATAACCTAGGGACCATCACTTCAATAACCTAGGGACCATCACTCCAATAAACTAGGAACCATCACTCCAATAATCTATAGATTATTACTCCAATAGCCTTGGGGCTATTATTGCAAAGGTAAAAACTCTTAAAATAAGATAGATGTGGTTGGTTAAGTTGTGTACAAACATAACATCCCACTTCTTTCTACAAATCGATGATGATTCTTTTTCTATAATACATGTTGAACAAAATGAACACAGTTTCTTTTTTCTTTTTGTTGGACCTTACCAGCTTCATCAATGATGAAACCAGACAATCTGGGCTTCTTTTTCTTCCTTCTCCCATCATCATCTTCATCTTCTTCTGAATCATACTCCTGAATATAAACACATATTATATCATATATAACAGCTTCATATCAATCTTTATCCTGAATATAAACAATTACCACAGATTTATATCTATCTTTATCCTGAATATAAACAATATCACAGTTCATATCAATTTTATCCTGAATATAAACAAGAGGCTAAGAGGGCCTGTATAGCTCACCTTTATCTTTATGACCAACCTTATTATATCTGTGCATATGTTCCCGTTTAACACATTTGACCCCTGTGACCTTGAAAATCGGTCAAGGTCATTTCTTTTACATTTTGGGACATCATAAATGGAACATACTGGCCAAATATAATGATTCTAGGCTTTTCGATATTTCAGAAGAAATTGTTTAAATGTTTTAACACATTTGACTTCTGTGACCTTGAAGATTGGTCAAGGTCATTTCTTTTAGCAAACTTTATAGGACACCATAAGAGGAACATAGCAGACTAATATAATGATTCTAGGCTTTCCGGTACTTTGAAAGAAGTCGCTTAAAGTTTTTAACACATTTGACCTCTCTGACCTTGAATGTGGGTCAAGGTCATTTTTTTTTTTTTGACAAACTTTGCCGGTCTTCATCAAAGGAACCTTCCAACAAAATATAATGATTCTAGGCTTTCCGGTACTTTGGAAGAAGCCGTTTAAAGGTTTTAACACATTTGGCCTCTGTGACCTTGATTATGGATCAAAGTCATTTCTTTTTGCAAACTTTATTTTGCTTCATCAAAGGAACCTTCCACCCAAATATGATAACTCTACACTTTCAGTATTTCAGAAGAAGTTGTTTAAATGAAAAGTTGATGGACGCCGGACGGACGGATGACTGATGACAGACAGACGATGCGCTATGGCATAAGTTAACTTGTCCCTTTGGGCCAGGTGAGCTAACAATTATCACAGTTTCATATCTATCTTTATCCTGAATATAAACAATTACCACAGATTTATATCAATCTTTATCCTGAATATAAACAATTACCACATCCCAAACACCTTGTTGCCTTTCATGATCAGTAGGTTTGTGTCTTGCTAGTTGATATCATGTTTTTAAAGACTTTGTCCTGTTTGTGGATGATATCAACTCCAATAATTTGCACTGATATATACAGGTCAGTAATTTATCATTGTTGTTCTTCAATAAATCATCAAACCCTTGTTGTATCAATTTTGGCGTACCAGATAATCCTTACAATCACTGATGTGGCCTCTCATAACCTTTGAATTTTCCACAAAAAAAACCAAAACAAAATATATAATGAACAAGAGATCCCAGAGGGATCTTGGCGCCCACCATTTGAGGATCTGTTTTCAGTTCTTGAAGATTTGTTTATTTTTTTTTGTTTGTTACAGGTGTTGTAAATGTTCATGAACTGGTCTTCATTGAATGTACTCAATAGATATTTTTATTAAGCACCTATTAGCAAATATCATTTGAAAAAGATCCCAAAGTATTATTAGATAGCAGTCAGTTACAGGTGTAAAAATGACAATATGCTTGTGCTGTATTACTGTCGACATCCAAGATGGCTGCCTGTGGGCCACCTTGATTTCAAATAAGTCCAAAAAAGGTACAATGCACAACTTGGGACCAAGGGAAACCAATATCTATGAAATATCAGAAGGATCTATCCAGTACTTCCTCAGATATAGCAGTAACAAGATTTTACATCCGAAATCCAAGATGGCCACCTGTTGGCCATCTTGAATTCGAATCAGTCCAAAAAAAAGGTACAATGCACAACTAGGGACCAAGGGGAACCTGCATATGAAATTTGAGAAAGATCCATCCAGTACTTTCCAAGAAATAGCGGTAACAAACTTTTACATCCAAAATCCAAGATGGCCACCTGTTGGCCATCTTGAATTCGAATCAGTCCAAAAAAGGTACAATGCACAACTAGGGACTAAGGGGAAACTGCATATGAAATTTGAGAAAGATCCATCCAGTACTTTCCAAGAAATAGCAGTAACAAACTTTTACTTCCAAAATCCAAGATGGCCACCTGTTGGCCATCTTGAATTCGAATCAGTCAAAAAAGGTACAATGCACAACTATGGACAAGGGGAAACTGCATATGAAATTTGAGAAAGATCCATCCAGTACTTTCCAAGAAATAGCGGTAACAAACTTTCACTTCCAAAATCCAAGATGGCTGCCTGTCGGCCATCTTGAATTCGAATCAGTCCAAAACAGGTACAATGCACAACTAGGGACCATGGGGAAACTGCATATGAAATTTGAGAAAGATCCATCCAGTACTTTCCAAGAAATAGCGGTAACAAACTTTTACTTCCAAAATCCAAGATGGCTGCCTGTCGGCCATCTTGAATTCGAATCAGTCCAAAAAAAGGTACAATGCACAACTAGGGACCATGGGGAACCTGCATATGAAATTAAAGGAAGATCCATCCAGTACTTTCTCAGAAATAGCGGTAACAAACTTTTACTTCCAAAATCCAAGATGGCCACCTGTCGGCCATCTTGAATTCGAATCAGTCCAAAAAAAGGTACAATGCACAACTAGGGACCATGGGGAACCTGCATATGAAATTAAAGGAAGATCCATCCTGTACTTTCTCAGAAATAGCGGTAACAAACTTTTACTTCCAAAATCCAAGATGGCCACCTGTTGGCCATCTTGAATTCGAATCAGTCCAAAAAAGGTACAATGCACAACTAGGGACCAAGGGGAAACTGCATATGAAATTTGAGAAAGATCCATCCAGTACTTTCCAAGAAATAGCGGTAACAAACTTTTACTTCCAAAATCCAAGATGGCTGCCTGTCGGCCATCTTGAATTCGAATCAGTCCAAAAAAGGGTACAATGCACAACTAGGGACCAAGGGGAACCTGCATATGAAATTTGAGAAAGATCCATCCAGTACTTTTCCAGAAATAGCGGTAACAAGAACTGTTTATGGACGGACGACGGACCACGGACGCAGGGCGATTTGAATAACCTACCATCTATTAGATGGTGGGCTAAAAATCCTAAAGTTACGTAATGTGTGCAACCCCAACTCTAGACCCTCAATTTCTGAAGAAAAACTGCACTTTTGTGGGGTTTATGGTAATTATATATCTATATATACATACCATTCTGGACCTAAGGTATGTTTTAACTGTTTGTTTACCAGGTAATTTAAAAAGAGAGCTGTGACTATGTTGGAGTTATTTAAACTTGTATTACATCACATCACAATCACTTTCATATAAAATAAAACACAGCAATGCTGATTTACCAGTATCTTATACAGATGTCTAAAATAATTAATTTCTGTAACAGTCCATGAAGCTCATCAGCCATCAAACTCTTCCATCCCAGTAACTAACTGGTTCATGTAACAAAATCTTCTGAAATCAATAGTTCTCTGAAGGGTTTTAAGAAATTTGACCGTTTTGACCTTAAATGAAGATCAATGTCATTAATACATCTCTGAACAAACATAATCTGAACAACCCACCAGTTAAACTTACCAGTCCTAAGCCTTCTGGTTCCTAAGAAGACATCAAATTGTCACAGATGCTTAAAGTTTAAGATGAATGGCAATAGTGTACTACAATCCTAAGTACATTTATTTTACCTGGAGAAAATTTAGATTTAATTACCAACAACTGTACAGTAGTGTAATTCTTGTCATAATGAAGCAGAATTAAGTACAACATATTTCACCTGATAGTTGTGAAATATTTGTTGTATCTGATAGTTGTTAAATATTTGTTGTATCTGATAGTTGTGAAATATTTGTTGTATCTGATAGATGTGAAATATTTGTTGTATCTGATAGTTGTGAAATATTTGTTGTATCTGATAGTTGTGAAATATTTGTTGTATCTGATAGTTGTGAAATATGTGAAATATTTGTTGTATCTGATAGTTGTGAAATATGTGAAATATTTGTTGTATCTGATAGTTGTAAAATATTTATTGTATCTAATAGTTGTGAAAAATTTATTGTACCTGATAGTTGTGAAATATGTGAAATATTTGTTATATCTGGTAAGTGTCAAATAATTATTGTATCGGATTGTTGTGAAATATTTGTTGTATCTGGTAGTTGTGAAACAGAGTATTTTTCACAAAAAATCCTCTTTGGTTGAACAAAGAAATACTAAATTTGGTAATATGTTTTGGGATTATCTTTTGATTCTATTGTCTGAGAATTACCGATCCTGACAATATCTGTGTCTCAAGTCATATCAAAGGGACATTGAAAGTTTGATGTCTTGAATTTAAATTCAGTACCCATTTTGCATACCTCTTCATCTTCATCCAATACATTCTTCCGTCTGTGTCTTATTTCTACATCACTGCCTTCACCCTGTAATGGAAATCAGTTATAGTTTCCTAAGAAAACTGACTTATCAGAAAGACATTTGGCTCTTGAAATTAAGAATATTTATACTCCAAGGAGGCTGTTACATCAATTATGTACATTCCCCACTCTCCAATAAAGCTGTTACATCAACTATACACCTACCCCACTCTCTTCTCCACTCCCCGATCCACTTCCATGTGCACTTCCTGCTGGGCTCCTGCCTCCTCCACTTCCTGACACACTTCCTGCAGGACTACCAGGACCACTAGTACTGTGAACACTCTCAGGGTCTGAGAAATCGCTATCTGCACTGTCATCCGACATATTGACTGTACAAACACAGCAAAAAATCAAATTGTCTTTAATAACTGACGATATTACTTTAAAATATGACCTACACCAAATAGGTACAACTACAGATTACGTCAGAAATTTGAGAAAGAGCTGTCCAGTATTTCAAAAGAAACTGTGATAACAATCTTTCACTGTGAACATTAACATCCACAGGGCACAACCTAGGACAAATGCTATTCTACATATGAAATTTGGAAATGATCCATCGAGTAATTAACAAGGAATATCAATAATAAACTATTACTGTCAAAATCGTAGATTTCAGAACATATTGCTGGATGACAGACATTGAATGAACAGCATTTTGATGGTAATAATATAAGTTTTTATAAAGAAAACATTACAAACAATGGTGAACACAAAGATTCCAACTCCAATTATTTACACAGGATAATGTGCAAGAGCACAGCTTTAGTCTCCAGTCAGACACAGCTTTAGTATCTAGTCAGACACAGCTTTGGTCTCTAGTCAAACACAGCTTTGGTCTCTAGCCGGACACAGCTTTAGTCTCTAGCCAGACACAGCTTTAGTCTCTAGTCTGATACAGTTTTAGTCTCTAGTCCGACACAGCTTTAGTCTCTAGCCGGACACAGCTTTAGTCTCTAGTCAGACACAGCTTTAGTCTCTAGCCGGACACAGCTTTAGTCTCTAGTCAGACACAGCTTTAGTCTCTAGCCCTACACAGCTTTAGTCTCTAGCCCTACACAGCTTTAGTCTCTAGCCGACCACAGCTTTAGTCTCTAGCTGGACACAGCTTTAGTCTCTAGCCGACCACACAGCTGGACACAGCTTTAGTCTCTAGTCCGACACAGCTTTAGTCTCTAGCCGGACACAGCTTTAGTCTCTAGATCTACACAGCTTTGGTCTCTAGCTCGACACAGCTTTAGTCTCTAGCTGAACACATCTTTAGTCTTTAGCTGGACACAAATTTAGTCTCTAGCTGGACACAGCTTTAGTCTCTAGCCGACCACATAGCCGGACACAGCTTTAGTCTCTAGTCTGACACAGCGATAGTCTCTAGCCGGACACAGCTTTAGTCTCTAGTCCGACACAGCTTTAGTTCCTAGCTGGACACAGCTTTAGTCTCTAGCCGACCACACAGCCGGACACAGCTTTAGTCTCTAGTCCGACACAGCTTTAGTCTCTAGCCCTACACAACTTTAGTCTCTAGCCCTACACAACTTTAGTTCCTAGCCAGACACAGCTTTAGTTTCTAGCCAACCACACAGCCAGGCACAGCTTTAGTCTCTAGATGGACACAGCTTTAGTCTCTAGCCGACCACACAGCCGGACACAGCTTTAGTCTCTAGTCCGACACAGCATTAGTCTCTAGCCCTACACAGCTTTAGTCTCTAGCCCTACACAGCTTTAGTCTCTAGCTGGACACAATTTTAGTCTCTAGCTGGTCACAGCTTTAGTCTCTAGTCAGACACAGCTTTAGTCTCTAGCCGGACACAGCTTTAGTCTCTAGTCAGACACAGCTTTAGTCTCTAGCCCTACACAGCTTTAGTCTCTAGCCCTACACAGCTTTAGTCTCTAGCCGACCACAGCTTTAGTCTCTAGCTGGACACAGCTTTAGTCTCTAGCCGACCACACAGCTGGACACAGCTTTAGTCTCTAGTCCGACACAGCTTTAGTCTCTAGCCGGACACAGCTTTAGTCTCTAGATCTACACAGCTTTGGTCTCTAGCTCGACACAGCTTTAGTCTCTAGCTGAACACATCTTTAGTCTTTAGCTGGACACAAATTTAGTCTCTAGCTGGACACAGCTTTAGTCTCTAGCCGACCACATAGCCGGACACAGCTTTAGTCTCTAGTCTGACACAGCAATAGTCTCTAGCCAGACACAGCTTTAGTCTCTAGTCCGACACAGCTTTAGTTCCTAGCTGGACACAGCTTTAGTCTCTAGCCGACCACACAGCCGGACACAGCTTTAGTCTCTAGTCCGACACAGCTTTAGTCTCTAGCCCTACACAACTTTAGTCTCTAGCCCTACACAACTTTAGTTCCTAGCCAGACACAGCTTTAGTTTCTAGCCAACCACACAGCCAGGCACAGCTTTAGTCTCTAGATGGACACAGCTTTAGTCTCTAGCCGACCACACAGCCGGACACAGCTTTAGTCTCTAGTCCGACACAGCATTAGTCTCTAGCCCTACACAGCTTTAGTCTCTAGCCCTACACAGCTTTAGTCTCTAGCTGGACACAATTTTAGTCTCTAGCTGGACACATCTTTAGTCTCTAGCTGGACACAGCTTTAGTCTCTAGCCCTACACAGCTTTAGTTCCTAGCCGGACACAGCTTTAGTGTCTAGCCCTACACTGCTTTAGTCTCTAGCCGGACACAGCTTTAGTCTCTAGCTGGACACAGCTTTAGTCGCTAGCCAACCACACAGCCAGACACAGCTTTAGTCTCTAGCCAGACAAAGCTTTAGTCTCTAGCCAACCTCACAGCTGGACACAGCTTTAGTCTCTAGTCCGACACAGCTTTAGTCTCTAACCACAGCTGGACACAGCTTTAGTCTCTAGTCCGACACAGCTTTAGTCTCTAGCCGGACACAGCTTTAGTCTCTAGTCAGACACAGCTTTAGTCTCTAGCCCTACACAGCTTTAGTCTCTAGCCCTACACAGCTTTAGTCTCTAGCCGACCACAGCTTTAGTCTCTAGCTGGACACAGCTTTAGTCTCTAGCCGACCACACAGCTGGACACAGCTTTAGTCTCTAGTCCGACACAGCTTTAGTCTCTAGCCGGACACAGCTTTAGTCTCTAGATCTACACAGCTTTGGTCTCTAGCTCGACACAGCTTTAGTCTCTAGCTGAACACATCTTTAGTCTTTAGCTGGACACAAATTTAGTCTCTAGCTGGACACAGCTTTAGTCTCTAGCCGACCACATAGCCGGACACAGCTTTAGTCTCTAGCCAGACACAGCTTTAGTCTCTAGTCCGACACAGCTTTAGTTCCTAGCTGGACACAGCTTTAGTCTCTAGCCGACCACACAGCCGGACACAGCTTTAGTCTCTAGTCCGACACAGCTTTAGTCTCTAGCCCTACACAACTTTAGTTCCTAGCCAGACACAGCTTTAGTTTCTAGCCAACCACACAGCCAGGCACAGCTTTAGTCTCTAGATGGACACAGCTTTAGTCTCTAGCCGACCACACAGCCGGACACAGCTTTAGTCTCTAGTCCGACACAGCATTAGTCTCTAGCCCTACACAGCTTTAGTCTCTAGCCCTACACAGCTTTAGTCTCTAGCTGGACACAATTTTAGTCTCTAGCTGGACACATCTTTAGTCTCTAGCTGGACACAGCTTTAGTCTCTAGCCCTACACAGCTTTAGTTCCTAGCCGGACACAGCTTTAGTGTCTAGCCCTACACTGCTTTAGTCTCTAGCCGGACACAGCTTTAGTCTCTAGCTGGACACAGCTTTAGTCGCTAGCCAACCACACAGCCAGACACAGCTTTAGTCTCTAGCCAGACAAAGCTTTAGTCTCTAGCCAACCTCACAGCTGGACACAGCTTTAGTCTCTAGTCCGACACAGCTTTAGTCTCTAACCACAGCTGGACACAGCTTTAGTCTCTAGTCCGACACAGCTTTAGTCTCTAGCCGGACACAGCTTTAGTCTCTAGATCGACACAGCTTTGGTCTCTAGCTGGACACAGCTTTAGTCTCTAACCACAGCTGGACACAGCTTTAGTTTCTAGCCAGACACAGCTTTAGTCTCTAGTCCGACACAGCTTTAGTCTCTAGCCGACCACACAGCCAGACACAGCTTTAGTCTCAAGTCCGACACAGCTTCAGTCTCTAGCCCAACACAGCTTTAGTCTCTAGCCCAACACAGCTTTAGTCTCTAGCCCAACACAGCTTTAGTCTCTAGCCGGACACAGCTTTAGTCTCTAGCTGGACACATTTTTAAGTTTCTAGCTGGACACATCTTTAGTCTCTAGCTGGACACAGCTTTAGTCTCTAGCCGACCACACAGCCGGACACAGCTTTAGTCTCTAGTCCGACAAAGCTTTAGTCTCTAGCCCTACACAACTTTAGTTCCTAGCCGGACACAGCTTTAGTTCCTAGCCGGACACAGCTTTAGTCTCTAGCCAACCACACAGCCAGGCACAGCTTTAGTCTCTAGTTCGACACAGCTTTAGTTTCTAGCCAACCACACAGCCAGTTACAGCTTTAGTCTCTATTCCGACACAGCTTTAGTCTCTAGCCCTACACAGCTTTAGTCTCTAACCACAGCTGGACACAGCTTTAGTCTCTAGTCCGACACAGCTTTAGTCTCTAGCCGGACACAGCTTTAGTCTCTTAGATGGACACAGCTTTGGTCTCTAGCTGGACACAGCTTTAGTCTCTAGTCGGACAAAGCTTTAGTCTCTAGCCTGACATACTTCCCCTTGACTAAAGGGAATTCCCCCAAGCTGAGGCTAGTAAGGTGACCTGTACTCTCAACTCCTACACTATTCCCTCCTACACAATGTATTCGACCCTGAAGACAACAAAACCCAGGTTCAATATCTCAAAGGAAGCATCTCAATCCCCTATAGCTTCTACCCTTGAAGTGGTCAACAGCGCCAGATCTGTAATAGGGAAATTAATGAAAAAGACCCTGCCAGGGTTCTAATCAACTGCCTTTAAGAGTCCCTAGCAAAACTTTTTAGCACTTGATGAAAGAGAACTTCCCACTTGGCAAGACTTGTGATATGACAATGTGAGCTTCTACAGATATGTTATATATGAATGAAAGAAATCTCCAGCATTATCAAGTGTCTGATGTTTCTCAGGTCCAGTCAAATAATAGGTCTAGCATCTATACATAACATGTCTCTTCAAACTTTGTGTTTGCTAATTTAATCATCTTTTCCATCTGGTATAGATTCCCTCTATTCCCTCCCATCTTCATGTGGTTATTCCAACATACCTTTATAAATGGTACTATGACAGTACATGATTGCTGTGACAGGGATTCCATCCCCCCATCTCAACCCTCAGGCGATATAAGGAAATTTCACACCAGTAAAAGCAAAGTACACTTAACCAGGTTATCTAGCCTTCAGTGACATTGGAGTATCTCTCCCATCTGGACAGATATAAATGATAAGTTGATCTTGTTTTGTTTTAGTCCTAGAAGGACCTATATGGGACAGTTATTTCCTAACCTGGCTCTACTCTACCTTATTTCAATTAGTACTGAAAAGTGCTTTTATCTTGTTTGCCTTTTCACATTCTAAGATATTGATGTTATACAAAAATGTTTCACATAAATGACATAGTTAAATAACAGTGGACCGACAATAACCTGGACACCAATAGTTACAAATTCACAATTCCAATTTACATGATGAGAAGGGAGTGGACTTCCAATAGTGATATTCCTGTGCCATCCTCGATACTCCTGGGGTTACAATCACATTTGCTCTCTATACCCCTGGAACATGGCAAAATTGATGGTTCCCCATGCAACACCTTGTGGACAGGACAAAAAGACTGGCATGATCATTTGATGTACACCAAACAAAACTTGAGGTAAGTTGTAATGGTTTGCAGTTTGGTGTCGCTCCTTAAAATTGTAATCTTAAAAAGGATCATCATGTGATTGGTCACTTTTCCCTCCGTGGACCAATCAAAGTACTTCACTTGTGCCTTCAATTTTGCCATGACATGTTCCACTGACATCCAACTTCAAAGTCATTTCCACATACTGTATATTATGAAAACAACCAACTGAACCATAACCTAAGGGACAACTTCATTGTCATGTGCACAGCAGAGAATTTGGTGGCCCAAACACACCAGTCCAGAAAATGTGTAATCCAGACAACTTACTCATATTAATACTAAATTACGCAGATCATTTTAATTTAAATTCAAAAAATGTAAATAGCTGAAGGCATTTGGAATAATGAACAGGGAAGTGTTAACCACTTTATACACTGTTTGTCACCAAATTTCATTGAGTAGTCCAAGTAAATAATGTAGAGACAAGTGAATTTATTTCATGCATGTGCTACTTGGAAAATTTTGTCATCAACACCCAAAAGAATCGAAAAACTTGACAAGATAATTTCAAATGTGCTCTAAACTTCTACAAAAGCATATAAGGACAAGTAGCATACTGTGAATCCTCTTTTTCCGTTATTCAATGTAAAAGAGGCAATTATTTACTTCTAGGTCTTAAAAGCGGGGACCTCTGGTTTACTAGTCTGATGCTCAATCGGGCTTAAGAGATGGTCTGTATTGCTGGGCGGTATATTGACTGGAGCTTTGACTGGAGCTGTGTCTGAGCGATCTCAGGGGCAGATTTTTTTCTAAAGTGAATGTTTTGATGATTTTTTATAAAATATAGGCCAAATGTATATATACCGTCAACAATAGATTATATTCACTATGGTGAGTATAAGTGCAAAATGTTTTTCCGGTCTCTGTATATTACGTTCACTCGAATCACATGAACTTATAGTCAAACTGTACCAACAGGAACTAGTTAAAATAACAGATAATATGGAAGAGAAAGTGCAGTGGGGGGGGGGGGGGGGGGTTTGAATAATTCCATGATCAATCATTGGATACATGTATGTTACAAACAGCCAGATGAACAAAGCATGCGATGTGTGAAGTCACCGGCGTCTTTTGTTATTAGGACTGTTAAAGCACACATTAAATATAACGGTTCGTGAAGTTCTTACCTTCTTTCCGTTCCACACTTCACGTTTTTATTTCAGCAGATGGCGCTTTACTCAGAACAAAAACCGGCGTTTAGTTTCGTACTTTTAGCACTCTAGCAGTTATGTACTGCAATATTCAGGCCTAGTTGTTCTTTAAATATCACGTTGCTTAGTTGGTGGCATTATACACTCACGTCACTGGTTCAATACTCAAAGAATCATTGAAGTTTTCTAAATTTGGTTATTGGACTTGATTTTAAGAGTTCGCTCCCTTTACCTTATAAGCAAGCGACACCACGCATTTGAAAGCCGATTAGCGCGTACAGGTCAAGATTAGTCTGAGCAGGGATGCCTATCACGGAATAAGATAAAGATAAAGAAAGAAATTAAATACGATATTTTTCGGAATTCGATCTTGAAGATATTCAATATTTGTGTTTGCTTTGCGTTTTAATGTCTTACAAGATACAAGAATAATTATTTAAAGTCGCATGTTACAAGCTCTGTAGATCGAGCTACTCTTGCGACAACAAAAAATATTCTGATATCTACAACATAGGCATGCAGTTTAAAAAACAATACAGTCATAGCTATAACATAAGCACGAAATCAATCAAACAACACCTCTATTAAGCATACACAGCCATGAACATAAAAAATAAGTACACGTGCACATAAACTTCTTACATCACAGTGGAGTAATCCTATCACAGTAGATTATTCCTATCATAGTGAATTAATCTTATCACAGTGGATTATTCCTATCACAGTAGAGTAATCCTATCACAGTGGAGTAATCCTATCACAGTGGATTAATCCTACCACAGTGGATTATTCCTATCACAGTAGAGTAATCCTATCACAGTGGATTAATCCTACCACAGTGGATGATTCCTACCACAGTGGATTATTCCTATCACAGTAGAGTAATCCTATCACAGTGGATTAATCCTACCACAGTGGAGTAATCCTATCACAGTGGATTATTCCTATCACAGTGGATTATTCCTATCACAGTAGAGTAATCCTATCACAGTGGATTATTCCTATCACAGTAGAGTAATCCTATCACAGTGGATTAATCCTACCACAGTGGAGTAATCCTATCACAGTGGATTATTCCTATCATAGTGGATTATTCCTATCACAGTGGATTAATCCTACCACAGTGGAGTAATCCTATCACAGTGGATTATTCCTATCACAGTGGATTAATAATATCACAGTGGATTATTCCTATCATAGTGGAATAATCCTATCACAGTGGATTAATCCTATCACAGTGGATTAATCCTATCACAGTGGAGTAATCCTATCACAGTGGATTATTCCTATCACAGTGGATTATTCCTATCACAGTGGAGTAATCCTATCACAGTGGATTATTCCTATCACAGTGGAGTAATCCTATCACAGTGGATTATTCCTATCACAGTGGATTAATAATATCACAGTGGATTATTCCTATCATTGTGGAATAATCCTATCACAGTGGATTAATCCTATCACAGTGGATTAATCCTATGGCAGTGGATTATTCCTATTACAGTGGATTATTCCTATCACAGTGGATTATTCCTATCACAGTGGATTAATAATATCACAGTGGAGTAATCCTATGGCAGTGGATTATTCCTATCACAGTGGATTATTTCTATCACAGTGAATTATTCCTATGACAGTGGAGTAATCCTACCACAGTGGATGATTCCTATAACAGTGGATTAATCCTATCACAGTGGATTATTCCTATCACAGTGGAATAATCCTATCACAGTGGATTAATCCTATCACAGTGGATTAATCCTATGACAGTGGATTATTCCTATCACAGTGGATTAATCCTATCACAGTGGAGTAATCCTATAACAGTGGATTATTCCTATCACAGTGGAGTAATCCTATCACAGTGGATTATTCCTATCACAGTGGATTAATAATATCACAGTGGATTATTCCTATCATAGTGGAATAATCCTATCACTGTGGATTATTTCTATCACAGTGGATTATTCCTATCACAGTGGAGTAATCCTATCACAGTGGATTATTTCTATCACAGTGGATTAATCCTATCACAGTGGAGTAATCCTATAACAGTGGATTATTCCTATCACAGTGGAGTAATCCTATCACAGTGGATTATTCCTATCACAGTGGATTAATAATATCACAGTGGATTATTCCTATCATAGTGGAATAATCCTATCACTGTGGATTATTTCTATCACAGTGGATTATTCCTATCACAGTGGAGTAATCCTATCACAGTGGATTATTTCTATCACAGTGAATTATTCCTATGACAGTGGAGTAATCCTATCACAGTGGATTATACCTATCACAGTGGATTATTCCTATCACAGTGGATTATTCCTATCACAGTGGAGTAATCCTATCACAGTGGATTATTCCTATCACAGTGGAGTAATCCTATCACAGTGGATTATTCCTATCACAGTGGATTAATAATATCACAGTGGATTATTCCTATCATAGTGGAATAATCCTATCACAGTGGATTATTTCTATCACAGTGGATTATTCCTATCACAGTGGAGTAATCCTATCACAGTGGATTATTTCTATCACAGTGAATTATTCCTATGACAGTGGAGTAATCCTATCACAGTGGATTATACCTATCACAGTGGAATAATCCTATCACAGTGAATTATTCCTATGACAGTGGAGTAATCCTATCACAGTGGATTATTCCTATCACAGTGGATTAATCCTATCACAGTGGATTATTCCTATCACAGTGAATTAATCCTATCACAGTGAATTATTCCTATGCCAGTGGAGTAATCCTATCACAGTGGATTAATCCTATCACAGTGGATTAATCCTATGACAGTGGATTATTCCTATCACAGTGGATTAATCCTATCACAGTGGAGTAATCCTATAACAGTGGATTATTCCTATCACAGTGGAGTAATCCTATCATAGTTGATTATTTCTAACGCAGTGGATTATTCCTATCGCAATGGAGTAATCCTATCACAGTGGATTAATCCTATCACAATGGATTATTCCTATCACAGTGTATTAATCCTATCACATTGGATTAATCCTTATCATAGTGGATTATTCATATCACAGTGGAATAATCCTATCACAGTGGATTATTCCCATCACAGTGGATTATTCCCATCACAGTGGATTATTTCTATCACAGTGGATTATTCCTATCACAGTGGAGTAATCCTATCATAGTGGATTATTCCCATCACGGTGGATTATTCCCATCACAGTGGATTATTCCTATCACAGTGGAATAATCCTATCATAGTGGATTAATCCTGTCACTGTGGATTATTCTTATCACAGTGGATTATTTCTATCACAATGGATTAATCCTGTCCTATCACAGTGGATTAACCCTATCCTACCACAGTGGATTAATCCTATAACAGTGGATTAATCCTACCACAGTGGATGATTCCTATCACAGTGGAGTAATGTTTTTTTTTTTTTTTTTTTGGGGGGGGAGGCCGGGGGAGGATTGTTATTGTTACATAGAGTCAAATTTTACCGTAGCAATGGACATATTTATGATGTATCCAGTGATTGTGAGTCTATATCTCTGGTATGTTAACAGTGATGCTAACATGTTAACTTATACAACTTCTTTATTATTTATAGCATCTGTATATACAGAATCTTAATTATAATATTGTTTACGAAATGGCTAATTTATTATCAGCGATCAGTTCGTGTTAAGAAACCTCAATTACATTAAGTTTGGCGGATTTTTCATTGTGACGTCATAAATTCATAACGACATTTACAATATTACGTCACGAAATACAGAGAAATAGGGCCTAAGAAATATCACTGACTGAGAAATAGTCTATATTTATGTCCGTGGTTTATCCTCAATTTAGATTTTTGATTGGTTTGGTTGCAAAGGTATTATAAATTACAAGATAAAGAAAATTTTCGACTCGTTTGAATTGTTAGAAATTACACATAAAAATGTGAATTGTGTTTACAAAACTTCTGCAAACAGCACTTGATATTTCGCATTACATGTTTTGTTTTCAGTACATAAATAATATTGTTTATAGATAATCTATCTGGTTATATACATAAATAATATTGTTTATAGATAATCTATCTGGTTATATACATAAATAATATTGTTTATAGATAATCTATCTGGTTATATACATTTGCATAAAGTGTCCACTTATATATATATTTATTATGAGAAATTCGTTTGTCCTAGGTGTTAGTACATTTCTGAGCAGTTTCAAAATACACGAGATAATCCACATTAGACATGCTTAGTATGTTAGGCATTTTACTTAAATAAAATAATGTGGATATTTTCCACGTTGTTTTCAAAACAGGACATCTTCTTTGAGCTTTAATGATAAAAAATTGTGTGTTCTTTTCGTTTACGTATAGGTATCATTGCAAGTATTCCATGCATTTGAGTCTGTCTTGGAATGATAAAGTAAATAATCCTTAATTGCTTTCTCTGGTCAAGAGTTATTATTTTCGTCAATATATTTTGTTGATTATCATAATACCTTTTTTTTACCTTAATCTCTATATCTATTCACTCGGTTGACATTTTAATTAGCGGTATTTTATTATCTTGTGACGTCCTTCAAGAACCTCAACATTGGCTTGGTTCGCCTTATTTGAACTTTGACCCAGCTAACTGAGATGGAAAAATTCCAGACAACTCGTGAGCCATCGGCGATCACGTGACTGAATAAAATTACGTCGCCATTTTGTTCGCAGTAGGAATGGCTAGTGAGCAATGTACTTGGGAAATTCTTACAAAAAATGGACGATAGTTGGACCTGTATATTTCACACAAACCGATCAGATCAAAGCTCAAGTTGAAAAGGCTTCAGTGACATGCTCTTTAACGGTATCTTTCCCAAATACTACAACTAAACCTTCCAAGTCTCTCCTTCTTGTGGCCCAACCCCTTGCGAAAATGTAGGGAGGTTTTCACAAGCAACACAAAGCGAATCCATGGATTGAGGATAGAAGGAATGTTTTTGCCGTCACATCCGCAACGAAAAATGTAGCACCGTCTAAGCACATATTTTGTGCAGCTGATTTTAAAAATGCTCAAGGAAATGACTGCATTATTTGCAGGCAAAGGTAGTGTAACAAAATATGCATAAATTATGCAAATGAGTTTAGCCATGTTGGTTTCTCTCACGAAATGTATTCGAAGTTTCCTACTAGCAATATTCTGGCTTATTCAGCGTTACGTAATTCAATATTTCAAAACAAAATAAACCATTTTAATATTGTGGCAAGGATTAGAATAAATCGCAGAAAGGTAAGGCATGTGGAAACGAAAAATACGGCAGCACGATGCTGTATTTTAGAACCCCAAGTTGACAGGGCACTATATCCGTAACAATTTTTGTCACACAACTTTATTTTCATTTCAAATTTTCTTAAAAACATTATTTTTTTGGATATTTTTTACGACTTGTCAGTGCTTGCGGAACTAAAGGAGGTGGGATTTCGTCGATGATGCTAGATTTATTTCTTGCCACTGCCGCCATCCCAGTAGACGGCACACAGGCCGTGGCGACATGGTGAAGGAACCCGGATGTAAGCAAATCACAAACACTGGCCAACGGGTTATTTATAGATCTTTCGTAATTGTCTGAGTGTATTTGTTTCCGTCTTCTTCTGCTGAGTTGACCGACGTTTCTTCATGTTTGGACTAGAGATTAAATGTGATGTTACATGTATGAACGGCGATATGATTAATATAGTCCAAGCCCATCAGACATCGTAAAACATAAAGAACTATTTTTTCGTGCGGAACAACCGCGTGATTTGTATTGACACAAACATGTGAACAACACGTGGTCGCTCACCTGACGATTCACGTTCAAGGTAGAACGCTTATTCTTGGACGAGGGAAAGACCACATTCATCATTATCGTAATCCATGGATTCGCAATGTGATTTCCAACACGTTATGCACGTGTGTACAAAGTGAACAAAGAAAAGAGAGTTCCTTCTTGGACCATATCCCACTTAATGTGATTTAAGCATAAAAAATATGAAAAGAACGCCCTATTACGCCACTTCCTGTGAAGTTGATATTCTTATCAAAAGAAAAATAATTTTAAATGGAATACAAAGATCACTTAACCTGCATTGAAAAGACAAGAAAATCAAGTTCCATCACATTGCCAAATCATTTAAATAATTGTCTTTAGTAGTAAAAATATAGATATACTGTTTACCCCAGAGACATGTTACATATGTCCCTGTTTACTCTGAAGAAATTATGTGAAATGAAAGTATTAACTAGAAAGATATAACATACAATGAGCTTGATATATACCTACATATTTCAATTCTAAAATTAATTTCAATTTAATTCTTCAATATAGAAATTATACATATGTTGTTTAATGAAATAATGAAAAAATGTAAAATAAGAGTGTTAAAGCAGAAAGATGTTAAGTACAATGAGGCCGACCCTTTCCCCCCACCCCCTAATTTTGAAATGATTACAACTATTCAGATCATGAGAACAACTTGTTGGTCTGACTTAAACATCAATGCAGCATGTGTCTCATCCCCACCCTCCCCACATCCCACTACACTGCAGAATAGATACATTTAATATGACTTTGCTCCACAATGTTGGCATTGATATGTGGATGGACACTGGTCCTCCCTACCCTAATTTATTGGGTTGTCTCCCTTAAAGAATAGCTTAACTGTCAAATATTTTGTAACCGTTTGTCAATCTACGTAAGTGACTACTCTCGCTGGGGTCTAAATGATCTATAAAATGATTCATGAGAATTATCAAAGAAATTTATAAGTTTACAAAGGCCAATAGAAAATTGCGTCCAAGTAAAACATCACTATGAGTTAGATTTTATTCCGGCAGAAAACTAACTTAAAAAAGAGAAAGAGAGAAATAGGAAAATGGAGAATCGTAAATATGATAGAGTACCTTCCCATTTCTCTCATGTTGTAAAAAGAAATTTTTGATGTAAAAAAATATTATCCAAGAGACTTTCGAAAGGTTTGAGCCAAAACATGTACTTGCCTTGTAATCCTTCCATAACAAATCTCTCAGTTTTGTATTCTGTGTAAAATTTCAGAGGAAAAGTAAAGACTTGTGTGATGACTGTCATCAAGTGAAACTATGTGACAATGGAAATGGCTGAGGACATTACCGAAAATGATCAATATGGAGATACCCAACCATTGAATTCTGACGGAGAAGAAAATAGTTATGAGGAAGAATACAGATCTGAAAGGCGACTTAGAAAGAGTTTTAGTGACCCTGATGATAGGTGTTACGTAGATGATGTGCAAGATGGAGATGTGAATTATGTTAACGATTATGATAAACCTGTGAAACGGAGACGTTCAGGGGGGGATAATTCTGATGGTGATAGTGATTACAGATATCATTCTCGACATCGCTCAATCGATCGAGATAGGGATCATGGAAGTCATCGTCGACGCCATCACAGGTACATAGAAAATCAAAATAAATTTTATAGCTTTTTTTTGGTAATTTCCCCTTCTTTAGCTCCCCTGGGCTGAAGGACTAGTGAGCTTATGCCAAACCACATAGGGAGGGGTAGGGGGTAACAAATTTTATATAAATGGTGAGTCTGTGCTTCTAGGAGCCCGAGGGGATGGGTCCCAAATGGAAAATTTTGAAATCCTACTTAACCTGTAAGACTCATAGGATTTTGCCTAAACTTTTTGTGAATTGCAGCACGCAGAGGTCAAGAGGAGTAAATTCTGTACAAACGATGGGTTTGGACCCCTATGTTTGGCAGGTCGCACCAAATATTGGGAATGGAGCAAATCCTTTAAATTATTTTCAGTTGCAGGAATGTCTGAATTCTGCCCCAATTTGTTCTAAAGCTTCCTTGGACGAAAGGGAATCAGTATGGTATAAATGGTGGGTCTCGGGCCCCCGAAAGTTTGAAGTGTGGGGGCCCAATAGGGGGAAAAAAGGACTAATTCTTTTGTTATTCTTTTGTTATAGAAATACCTGGGGAGGGAGGGGTGGGGCCAAGTAAGAAAAGGAAAACAAATTCTCTAAAATCCTACTCCATCTGTAGGACTGAATCAATTTTGTATAAACAGTGGGGCCTAGTCCCTTAGATAGGCAGGGCAATGCACATATACATTCATATGTGTAGAAGAAATAGATAAAATTTTTCAAAGTCCTTTTTCTGTGGAAATGCCAGGATTCTTGGAGGGACAGGGCCAAAGGTTTGGACCTAACAGGGAAATTATTCTTTCTTTTTTAAATTCTTTGTTAAATGATTCAGTTGATTCAGCCAGTTTAGCGATACAGGCCTATAGGCATCTTGTATTGTTTCAAAGTTGAAAATTGTACAGCTGTCTAAAAACATAAATCACCTCAGGGCTAGGAAGATATATAAGTAATTATTTATCAATCACTTGCATCAATTTTTCACTAAGTTAATCTCAAATATTGTTATTGTATGAATTACAAATTAATGGTGTTGAATGAAAAACTTTTTATTTATCATCTATGCCAATATCATATCTATTTATAAGACAGCTAAATTCCCAATTACCATAAAGTATGTCTAGTCCCTTGAACGCATCTGAAGGTTATGTCAATGCAATGTTTCATTCAGACTTTAATACATGTCTCACAACAACAGCTTAAGAGTGATATACTAATTTGTCAGGTCACGAAAGAGAGATAGAGAGAGATCACGGCACTCACGTCGTAACAATGATTCACGTAGCAGTCAGGAGCTGGAAGCGGAATTAGAGGATGGTGAATTGGAGGACGGAGAGTTAGACGATGATGATAACAATGATGTACAAGAAAACAATGCGCCAACCAAACTCTCTCCCCCAAAATTAGATAGGAAGGAAAACAGTGAAAGATCTTCACCAAAGAAACATGGCACAGGTCAGTGTCAGCAGGGTTTTCCCTCAAAAACCTTCATTATTTCTCCATAAATTGATGACATCAAAATTAACAAGAGAATCAGTAGAATGGAAGGTTGCTTACCCAATATATGCTAGAACTTTCATGTTGATACCTCTTATAGTTTTTGTGTTATACTCCAGGCAAAATTTAAGTATGGAAAATAACAAAGGGCAATACCCAAAATAATACATCAGAAATGGTCATTGTTGAGTTTCCTGCCTATTCTTACTAAATTCTTCAATACATTCTATTGGTGGTATCCTTAAATAAAATCTGGAGTCCAGAAGAGGGGACTGTAATGATAACCTTCTGATACAGGTCAAACTGAGGGCCATAACCCCCAACACATAGATTATCCAGAGGCTAGAGAAAGTGAAGAGGAAGAAGAAGGAAACATAGAAGATAATGAACGGAAACGTCCGCGGAAGGATGATCATGATGAAAGGAAACGACGAAAAGAAAAACGTGACAAAGACAAAAGACGAAAACAACAAAAGGAAGACAAGGTAAAGTTAGCATGGAATGTTTGTTACTGTTCATTTCCTCTCTATAAATGAGTTGTTGCTGTTCATTTCCTCTCTGTAAGTGAGTTGTTACTGTTCATTTCCACTCTGTAAATGAGTTGTTACTGTTCATTTCCTCTGTAAGTGAATCATTGCTGTTCATTTCCTCTCTGTAAGTGAGTTGTTACTGTTCATTTCCTCTCTGTAAGTGAGTTGTTACTGTTCATTTCCACTCTGTAAATGAGTTGTTACTGTTCATTTCCTCTGTAAGTGAATCATTGCTGTTCATTTCCTCTCTGTAAATGAGTTGTTACTGTTCATTTCCTCTCTGTAAGTGAGTTGTTACTGTTCATTTCCTCTGTAAGTGAATCATTGCTGTTCATTTCCTCTCTGTAAATGAGTTGTTACTGTTCATTTCCACTCTGTAAATGAGTTGTTACTGTTCATTTCCTCTGTAAGTGAATCATTGCTGTTCATTTCCTCTCTGTAAGTGAGTTGTTACTGTTCATTTCCTCTCTGTAAGTGAGTTGTTACTGTTCATTTCCACTCTGTAAATGAGTTGTTACTGTTCATTTCCTCTGTAAGTGAATCATTGCTGTTCATTTCCTCTCTGTAAGTGAGTTGTTACTGTTCATTTCCTCTCTGTAAGTGAGTTGTTACTGTTCATTTCCTCTCTGTAAGTGAGTTGTTACTGTTCATTTCCACTCTGTAAATGAGTTGTTACTGTTCATTTCCTCTGTAAGTGAATCATTGCTGTTCATTTCCTCTCTGTAAGTGAGTTGTTACTGTTCATTTCCTCTCTGTAAGTGAGTTGTTACTGTTCATTTCCACTCTGTAAATGAGTTGTTACTGTTCATTTCCTCTCTGTAAGTGAGTTGTTACTGTTCATTTCCACTCTGTAAATGAGTTGTTACTGTTCATTTCCTCTGTAAGTGAATAATTGCTGTTCATTTCCTCTCTGTAAGTGAATCATTGCTGTTCATTTCTTGGTGTTTGCAGAAAAAGAAGAAACGACGTGAATACCATGACTTAGACAGGGTGGAAGAGGATTATGACCAAGCTTGGGGTACTGGCACAGACAAACACTCTTCTAGAGGTTCGCGAGGCAGCTTCGACCGAAGCCCACCTGGTCCATATGAGGATCGTTTTGATGACGTGGAGCAGTATGAGAAAACCTACAATAGCCCACCAGGCCACTACGACAGCCCGTATGATAGTCCTCCTGGCCCATATGATAGCCCTTCGTATGATGAGGACTCTGATGGAGAAATGTATGTACACTGTTTGCTTATATAGTGTTTTCTTTATTAACAAAATACAGAGATAACCACAAAGCAAAACCTATAATGGTTTATTGCTATACATGATTACATGCATAGATACATAGTATCATTAGGGCTTTTCACCAACTGGTGAAAAGACCTATTGTTTTTGATATGGTTCTTATTATTCTTATTATTCTTTTTCTTATTATTCTTCTTCCAATTTTGTGGGTTCGTAATCTTTTAAATTGTAAAAGCTAGACATACAGTCTATTCACCTATTAGTAGATACGTATATGAAGTTGTCTATGCCGATTTTTTAAGTAGGTCAAAAATCCAATATGGTCGCCATGACGTCATAACTCAAAAACTTAAAAACGGCTATATCTCAAAAACCATTGATTTTACAGAGTTTGTGCAATAATATTATTTGTAGAGAATTCCCATATTTAACTTTCTCTCGTGCCATATTAATACAAAATATGTCAGATAAAAAAGCTCGCTGTGGGGCGAAGTGTTCAAAATTTAACAAATTTTTTTTTTGTCAATTTTGAATTTTCTTGAAATTTTCTTCTTCAGATCGATGCAGAATGTCCTACCGATGAATTTAGTGTTTTCAGTTCTTCTGAAATGTTTACCATTTCTGCTGTATGCCATTTTGAAAATTTTCTTTGATCTTTTGAAAATGCCGACAAATAGGAAAAACTCATTCTAGATCAATATTGATGGGCTATATTTTATCAAATTGTTACTGAGAAGATTTCCACAGATGTCTTCTACCATTTAGTGACATTTACAAATTAATCGGAAAAACAAAAATGGCCGCCATAACGTCATTTCCGATTTTACCTAAAATGCCGTAACTCAAGAACTGTTTAAGCTAGTGACCTCAGTTTTAATCATATTGTGTAAATTAAAAAGAAAACACTTTCCACAAGAAAAAATCTGGGATCAAAGGTCAACTTCCGGTTTTCGGTAGGGGTAAAAGTTCAAAAGTGTTATTTTCAGTTACAAAATATGACAAACTTCTTCTCAAGTTATGCAAAGCCTTGGGTCTTGATATTTCATGTGTTAGATGTCTGTTTAATTATATATCAAGTCTGTCAATATAAATGACCTTGACCCACTTTCAAGGTCACAGGGGTCAATTATGTAAAAATCGTTAAATGGTAATTTCCCCATTGTTAAGCTGCCAAAAGTCTTCAACTTTGGACATAAATATTCTGTGGATATTTCCTGTCGAATGATATAAGAGAAACGTACCTCAAAATTCAACTTCCGGCTGAGCAGTATGAGAAAGTTGAAAAGTGTTATTAAGAGTACCAATCTTTGAAAAACTTCTACTCAAGTTCTGAAAGGCCTAGAGGCTCTATATTTTACATATATGAAGCATATGTAACTGGCAACAAAGTTTGATAATATAAATGACCTTGACCCACTTTTAAGGTCACAGAGGTCAATTAACTAAGAATCGTTAAATGACAGTTTCTCACTTTCTAGAAGGCACACAATGATGAAAATTGATTATAAACATTCTGTGGACACTTGCTATTGATCGCTATAAGAAAAACTTCCCTCGAAATGTCAACTTCCGGTTTCCGAAAGGGCACAAATTTAGAAAGAGCTATTTACAGTACCAATCTTTGAAGAAACTTCTTCTCAAGTTCTGGAAGGCCTAGAGGCTTGATATTTCACATATAAGAAGCATATGTAACTGGCAACAAAGTTTGGTAATATAAATGACCTTGACCCACTTTCAAGGTCACAGATGTCAATTAACTAAAAATCGTTAAATGACAGTTTCTCAATTTCTAGAAGGCATACAATGATGAAAATTGATAATAAACCTTCTATGGAGACTTCCTATTGATTGTCATAAGAAAAACTTCCCTCGAAATGTCAACTTCCGGTTTCCGAAAGGGGTCAAAGTTCAAATATACCAAATAGGGTACCAGTGTTCAACAATCTTCTTGTCAAGTTTCACAAGGTCTAGAGAACTAATATTGGGGATATATTGATCATCAGATGTTACATTATAAGGCTTGCCAATATGAATAACCTTGACCGACATTCAAGGTCACTGGGGTCAAATATGTTTTGAACCTTTAAAAAGTGTATTTCTACGTTATTGTGTAGTTATATCTCCTTAACGTTTCAAGATTCAAAGTTCATCTTTAGATATGTTGTAGAGATTAACAAACAAGGAAACTTTCTCATATATTGTTATCAGGATAAATGTCAACTTCCGGTCAACTTGTTACCAAAGAAGTGAAAAGCCCGCAAAATTGTTAACAACAATTTCTAGTTTTGATATAAATTGAAATGTTTTGATAAGAGAATGGTATTATATAACACAAATGTGAAAATATCAGCCTACACAGCCTCCAAAGTGTGTGGTTTGATGTTTTATATCCATGGTAGTTGGTGTTTCAAAAGATGCTGGAAAAAATGGACCAGTCTGTTTTGTAATGGTTGTGTCCATGGTCAACGCACTTTACCCTCGTTACTCAGGATGACATGTGATAGACCTCCCATTTGTCATCTCATAATGACACTGACTAGTAATGGGACTATAATCGTATATAATCAATTGTTTAACCTCATTTGATGTGATGATCAATTGTAATTTTTCATAATCTATCATCGGTACCATAATATTGTCTTTTGTTTTAGCGAAAACAAAATTCATATTATGCATAATAGAGATGCTAATTGCCAACAATATTCATTCAATTGCAAATTATAGGTAAATGAGGTATCTTAGCTTAAAAGTTACAAAAAAAAAGAAGAAAATATTCCCTTAATGGAGAATGCATTAGCTTTCTTTAAATGTTAAACATAGCCAGACAATTATGTAATCAATTAACTACATTGGAAAGCCAATCAGATTTCTCATTACTAACGCTGGCTGTCCTTAGGGGTGATATATCCCACAAACAAACAAAGAGTTCTAGCTTGTGTTAATCTGTAAATAATCTTACCAATCGACTGTACAACGAAATGTTACACAATGACTTCATGTTAAGTGTACTGACTTGTGTTTTAGATATGAGCAAGGAAACCATAAGACAAGACGAACCATGATGAGTTTTGTAGAAGGAGAGTATGTTGATGCCAGTGTGGCTATTGATGATGGGGAGGTAACTCTTTTTCTATATTTCAACTATTCATTTAATCATCCTGATTGAAAAAGGAAATCCATGTAAATGATCTGATGTTCTGAAGAAGTACAAACATATAAATGATTTATTACAGGTTGTATGAATTACTGTCTCAACCAACAAACTGCTGAAACTGTTAATAGACACTTGTTAGGGAGTGTACTTTGTGGTAGGATGCATAGCTATGAAACATCAGCCACACAAAATACCAATGATCGTGTTCGTACTGAAAGAGATCAATAAAAAAGAAAGTTATTTTAAGTGGCCAATTATTTAGTGATATATCTGCCATATATTTATATATGTTTAGTGTATTACCTGTTTTCCTCCTTGCCAATTTATTCTGGTGAATATTGAATTTCTCATGGAGCTAGTGAAAAAATGACTCTACTTGCAAAATATGAAATGATATCACCCAGCCAGCAGGTTTTTGGATTTTTCATGATTGTTAAAGTCCAATAATGTTGAAATTTTCCAGAACATATACAAACAGAGTAGTTCCAATAAGAAAATGAAGCATATGAAACAAATGAAAAGGAAGATGGAGCGTCAACAGCAGGGTGATCAACCACCGAAAAAGAAACCATTATTGTTAACGCCAATGAATGAACGTCCAATCTGTAAATTCTTTAAGGAAGGAAAGTGCTCTAAGGTAATGAAGAAATGCCTGGAATTAAGACCCCAAAGTTTCAGAGTTGGATGATAAAGAGAATTTCAGTTTCTTGTAAAAGTTTCTGGTATTTTGGCTCTGAAATATCAGAGTTGGATGATAAAGAATCTGGTGTTTCGACTTTAAAATTGTAAGAGTCAGATGCAAAAGATGATTTTTGGCTTCTTTTTTTTATTTCCTTGCCATTTCATGATGAGGGGCATGGTACTTTTGTCACAATGTGAAAAATATTCGGGATCCTTGCCTAATTCTAGTTGGAATTTAAAAAGACAAAAACAAATCTGCAGGCAGGATGTCAGTTTGAGTAAACATCTTCAGAAGTCAATAACATTAAAAAAGTTCCAAAGTTCTCCTGGATTGCTGGATACTAATTATTTGTTATATCTGATGTTAAGCATGTCTCCTCAAGTGAAATGATTGTTGAATGTTTGATCCCATCAAAGGTAATGTTGAAGTTTGTATGATCCCCATTAAAACGTCCATTGTCAATTTTTCAATAGTAGGTGTCCAGATCTTGCTTTGCCTCTGAAACCCAAAGCATCTAGATTCAGTGAGCTGCTCTATTCTCAAATATCATTGTAAGAAATATGTTGAATGGTTTCCTTTTTTCCACAGGGAAATGATTGTCCATTCAATCATGACTACCGACCACCGAAAAAAATGGATCTCTGCAAGTTCTACTTAAATTCTCAGTGTTCTAAGGGAGACAGCTGTATATTTATGCACAATATCCTTTATAGAATCTTGATGAAATTATATCATCTTAACCAGATTATCACATAAGAGCTCACAGTCACCATCATGTCACCGTAGAGAGCTCATTGTCACCAACATGTTACACAAGAGAGCTCATTGTCACCAACATGTCACACAAGAGAGTTCATTATCACCAACATGTCACGCAAGGGATCTCATCACAAAATATCACACAAGGGATCTCATTATCACCAACATGTCACACAAGAGAGCTCATTATCACCAACATGTCACACAAGGGATCTCATTATCACCAACATGTCACACAAGAGAGCTCATTATCACCAACATGTCACACAAGAGAGCTCATTATCACCAACATGTCACACAAGAGAGCTCATCACCAACATGTCACACAAGAGAGCTCATTATCACCAACATGTCACACAAGAGAGCTCATTATCACCAACATGTCACACAAGAGAGCTCATTATCACCAACATGTCACACAAGAGAGCTCATTATCACCAACATGTCACACAAGAGAGCTCATTATCACCAACATGTCACACAAGAGAGCTCATTATCACCAACATGTCACACAAGAGAGCTCATTATCACCAACATGTCACACAAGAGTTTTATTTGACCACTTGTGTTAGAATTTTTCAGATAGATACAGTATATGAATATAGAAATTTTGATTTGTGTAAAACTCTGAATATTTATTGTAAACTGTTGTAAGAAATGATTTGGGAGAAATATTTCATAAGATATGGTAATTGTCCTTATTTAAAGCTTGATTATGCTCATTTGAATTTTGGACTGATAAAAAATTAAAATGACCGACAGGTCGCCATCTTGGATTTTTTCAATGAGGTTTGTTATTACTACATTTTGAAAAGTAATGGATGGATCTGTCTCAAATTTCATATGTTCGTTTCTTATGGTCTCTAGTTGTGCAAATGTGATTTTAGTACTGACCAGAAAAACAAAATTGCTGAAATCTTGGATTTTGACTTTGAAAGTTTGCTATTGCTGTTTCTTGAGAAGTACTTGATGGACTTACGAAAACGAGGCCAAGGAGGATGGCGGTCGCCTTGAATTCGCTCCGGCAATCTTTTGTATTCTCACCTACATTTATACGGTCTTCCTGGAGATACAAGGTATATACATATATACGGTTGATAAAGTGTTGAATTTGACTCATTGTGTCATTTTGGAAAAACTTCTGATCTGCTATTGAGTGTTTTTTGGTGTGACTATATGACTTCATACACTCTATATTTAGCCTCGCTATATAGGTAGTTTTGTATATACACACCATATTACAGTAGAGTGGGTACGCTGGAATTTTCGTCACGGTCTGATGATCCGCTATTATTAAGCTGTGTTGCCCGTTGTGCTCACGGAGGCGAAACTGCGTCTCCCTTTATTGGTCGCAATAACTTTATATTTTCACGTACGTGTTTGTAGTTTCAAGCATTATTACCAGTTCCGATCATGGCGTCAATCAGTGAGTCCTCTCAAGACCCGTCTCCTGCTGCGAAATCGTTTGACGATTCTTTATTCAAGCTTCCCAAAAATGAGTACATTGCCAAACTCTGTGAACTTTCATCAAATGCTGAAAGTAAAATTGCCTGGTACCGGGCCATTCTTTTCGACCGCGCTAAGGGTATTGACGGTTGCCCGACCTCTACTCTCGTTACTCGTAAGAATACCCTCAAGTGTCAAGCCTACTTGAAATATGCAAAAGACTGTTTCGCTTTACAACAGTTCTTGGATGGCGAATCCGTTTGTGAGATAGTAGATCTTTTCTCCTCTCAAAAACTTCCAAGGATGAATAGTCAGCTAGAAACTTCGGTTTTGGACTGTTCGAGCAACGTTATAGAGCAGCCTGCCCCTATCTCGCGCTCCGAGTTTGAATCACTTAAGTTTGAGGTGGCAAATTTGCACGCTTTGCTTCACGAATCCAGGGAGACTTCCAAAGTCCGTATTGACTCGGCGTTGGAGCTTCAAAAGAAACTGGACCAAGAAATGTCATCCCTTAAATCACAGTTAAATAAAGCTTGTGTGTCTATTAATAAAGTGTTTGACATTGACATTAAGCAAAGTTCTCCCCAGTCGTATTTTGCTGATAATATCCACTTGATAGCTTCCAAATTACTTTCTCTGGAAAAATTTAGGAAGTCGACTGCTTCTGAGATCGGCAACATTTCGAAGTTAATCAACGATAACAGCAGCGGTATCTCGCGCCTGAACGACGTCCGCTTTGGCAATTCGTCGGCTGTTCACAAAGACATTCGAGATATGAACGATCAGATCGCTACCTTCGCTAAGGACGTCCAGACTGCCTTAACCAATGCCTCCTCGGCTTCTAGTGGTGTTTCGTCTCTTAAATCTCGCATCCGGCAAATGGACTCAGAGATGAAAAATATTGCAGGAAAAGCAAAACACACAACTGACATTGCTGTGAAAGCTTTCGCCGAGGAACTTAGTGCTCAGTTAACCAAGTTTGAGGAATTTGTCCACGATGGCTTAAAGCCGCTCCCGACTGAGAAAGGCATTTCGCCTCCTAACATTCCTCATATAGCCCCACATGCAGCTCGTCTTGATCCTTCTCAGGCTTTTCACCGTCATGATGTCCAAACCTCCTCTGTACAGGATGAAGGAAGGACCGTTTCATGTGATGAGACCACTTCTCAAGGTTATGCTCTGTCATCGCCTAATGATGGTTCGTCTTCTCATACAAACCCATCTTGTGGCCAGCTGTCATCTCAGTTAATACAGTCGCCTCCCAGCTCACTTAGTCCAGATGGTCTCCAAAGAGCGAGAACTCCTCCGCCGGCAAATTCTCATGGATCATCTTGTGGTTTTGTGGCGGTTTCCAGACACAAAACTACACGTTTATTTCTTACCGGTATGTCAGCGGAATCTTGTTCTGTTGACGATATAAGAAGTTACCTACATGACCGTGGGGTCAATACCACTTTTGTTCGCCTTCTTAGAAGTAAGCGAAAGTTCTGTGTCTCTGCTAGGGTGAACGTTATTTCTTCTGATTTCCCCAAAACGAAGGAAGACAACTTCTGGCCCAAAGGTATCAGGTGTCGGAAATGGGTTTCCAATAACCGGTTCTACGGAAACGAGGCTGAAAACGCGCCCACACCTGATGGCGGGTTCGACTAGATCGGTTTACATTCTCAGTTTATCCATCTTTGCCCTGGTTATGTCAAACATTCGCTTGATGTCGTGGAACGTTACTGGCATAATGTCAGCTGCCTCTCATCTTCATGACGCGCTGACGACGGAACGCGTGGACATATGTGGAATATCTGAACACTGGCTTTATGAAGAGAACCTACATTTATTCGGTAGTATTCATCATAACTACCATTATTTCGCCATTTCAGACTTTTCACTGCATCCGCTAGCTGACCATCGTTCTCGTAAAGGAGGCGTCGCGTTGATGTGGCACAGTAAATTTAACGATCGTGTGTCAGTTGTGGACTCCGATGATGACAGGATTGTCATTATCAAACTCGTCCTTGACTTCGAAACTATTCATATCCTGCAAGTTTATTTTCCGACATCCCGATACGGCATGGACATGTACATCGAATATGTTCAAAAGCTAGATGAGCTCTGCTCGACTTTTTCCTTGTATGGCCCTGTAATTATCATGGGGGATTTTAATGCCCGTTTACAAGGCTCACGTGTTCCCGGATACGAAGATCAACGTGGAAGAATTCTTCAAAATTGTCTAGACCGTTTACAGTTGTTTGCGCTGTCAACTTCCAACCTCTGTAAAGGTCCTTTACATTCATATGTTCACTCAAAGGACGGTCCTACCTCCCTTATTGACCACATTATAATTAACACTAACTTGTTAGATCTTGTGAGTGAATGCTCTATTTTAGAACGTGGTTACCTTGACGTGTCGAACCACAGACCGATGATTTGTGAATTGGTATTTCCTAAGTTGGCTTCAGACGAAAATTCTTGTGAAAAACACTATCGTTTGTCTTTCAAATGGATCACCACAGGAGTCGCAAGGAATGTTGATGACTACCGTCAAGATCTTGTCTCACGTATCAATCTTTCATCCCTCCACACTGTACAGGAATTTAATTCCAAGGAAGCGGTTGACGATTACTCACGCGAGCTTCTGTCGTGTTTGCTAAAAGCATCAGAGCATACTTTGCCAAAACGTAAATTTTGTAAATTCTTGAAACCTTATTGGAACGATAAGCTCAGAGATCTTCATCGTAACATGTGGAAGTGTCGTCAAGTGTGGGTCAGTCAAGGTCGACCCCGTAATTCCTTATCCTACCGTAATTATAAGGAAGCCAAACGTGTTTTCAGAAACAGACACAGACAGGTGTCCGAGGAACACATTGTTAATTTAAATACTGAAATTGAAAACTATGCTGATCTGAATCAGAAGTCTTTTTGGTCGATGGTAAGAAAACGTTGCTCAAAAACATAGGGCGTCGCTGGGGCTGAAATGAATTTTAACGGCGACGTTATCCGAGATCCTAGCCGACTTGCGCTTCACTGGGGAAAATATTTTGCAGATGTTTATTCCTATTCATCCTGCGAGTGTTTCGATGCCCAGTTTAAGGAAAAAATTGACGACTCTGTAAAACGTATTCTTTCTACCCATGATTTAGGTAATGTCTCTTTTGAAGATTTCTCTTTGGATGAGGTCAAACGCGTCTGCAAGACACTCCCTACAGGCAAGGCGGCGGGATATGATCACATAGTCTATGAACACTTAATTTTTGCTGATGATATTTTGTACTATTGCCTATGCATGTTGTTCAACGCCTTCCACAGATTAGAATATGTTCCACCTTTGCTCACCAAGGGGCTTATTTGTACTTTATACAAAGGTCATAACAAACCTAAATGTGACCCTGATAGTTATCGAGCAATTTCCTTACTTCCTGTTCTTTCAAAAGTTTTTGAAAAATTACTACTGGTGCGTTTAGAGGCAACAGATCTCTTCAAGATTAATCCTTTGCAAAATGGTTTTCAAAAGAATGTCAGTAGTACAATGACCTCTTTCTTAGTACATGAATCGATTTCCTATGCCCGTGAAAACGAAAGTAAGTTGTTTGCTTGCTTCCTTGACGCTGCCAAAGCCTTTGATTGCGTCTGGCATAATGGCCTTTTGTTTAAATTGGCTAATATTGGTTTTAACTCGAAATTCGTCCATATTATTGCTTCACTATACGAAAATATGTTTAGTGCCGTTCTTCATCAAGGGTTTGTTTCCGATTGGTTCAAAGTTTGCCAGGGCACGCGTCAGGGAAGCATTATCTCCCCTTGGCTGTACACTGTTTTTATTAATGATTTACTGAATGAACTGTGCTTACTAGTCTGATGCTCAAATGATCAAGCTAAAGAGAAGTTTTCACCAGCCAACCAGTGACTTGCCCATAGTATGTACCATGATTTCATTATGTATTTTAACCTGACAGCATTCTAAGCAATTTCTATTCCCTGGACTTAAAAAAATCTTGTGAGAAATTTTGTTTTAGTAATTTCCTTGACCACTGATTATGTGAATTCCCTTGTAAATTTTTCCACACTGGAGCAAATTGTTACAGCGGTGACAACTGTAAGTTTTCTCATGATCCACTTACGGATGAAACAGCCCCTCTGGTGGATAAGGTGAGTTTTTATTGGCATTCATGTATGCTGTGATTGGATCTAACTTATCTCCCATTCCTCTAGTATTTAGCGTTGAATTTTCTGTACATTTCCATTGAATTACTTTGTAACTTGATTTTGTACAAGGATTGACCCAGTTGAGTGGCCTCATTATTCTGTGTTGTCTTGCTTTTAATAGTAAATAAATCTAGAGAATAATAATTCAGTAGAAATTGAAAGTTTAAGAAAATTGTGTAAGACATAAAGTATGTATACAAAGCCTGAATTATGTACTACAATGCTAAAATATAGTTTTCCTGTGTATCTTTATTGAATGATAAACAGAGTAAATTGTGTTCAAATGCTATAATAGACTTTCCTGTTCACAGTTTTACCAAGATTTCTCCTCCAGAGATGACGAAGCTTATGGTGATGGACAGAGAATGGGTCCCCCTCGACCAAGTCTCCTAGGTAACCAAACTAATGCATTGAAGTTTTATCCTTACCCACTAGTTGTGTCCTTTTTAATACTCATTCCTTTTGTTAACCAAATTCCACCAATAAATGAATCATATTTAATAGTGACAAAACATTTTTTCAGGATCACCGCCACGACACATGACAGAACAGTCTGAACGGGTTAAAAAGATTCCATCAATATTTGACATCAAAGTGTATCCACCAGGCCAAAGTCCAAAGAAACCTCCGCTTAATGAAGGCCCACCGAATGTACATCCACCTCCTCAAATGTGTGGTCCTCCCTCCAGGTAAGTAAGGCACTTAGCAATGGTCCACCAAATATTTATTACCCTCCTAAAATGTGTGGACCACCTTCTAGGTGTGTAACAAACCACTTGCCTTTATATTGTTTATCACAGAAAAGTATGGGTTTATATTGTTTATCACAGAAAAGGATGGGTTTATATTGTTTATCACAGAAAAGTATGGGTTTATATTGTTTATCACAGTAAAGTATGGGTTTATATTGTTTATCACAGAAAAGTATGGGTTTATATTGTTTATCACAGAAAAGTATGGGTTTATATTGTTTATCACAGAAAAGTATGGGTTTATATTGTTTATCACAGAAAAGTATGGGTTTATATTGTTTATCACAGAAAAGTATGGGTTTATATTGTTTATCACAGAAAAGTATGGGTTTATATTGTTTATCACAGAAAAGTATGGGTTTATATTGTTTATCACAGAAAAGGATGGGTTTATATTGTTTATCACAGAAAAGTATGGGTTTATATTGTTTATCACAGTAAAGTATGGGTTTATATTGTTTATCACAGAAAAGTATGGGTTTATATTGTTTATCACAGTAAAGTATGGGTTTATATTGTTTATCACAGTAAAGTATGGGTTTATATTGTTTATCACAGAAAAGTATGGGTTTATATTGTTTATCACAGAAAAGTATGGGTTTATATTGTTTATCACAGAAAAGTATGGGTTTATATTGTTTATCACAGAAAAGTATGGGTTTATATTGTTAATCACAGTAAAGTATGGGTTTATATTGTTTATCACAGTAAAGTATGGGTTTATATTGTTTATCACAGTAAAGTATGGGTTGATATTGTCTATCCTAGATAACTAGTATTGATTATTGCTAAACAGCTACAAACTGTGGTCAATACAAGGCTAACAAAAATGCTGGTTTCTACAAGGCAATCCTGTTGTAGATTGAACCAACATAGTACATAAGTAGGAAAGGAATGGACATCAGCCATCTTCTTTCAAATAGGATATTTTCTTTATGTTTGGGTTCCCAGAAAAATTACCAGTTGGGCATATAGTCACCACTTTGTCCATCTTTTGTGTGCGGAGCTTAACTGTGCTCACAATATATTAGTTATGCTAAGGTGATATGCAGTGTACCAAACAGGGTTATAGCCCTTTGTTAAAATTTGTGTGTGGAGCTCAACTACTTGCAATTAATCTAGGGTAATGTGATGTATACAACAGTCATACGAAGGGGATGTACAGTTTACCAAATTCAGTGCCTGAAACCAATATAATAATATTACAGAAATTACATTCATTTTCACACAGTTGAACTAGTCATGTTGATTTAGTCCTTCATTCTTCATTATGTACATGCAACAATAGCCCCTATACAGACACTGGTGATACGGTGACTATAACTGATACTGAGGACATACAACAATAGCCCCTATACAGACACTGGTGATATGGTGACTATAACTGATACTGAGGACATACAACAATAGCTCCCATACAGACACTGGTGATACGGTGACTATAACTGATACTGAGGACATACAACGATAGCTCCCATACAGACACTGGTGATACGGTGACTATAACTGATACTGAGGACATACAACAATATTCCCTTTACAGACACCGGTGATACGGTGACTATAACTGATACTGAGGACATACAACAATAGCCCCTATACAGACACTGGTGATACGGTGACAATAACTGATACTGAGGACATACAACAATAGCCCCTATACAGACACTGGTGATACCGTGACTATAACTGATACAGTGACTATAACTGATACTGAGGACATACAACAATAGCCCCTATACAGACACTGGTGATACGGTGACAATAACTGATACTGAGGACATACAACAATAGCTCCCATACAGACACTGGTGATACCGTGACTATAACTGATGCTGAGGACATACAACAATACCCCTATACAGACACTGGTGATACCGTGACTATAACTGATGCTGAGGACATACAACAATAGCCCGACACTGGTGATAACTGATACTGAGGACATACAACAATAGTCCCTATACAGACACTGGTGATACGGTGACTATAACTGATACTGAGGACATACAACAATAGCCCCTATACAGACACTGGTGATACAGTGACTATAACTGATACTGAGGACATACAACAATAGCTCCCATACAGACACTGGTGATACAGACACTGGTGATACGGTATAACTGATACTGAGGACATACAACAATAGCCCCTATACAGACACTGGTGATACCGTGACTATAACTGATGCTGAGGACATACAACAATACCCCTATACAGACACTGGTGATACCGTGACTATAACTGATGCTGAGGACATACAACAATACCCCTATACAGACACTGGTGATACCGTGACTATAACTGATGCTGAGGACATACAACAATAGCCCCTATACAGACACTGGTGATACCGTGACTATAACTGATGCTGAGGACATACAACAATAGCCCCTATACAGACACTGGTGATACCGTGACTATAACTGATGCTGAGGACATACAACAATAGCCCCTATACAGACACTGGTGATACCGTGACTATAACTGATACAGTGACTATAACTGATACTGAGGACATACAACAATAGCCCCTATACAGACACTGGTGATACGGTGACAATAACTGATACTGAGGACATACAACAATAGCTCAGACACTGGTGATACAAACACTGGTGATACGGTGATACTTATAACTGATACTGAGGACATACAACAATAGCCCCTATACAGACACTGGTGATACGGTGATAATAACTGATACTGAGGACATACAACAATAGTCCCTATACAGACACTGGTGATACGGTGACTATAACTGATACTGAGGACATACAACAATAGCCCCTATACAGACACTGGTGATACGGTGACTATAACTGATACAGTGACTATAACTGATACTGAGGACATACAACAATAGCCCCTATACAGACACTGGTGATACTGTGACAATAACTGATACTGAGGACATACAACAATAGCCCCTATACAGACACTGGTGATACGGTGAC